ATTTATATTTTAAGGCATTAGCTAGTATTACTTATCTTTTATTAATAACTAGCATTACTTATTTTTTATTAATAGTTAAAGGCTAACTAGGTTTAATTAGTAATATATTTAAGGTTAAAAGTAAATTAAATAGTTATTATTCTTATAAAAAATATATAAGTTTATCTTTAATTAGTTTAAAGTTATAAATTATATTTATAAAAAAGTTATTAAAGTAAGCAGCTTTATTATCTTTTATACTATTTTATTTAAGAATATACTATTTTAAAATATAGTAGTTTATAGCCTTAAGTGCTTATTAGGTATATTATTTAGTAAAAAAGGATTTTATAATACAGTTTAAGGCACTAAATAGTATAAAGCTAAAAGCTAATATTAATAACTAGGCTAAAGCTAATACTTATTACTAAATTTATTTAAATATATTATACTATACTAAAGCAGAGGTAGTTAAAGTATATAAAGTAAATAGACTTTTATTAAGCTAAGCAGTTTAATCTTATTTTAATATATTAAAATAAATATTATATTTTACTAAAGCAGTAAAGTAAGCTTTTTTAATAAAAGTTTATAACTTTATATAAGTATAATATAATATTAAAGTTAAACTACTGCTAATAAGATATATATTTAGTTCTTACTTTATTAAAGTAATAGCAGGAGCTAGTTAAGTGTTTAAGAAGGTGCTATTTAAGGGGGCAGCTACTAATACTATTATAAAGGAAGTTAGATTTAAGGCCAGTTCTATTAAAGAAAGTGCCTTAAAGGAGGGTGCTATAAAGGCTATATTAACTAAATTGCCCTTATTAATAATCTTTATAATATTAAAGGCGCTTATAAGCATATTAATAAAGCTAAGGAGGTTATTAATAAGCTTTTTTATTATAATTATAATAGTAGTAATATCCTTAGCCTAAAATAGTAAATAAAGTATAAATACAGCTCTTTTTAACTAGGTATAATATAATTAGCTAGGTAGGCTATTATTATAGTAATAGGAGATAATATATTACTTATTATTATAAAATACTAGCTTAAAAATGCTATACTTAAATAATTATTTTTTAAAGTAGGTTATAAGCTGCCTTATTATAGTAATATTATTTATATATTTTTAATTAGTTTAGTTAATATTAAATAGACTAGGTAGTTAGTAATAAGGAAACTTAGTAATATTAAGCTAGTTATATAAAATTACTACTAACTATTATAGTAAGGTAAAAAAAAAGAGATGCTTTATTTTTATAGCTAGCTAGTAACCTAAGGCTATAACTATACTTTATGCTATTATAATATTATATAGCGTTATATAGCGCTATATAGCACTTTATATAATAAATAATATAGCTAATAGTAATACTTTAAGGCCTTATAAGTATTTAAATAAGTATTATAAAAAGTAATTAAGCTTAAAAGCTGCTAATTACTTAACTCCTTCTTAAAGCTGCTTTAGCTTAATAAGTACCTTTTAATCTTTACTTTAAAAATTAATGCCTTTTTATTTTACTTACTATAATAATTAACTATATAAACTTAATTTACTTTACTTTAAAAGGTATTACTATTAATAAGTTAAGTATTTTCTATTATAAAGAAACTATTTCTTATTAATAATATACTAACTATTAATAAAACTTAGCTTTTTTTATATAAGCAGTAAGAAATAAATATAAATAATTTAAAAACCTTAAAATATAAAATAACTATATTTAATTAAAAAGATAGTTACTATTTAAATATAAACTTAAAGTAAAAAAAGCTTACTTATTTAATAAAAAAGTTTTTAACTATTTAAAGACTTAATTAATTTTAAAACTGCTTTATATTTTATTTAAAATACTTAAGTTTTTATACCTTTTTTACTTACTTTTAAAAGTGCCTTTAGCTTAATTTTTAAAGGCTTTTTTTTATAAGCCTTTTAACTAGTTATTTTTAATAGTAATATAAATACTACTTTTTAAAATCCTAGCTTTAGTATTAGCTTTTAAAATATTATTTACTAAACTTAATAATTAAATAATATAGTTAGTCCTTTATTTAAAATCTTTAGCTAATTTTTAAATAAAAAATAAAAAAGACTTTATATTTAAATTTTATAATACCTTTAAAAATCTTTAAAATTAACTAAGTACTGCCTTAAACTTAGCTACTTTAACTAAAGCTATTAAAATAATAAAAACTTAATTAAATCTATTAATACTTAATATTAAGAAAAAAGCTAAACTTATTAAATTTATAGCTATAAATATACCTGCTTAATAATTAATATATTTTAAAACCCCTTAACTTAAGCTTATAAAAATAAAAATAACTTTATATAAAGTTAAATTTAAAAAGTAAGTAAAGGCTACTTTAAAAACCCTAGCTTATTAATAAGTAAAAGCTATTAGCTATATTTACTTATTATATATACTAATAAAATTAAAAACTATTTAATTAATAAAACCTACTTTTAGTTATATAATAATAATAAAAGAGAATAAAAAAAAAAAATAAAAAAAAGAAAAATAATTAAAAAAGTTTTTAATAATTAATATTAAGTAAACTATTAAAAAAGGTTAATTAAGATATATAATTAGCTAAATAAAATCTTACTTAAGTTTATTAAGTAATAAATATATTTAATTAATTAATTAATTAAGGGAAACTAAAAGCTATAAAAAAAGCAGAATATAAAATAATAATTAAAGTAGTTTTACTATTTTAAAATACTACTTTAAAAAGTATATTATATATAAAATACTTAAATTCCTTCTGCTCTTTTATATTAAAAAGATTAATAAATTTAAAGGCCTAGAACTATATTAATATAAAAGTATAAAAATCTTTATATTTAATATAGCTAGTAGAATTTTATAATAAATATATAATATAAAGAAATATATAATAAAAATAAGGTTAAGGATAAGGATATAAATAAAAAGTATATTAATAAAGCTTTAAAAAAAAGACCTTTAAATTAAATAAATAAGTAAATAAAAAAAATATAAAATAAAGAAAAAGATAAAAAGTTTTAATTTACTTAGTTTATAATTTTTATTATAATTTAATATACTATTTTATAATTAGTTAAAGGTATTTATTTAATTATTATATATAAAAAGGAGTTATAAAAAAAGGCTAGTAAAGTATAAAATAATAAATAAAATAAAAAAAAAATATATTAATTTAAAAAAATTAAGGCTTTTTTTAATAATAAGCCTTAATAAAAAGGATTTTATAGCTTAAGAAATATAGGCTAAGAAGGTAATAATTAATAAAAAATAATAAGGCTAATTAAGCTAAGAATAGTAATAATAATATATAAAAAAAAAATACTTTTTAACTTAAATAATAAATTAAGTAAGTTAGTTTTTAAAATATAAGCCTTTAAAGTGCTTAATTAAGCTAAAATAGCTTAGTCTTTATATAATTAAATAGTATTTTAACTTATTTATATATAGCAGTTTTAATAGTTTATTAAAAAGTGGATTTTTTATAAAATAGTTTAGCTAAAGTAAGGTAGTGTTTAAAAGTATATAATCTAACTGTTAATAAACTAATATATTAATAGTTTTATAAAAACTGCTTATAAAAATATAAAGTTATATCTCCTTTTTAATATAAGTAACTTTTTTTACTTTTATATAGTAATTATTTTTATAATTAAGTAAAAGGAGATAAACTATATTTAAAATACAGCTAGATAATAAATATAATAGCAGTAGCGCTTTATTAATTAAAGCTGGCTTAGTAATATTCTTTTAATTATTAGCTATATTACTATTATTTTTTTATAAAGCAGTATTATCTTACTATAGCTATAATGCCTTTATACTTAAATTTATTATTAAAAGGCTTAAAGCCTTATATTAATAACCTTTATATATAATATAAACTTTTTTATAATTATATAATCTTTAAGAAGTTAAAAAATAGTAAGTTTTTTAAAAAAAAAGATATTTATTTATAATAATAGCTAGAAAAGCTATTAGTATAATCTTTAGCTAATTACTATAAGAATATTACTAACTTTACCTTTTTTTAAAATTTAAAAAAGCCTCTCCTTTACTTATATAATTTAAATACTATTTAAAACCTTTATAATTAATTAAGAATTTTAAAAAATAGTAAGTTATTAATATTAATAAGCCTTTAGGCTAATAATAAAAAGAAAAAGTAAAAAACACTAGCTTTATTATAAGCTAGGCCTTAAGTATTTTAATAACCTTATTAATATACTTTAGTATATTATTTAAATCTATTTATATAGTAAGTCTTATTATAATATAAAATATAAAATAATAATACTTTACTTTTAGCTTTATTTTATAATTAAGAATATAATTAAGGATATAGCTAAAAATATATTAATAATAGTAATAGTAATAGTAATAATAAGGCCTTTTTTTAATTATTTATAAATTTTAAATTATAGCTAGCTATATAAAGATTATAAATAAACTAATAATAGTTAAAAGCTTTTACTACTATTATTATTAATAATAATAATAATAATAATAATATTATTAAAAAGGTTATTATTATTTTAGCTATTTAGCTAGTATTAGTAGTTTAAGATAATTAAAATAACCTAGCCTAGCTATAATTATATATATATTTAATAAGAAATTAAAGAAAATACTATTTTTAAATAAATTAGCCTGCCTTAATTACCTAGTCTTAACCCCTTATACTCTTCTTTTAGTAATATCTCCTTAATAGTAATAACTGCTAGTATATTATACTATATTTTAGTATAGGTGTATAGATAATTATACTTAGGGGGTTAGCCTAGTTAGTGGCATAGACCACTACGGTTTAAATAGAGATATGCTATAGTGCAAATAGGAGGACTCCTTCTATAAGCGGGCTACCTATTGGCCCTGACGTGAACAAGAGCATGTGTCCGTAACCATAGCACACCTGCCAGGGGTCCTGAATGGCCGCCGTATCTGATTTCTATGCCCTTTCTTTATTTCACATTTTTATCTAGCTGACTATAAACATTTTCATCCCACATCATGATTCGGATTCCAAAGCCTGAAGCTTGGACTTGACCCAGTTCTCGAGACCCTTGACGGCGATAATCTCCTGCACGCTAGGAGGCAGCTCGCTGACCTTTTGCTCCCAGACGCTGCCGTCCTTCTCCGTAATCACGACCTTGGAGCGCCTGACATCCCACAGGATCTTCCAGCCGGTGCGGCGAGTCAGAGGCTTCTTGTCTCCGTCCTCCTTGAACGCCTCGCGGAGGCGCTCCACCAAGCGAGGGATTTCGAGGGAGACCAGTGCGTTGTTGATGCTGTTGCGGCTGAAGATGTTGCCAAGACTTCCGGCGATGACGAGGGGAATGTCTCTCGCCAGAATGGAGGTGGCGGCTTGCTCACGAGAACTTCCTGTAGGTGTGAAGGATGAATCAGCCATCTTTATCTTGGACGTAACTCACATAATGAGCAAAGAACCTACCGCAACCAAAGTTGAACCCCGTCACCAAAATATCACCCGGCTTGGTGAGTTTGCCGAATTCAGGGTCATAGTTCTCCATGCACACCTCGGCCATCTTTTCCTTGGGGAGATTGTCCTGATAAGTATACTTGCCTGGTTTTGGAATTAGTTACTGTCATGACATTGGCAAAAAGAGAGGGCCTCATCATTGCATCGCTTACCAGGGTAGATTCCGTCGGTGTTGATGTTGTCGTTATCCCTAGCCTATGTTAGCATATCTTACCGACAGCACTCTGTAACTGAGTAATACTCACAAGAAAACGATTTCTCCCTCAATCTTCTCGGGAAAGCCGGGGAGAATGTCGGCCAATGCCTCGTCTTTGGCAGCAGTTGTAGTCGACTCCGCTTGACCACCCTCGGCAGACGCAATCATGCTATCCACCTCATTGATGATCTTGTCAAAAGCAGACTCGATTGAGCGAGCCTTATCAGCCGCGTAGTCACCGCTTCCCTCACCGATAATGACCTTTTCGACGCCCTCCGGCTTTTGGTACCAGCCAGGACCAGCTATCGCGCCCTTGATAGCACTGGCGGCAACAATCTCGGGGCTGGCAAGGTATGCCTTGCTGCTCCGGGATCCCATTCGGCCGGGGTAGTTACGGTTCGACGCTGAGATGCCCGTCTCACCATCCTCGAGTAGGCCCGTCCCCTAACAAATGGTTAGCCGCTAAATACCTACTACTTCATCTCGATAACATACCAGGCCGATACAAGGACCGCATGATGCTGGCAGCTCGATTGCGCCGGCATCAAGCAGGACCTTCCAATCGCCGGCCTCTTCGGCGATGCGCTGCTCGGCGAGGGAGGCCGCAGCAAGATAGAAACGAACACCGTCGGCAACCTTCGCAGGCTTGCCGTCCTTGGAAGCCTCCCGGAAGACACGAGCCGCCGCAGCGATGTCGCTGGCTCGAGAATTGGTGCAAGATACCAGATAGGCCTTGTCGATCTTGATGTTTTGAGGCTCCAGCTTACTCAAAGGGTTGGCAACCTTGACAGTGTTGGGCCCAGTGACGAATGGTGATAATGTGGACAAGTTGAGGTAGAATTCCTTGGCATAGGTAGCGCCTGGGTCAGCGGCGAGTCGGTTCTCTGATAGTTCGTCGATTCGCTCGTGGTTGATGCGCTCCTTGGCAGGGCTGTCGGTCACAGCTGCGGCGGAGGCCTTGCCGCGATACCAGGAGATGAGCGCGTCATCGACGGGGAACAATCCACCTGCAAGGCCAATGATCAGTTTGTTGCCACTTCGTATCAACATAGGGATAAAGGTGTAGAATTACTCAAGGCGCCCCATTCTGTGGTCATGTTGCTGATGGTGAGGCGGTCATCGATGGGGATGCTGGCCAAGGTCTGTTCTGATCCGGCAAACTCCACGCAGTGGTTGAGGACCTCGTCGTTGTTGAACAAGGAGCAGAGACTCAGAATCACGTCCTTGCCGGTAACGCCAACGGGAAGGAGGCCCGTGAAGGTAATCTTGGCAACAGGTGGCTGCTGAAGCCAGGTGCTTCCAACGCTCCAGATGCCGGCTGCGTCTGATCTTACCACGGGTGTACCGAGGCATCCAATACCGCCGTAGATGGTCGAATGCGAATCACTGGCGACACAAAGCGTCCCTGGCCAAGCGTGGCCTTGAACCCTGCCGTTAGCGTGTTCCATTTAGCACTTTTTGGTTCGGGTAATGTTGCTCTACCTTCGTCGATCATGATCTGGTGGGCGATTCCGTGGCCGGCTGGGTAGAAGTATGTTCCGTGCTTGCGGGCAAACTCCTCGATCAGCCTGTATTTGCGCAGGTTGGACTCGGACTGGTTCGAGACATCGTGGTCGAGAGCTGTTGACGTCAATAGAATGGTCTCGGTGACAGTAAGAGGAGAGAGAGCCGTACCCATGACGATCTGGCCGCTATTGTAGATCTTCTTGAGGCCGAGGTTCATGGCCTTGGTGGCCACAGGATAGCTGTTGTCGTGTGTCATACAGCGGTGCGGCATCTATCAGTCGTTTAGCCATGGACTGCACGGGGTAGGAGATATCGCCAAACGTACAATTGAGATGAAGTCGCCGGCCTTGACCGTCTTCCCAGGGGGGAGGCCAATGGCATATCGCTGGAAGATCTTCTCGGTGAGGTTTTGCGGGTTGGCCGGTGCGGTGGCCTGGTAGAAGGAGGAGGCATTGGGAGAGCCGCCGAGTTGCGACTGAAAAGCTTCCACCTGTTGTCTTCGGGGAGCGGAGGCCGTGTATAGACGCAGCTGGGAGGCAGCTATCGCGGGAGTTCGCAGGCGGGCAACGGCTGCTTGTGACCGGAGAGACGCGAGGCCGAGAGCCCTCGTGCTCAGAGCAACTGCTCTCTATAGGAGGAATCGTCAAGTCAGTGGCATTCTGGCGAGGCTGAAGAGGGTGTAACGCACAAAGCGGGCCATGATGAGTTCCTGGAGCCAGTCAAATGGCCGAGATCATGCCACAAAGAAGAACTTCAAGACCTCGAAGTGGTGATGACTTCTTTCTCGGTTCCTGTACGCCGGCCTCGGAGCTGGGAAAAAAAATTGGATTGACGTAATTGGTCGATATATAATCGCTGGCAGCTGATTGGTTGATAGCTTATAGGCGGCAAACTAAAGCCGATTCGCGATAGCTTCAGGACAAACCGTCAAGGGGAAACGAGAGGCTCTGATGATTGGCCCATTCCATCTTACAGAGTACATACTATCCTCAAGCCTGATGGACAAGATGGGTAAATGCATACTGCTACGCTGTATATCAGCTCAATGTCAGGTCTCTTCTTTGGGCGCACATGTCCAGCGTGATGCCATCAGAGCATCAACTGCAGCACTATGAGGAAGAGACATGTTCATGTTTTCTTCGGCTGTTGCCCCTCCTCTCTTCCTGTCGAGGATTCTGCAACCAACGCCTTCGACTCAACGAATCATGCCCTATGATTGGCCCTGAATTACGCGCCGATGCGACTGGGACTGGGCATCATGCCGCGCGCGACTCGATCCCAGCCTGTGAGGCTGACGGCTGCAGCATGCGCCTTGTCGATTCCGCCTGATGCCCCATCAACGTGCCTCACTGCGGCAAGGCATCACTTCATCTCTTGTTAACCCCGCTCTACCCTTCTCAGCCATATTCATCTTTCTCCTCTGAAGCAGTGTATCTTCAACGGATACCTATCTTCTTGCGTCACAGTATGGTTGATCAAGAGTACAAACGCTTACTACCTAGGTCAACATCTCCGGTAAGGGTCCAGCTCCAAGAGTGATTGGATGCACGATGAAGCGAGGCTTCACTTCTGGGAACCACCTCGAGGCGGCAGAGGGCGCGGGAAAGAGGTTGAAAACGCGGTCGACTGGGCGAAACTGGTCTGAAGAAGATCTACCGCGCAAAAGAAACGACGAATACACGGTTGGGTGGATCTGCGCCGTCGTCACCGAGTACGTTGCCGCTCAAGCGGTTCTGGATGAACTACATGGCAGGCCCGAAGGAGTATCTCCGGCCAGCCAAAGCGACTTTACCCTTGGACGGATCGGAGAGCACAATGTTGTCATTGCTTCTTTGCCGTTTGGAGAGTACGGGACAGCTTCAGCAGCAACGGTCGCCAACGATATGTCACACAACTTCCCCAACATCAGGTTTCGTCTGATGGTCGGTATTGGAGGCGGCGCGCCCAACAACAAGCACGATATCCGCTTAGGAGATGTTGTGGTCAGCGCTCCTTGCAATGGACATAGCGGTGTCATGCAATATGACTTCGGCAAGACGGTTCAAGGCCAGCCGTTTCAACCGACGAGGTATCTGGACCAGCCACCGATGGTCCTCAGAACCGCCATGAGTGGCCTGGCAGCGCAATACGAACACAGAGGCCATCGCATTGAAGACGATGTGGCTGAAATTCTACAAGACTCCCCGCGATTGCAGGAAAAATACAGTCGGCCTCATGAAAGCAGCGACAGGCTCTACAGCAGCACCTGCGTTCACCCCTTCAACGGTAGTGCCGATTGTGAGATCACCTGTGGTGGAAAGTCGTTGATTGTGCGGCCACCTCGACCTCCAAGCCAGAGACTCGTTATCCACTATGGACTCGTTGCGTCTTCCAACCAGTTGATGAAAGACGCGATAGTCCGCGACCACCTGTCTTCACAGTATAACATACTGTGCTTCGAGATGGAAGCGGGCGGCCTCATGAATCAATTTCCCTGCCTGGTCATCCGAGGGATATGCGACTATTCCGACTCACACAAGAACAAAGCATGGCAGGGCTATGCTGCAATGACGGCGGCGGCATATGCAAAAGATCTCATCAAGAGGGTCTCCCCGCCCAACTCCAGCGCTGGGCAGGGCACAAACAACACGAGCTTGTCCACCCAACTCCAGGCCACCCAGGACAGATCGTACACATTCAGCAGCGAAGAAAGATGCCAATTGCTGAAGTCGCTGCGCTTTGATCAAATCGACGCTCGCCAGATGACCATCAAGAAAGCTCATGTTAAGACATGCCAATGGCTGCTGCAAAGGCCCGAATATCTTGATTGGCTGGATCCAGCAAAGTTCCAAGAGCACCACGGATTCCTATGGATCAAAGGCAAACCAGGAACTGGAAAATCGACGCTGATGAAGTTCGCTCTTCGAAATGCTCAGAGGAAAAGGGGAGGGAAGATCATCATTCACTTCTTCTTCAATGCGCGGGGAGAGGACTTGGAAAAGTCTACGGTGGGAATGTATCGATCACTTCTCTCACAGCTCCTCGAGAGAATTCCATCTCTCCTAGATACTCTCGAAGTACCAGGATCCATAGCGCGATCTGGCGAGGATCACCACTGGAACACGGAGATATTGACTGATTTGCTCGAACAAGCCGTCCAGAATCTTGAAGGGTTCAACGTTTTGTGCTTCATCGATGCCTTGGATGAATGTGAAGAAGACCATGTTCGCGACATGATCAGGTTTTTCGAAACTGTGGGCGAGTCCATTACAGCTGGGACTTTCCGCGTTTGCTTTTCAAGCCGCCATTATCCGCATATCACAATCTCGAAAGGCTTGGGTCTTGTTCTCGAAAGCCAAGAAGGGCATACCCAAGACATCACCAGTTATATTGACAGCGAGCTCATGATTGGAAGAGAAGCTCTTGCGACACAGCTTCGCACCGAACTCCGAGAAAAAGCAGGGGGGATTTTCATGTGGGTTGTCCTTGTCGTCGGTATTCTAAACAAGGAATACGACAGCGGGAGAGTCAAGGACTTACGGAAAAGGTTGCAAGAGATTCCAGGAGATCTCCATGAGCTCTTTCGCAACATTTTGACGCGCGATAGTCAAAACACCAATCAGCTCCTTCTTTGCGTTCAATGGGTACTTTTCGCGAAACAGCCTTTGGAGCCACAAGAGCTGTACTTTGCCCTGCTTTCCAACGAGATGTATCGATGGAACACCGAAGAAATCACGCTGGCTGATATGGGGAGATTCATACTGGATTCATCGAAAGGACTTGCCGAAACGACCAACTCCAAAACTCCAACGGTGCAGTTCATCCATGAATCAGTCAAGGACTACCTACTCAAAGAAGATGGTCTGAAGCAGATTTGGTCCGATCTCGGGGCAAATTATGTCGGGGAAAGTCACAACAAACTCAAACGATGTTGTCTGGACTATATCACCCTCGGCAAACGGGCTTATGGCGACGCCATGGATCTCACACTCAAGGCTTCATCCTCGGAAGCAAAAGCACAACGCAAAGCTGCGAATGGTTCCTTTCCATTTCTGCAATATGCTGTGAAGAACATTTGGCACCATGCAAATGAAGCACAAGCGGGCAATGTTGATCAAGCCGAATTTCTCAGGACCTTCCAGCTCTCTGACTGGGTGAGACTTGACAACTTCTTTGCAAAACACGACACCAGACGACACAGAGAGACTGTCAGCATTGTCTATATCTTGGCTGAAAATGACGCGGCACATCTGACCAAACTTTATCCAGCCCGCTCGTTCGTCGCCGAGGAAAGTGACCAATATGGGCTACCGATATTTGCGGCGTTCGCCACCGATAGCAGGGAAGCTGTCCGAGCAATGCTCGATGCTTACGTGGAGACGGAGCCTTCATTTCGTGGCGTTGCCCAGTATTTTCACCGTAATGAGGCCGAGCAAAGTGGTATCGGTATTGGACGCGAATTCAAATTCCGTTCAAGCCTGGCGCTCGAGCACATATCACGAAGAGGGGCCACGTTGGCTGCTGTATTCTATCTCACATTGAAGCATCGTGGCTTGGGGCTAAACACACACTCGATAGAGGCTCTGCTCTATGCTGTCAAGGGAGGTCAAACGTCCATGGTGGAGTACTTCTTCGAAAACGGCGTACAGCCTGAACCTGGATCTAAGTTTATCCAGGAACTTCTTACCTTTGCGATCGCGGAGCGTCGTGAGCAGGTGGTCGCGTTTCTGCTCAACAATGGGGCAACGTTTGATCCTCTGACCAAGGAGGGACGATCATTCTTCCGTGTGGCTGCCGAAGGAGGCCTGCAATCGATACTCGAGATCTTCCTTCGGAGAGGTGCAGAAGTTGACTTTCGATATTTCAATGACAGAACCTCGTTATCGTACGCAGTATCACGAAAGGACAACGAAGCTTGTATCGCATTACTACTCGGCCATGGCGCGGAGGTTGATGCGATAGACGCTGATGGTAGAACACCATTGACATATGCGTCGAAGGAGGCAGCAATAATACTACTCGAAAACGGTGCGAATGTCAACGCGAAAGACAACCAAGGGAGGACAGTGTTATCCCACGCAGGATCCGGAGATTCGGGCCTGGTCGAGCTGTTGCTCAATAAGGGTGCAGAGATTGACGCGAAAGACAACGATGGCAGGACGCCGCTATCACACGCTGTATCTCGATACAAGAATGAAGATTCCGTCGCATTATTACTTGACCGAGGCGCGGAAGTTGATGCGAAAGACAGCCGTGGTAAAACACCATTGATGTATGCGTCTGAGGGGGCAGCAAGAATCCTACTTGGAAAGGGAGCGAAGGTCAATGCAAAAGACAACCGAGGAAGGACAGCATTATCGTATGCGGGAGAAGGACCTTTTGAGCTGGCCAAGCTATTGCTTGGCGAGGGTGCAGAGGTTGATGCAAAAGGCAATAACGGTAGGACGCCACTATCATATGCCTCCCAGTTTTGTGAAAAGAGGATAGCTCAAATGCTCCTTGAGCAAGGGGCAGAAGTTGATGCAAAAGACAGAAACGGCAGGGCGCCACTATCATACGCATCAACCCGCTCGAACGCGGAGACAGTTCAAGTACTACTCAAGCAAGGTGCAGAAGTTGATGCAAAGGATAACAACGGCAGGTCGGCATTGTCATACGCAGCGTCCACCCCTTTCACCAGAGATGTAATTGCACTACTGCTTGATAATGGTGCAGCGATTGATGCAAAGGACCATCAAGGCAGAACGCCATTGTCATACGGGGCATCGACTGGGGGGACTGGAAGTAGAGCTGCTCTGTTGCTCCGAAGGGGTGCAGTGGCTGATGTAAAAGACAAGAATGGCAGGACACCCTTATCTCACGCAGCAGAGCAGAACATGGACTGCGAAGTCCAACTGCTGCTCGGCAAAGGCGCAAAGGTTGACACAGAAGATCAACAAGGCAGAACGCCATTATCATATGCATCGCAGAAGGGAGGCGAGAAGACAGTCAAACGTCTTCTGAAGAGCCATGCATCTGTCGATGCACGCGATCGTCACGGCAGAACGCCGCTGTCATATGCCTCGAAATATGGTCATGCGGGCGTCGTCGGCTTGTTACTTGACACATGTGCAGAAGTTGATGCGAAAAATGAGCACGGCAAGACACCCTTATCATACGCATCAATTGCTGGGCACACGGCAATAGCCAAACAATTGCTTGATAAAGGTGCAGACATTAATGCCAAAGATGATAAGGGCAACACGCCGTTGATCTATGCGACGTCGTACAGACGCCTGGAGACAATCAAACTACTGATCAAGCGAGGGGCCGATATCAGGGCGAAGAACAATCAGGGCAGCACGCCGTTGAGATATGCAAAGGCGCGGGGGTTGGACAGCAGCATTCAAAAGATGCTGAAGGGCTCACCCAAAGTTGACCATGGCGGAGGAGGCAAATCGGCACCGAGATGAAGCAGAATTGGAATATAGTACCTTAGGCAGTGAAACTGTACCCAGGCTTGTCAGGCCAGGAACTGTTTGACGTGTGAGCCAAGAGGCAATGCCAGATAATTCGGCGAGTGAACTCCATATAATATTGCCATCAAGCATTCATGTGATTCATGGCATGCCGACCTTAACTGCATCACTCTTTGTGCTGGCTCCTAGTGCTGGTTGCTGTGCCAGTACCCTATGTTTTGAAATATTTCTGAATCGGTTTGTTCAGAAGATACCTACCTGACTAGTACTACAAGCTGTATTAGGTCTCCAGAAATGGATGCGGTTTCCGATCAGGATTTCACAGTCCGTAAAGCAGCCCCTATATTGTAGAAACATGACTTGTAGAGCATAAGGCATGAGACACACTGAACATCCCATATGAAACGAGAACTAGCCTTGACTCTCTGCAGACATTAATAATGTGCTCTCTCTGAAACCCTACAAGGTCTGTTGCTGCGAGAATACGTGACGCAAGAGCAGTTGCGAAAAGCAGTGTATCATGGTGCACAGTCAGGGAAGACAGTTTGACTCTAGTCAGTGCGAGAGATTCGCGGTGAGGAAGTTGGATGAAGAGAACAGTGAAATGATAACAACAATTGTTTCTAAAGGTGTATAAACTGCAAAAAAAGAAACATACAACAGCCGGTGTTCGCCAGTGGTCACCCACCTGACTACTAATCTGCCTCTCATTGGCTTGACTCTGGGAGAGCAGACGGGATCCCGTATTCTCCAATGGATATGGTCGTATGTGCTTGGAGGTCTGGTGGAAGGGCCTATCAAGATGGCGTGACCGAAGCTCTCTCTGCGTTGAGGCAATTTCGTGATATGCGGCCAACGCCATGCTGAGAGAAGTGAGATCTTACCCAGTCCTGCACGATATGTACCTTGGGATGACAAGAACAGGTCTGGATGATCCAGAAAGCTGCAACTCATGGGCATGTTAGAGCGGCACCTCAATGCCATATTTACCGTAGTCAAAGTGCTCCAAGCTCGGGATACACTCAGCCCAACCGTCATCGATCTCTCCAAGCTGCCACTCGTCTCCAATCTCGATCAGCCCCGTCCTCCCGGCAAGCACAAGCTTTACTCTGTCTTGGTACTCAGCCGCCAGATCTGGATGGGGGACCCAGATAACCCTCATACCTGCCCTTCTTCCAGCCTCGACCCCAATGATGCTGTCCTCAAAGACCAAACACTCGCTGGGCAGAATAGGTGATTCGTCAGGACCAATGGCTGAGTTGAGAGTCTCTAGAGCAAGCAAGTAGATGTCGGGTGCTGGCTTCACTCGCCCCTTGGGAACGCGCGGATTGTCGCCCAGTATGCGTTTATGTGGCTGGAAGAAGTCGAGAAGTCGTTTCGTTTCCGGCCGTGATGTCTTCAGCTGGTAGCTGTGAGTCCTAGTACTCGACGCTAATGCCAGCTCAATCGGCTTCCCCAAAGAAGCACTTCGTGCCCGGCTGAGATTCGATAAGAGCTTCTCTGCGCCGGGCAACGGCTCACAGTTCGGAAAAAGCTTGTGCATTTGCTCCCTTGATTCGCGCGCGAATTGCTCGCGAGAGATGGGCAGCTGTGCCCAGTCATGGAAGACGTCGCTGTTGGTGGAGTCGGGTATGCCCATGAGCTGAGCTCGGATGGACCGAACAAAGGGAGGTCTGGAATACTTTTCCAGGAGCTGGTTTATGGACTGAGTGATGATGTCTTCTGAGTTGATGAGAAGGCCATCCATGTCGAAGATGCAGGCACGGATTGGTGGGAAGCTGCTGACGGGTTGATTAGCCTCGGACGACTCCTGCAGGTGACGCACGCTGACACCCTTGCTAACCTCGCCTTTGGATGCCATGTGAGAGATTACTCACGTTGTCTCAAGTGGCGCCATGATGGCTTCCTTAGCTGTTAGTCTGAACTTGTTAACGTAGACTCTGATGGCTGGATATAGTTATGCCTGGGTTATCAAGAGTCAAGTTGAACACGAGATGCTGATAGGTTCAATGATGCCTGTCAACCACGACAGCTTCATGGAAGCAACTAGCAACGAACCGAATTGTAAAGCACTCCCCACTTGCCCACCTAGATACAACACCAGTAGTAGAAGCTTCTCACACAGTGTTCACGAACAAAGCCGTCACAATCCCTTCACAAACGAACGCTTTTAGTCCCTTACGCCATTGCGCCACAGCCGACGTCAAAATCGACGCTTCAACGGCCAGGATCAAATATAGTGAGAAATAGAATGGTTGTGAGCCTGACAAGGCAGACATCATGGAGGGTCGCTAACAACAAGCCTTCGTCGGGACAGGGGCAATAGCGTCAGGCCAGTTCTGCTTCCGCCCCGCCACACAGCTTATCCGCGTCCTTTTCCGTAGACACGGGTATGGACACAAGCAAACACACACTTGCAAGGTTCGTGATCCACTCGTCGTTGAAGTCTGTAGTCAGCTATATCTGGCAGTCTTACAGGTGATTTATGCCGAACCCCTCTGGCGGTAATTCGCATCGGCAAGAGGTTGTGTTGTACCGGAGTCTGTAGAGGAATGGAGCCTTGGAGGACACAGCTACTTTGCATTTCGCTGGCTGTTTAGCTACAATGGTTCATCTGCTGTGTTGAGCTACTATCTCGAGTATGTATGTGTCGGATATTTGCCTACAAAAAGGATCTTCAGTCATATCGGTTGGAGCAGACTGCTGAACTTTCGACGTACCAGAACTAGCAGCTGGAGTCTACGCTGGTGTGTTGCAGAGACTCCATTAGTGACGAAGTATTTGACTGTGTCATCCTCGTTTTTGGTGATTTAGCAATGGCCTCCGCCTTCCGTTACGAAGACGGAGAGTGACCGGGCTAAAGGAAAAAGACTCAAAGGATGAAAGGGAAAAGTAAAGTATACAGAGGTATGTATAACAGTAAGTTCTGTGGTGGATCATGGTAGACCGTTAGGAAATTCTTCTCTTCAGCTGTAGACAATTTATATCAAGGCCGAAGGCACGCCGTACCTATAACAGAGCCCAATTCTGGTTTGCTATCAATCTTCCAGGTCCGCTCTCCATCTAAAGCTCCTCCGAGGGGCCTTCGGCATCAGTATACAAATTGTGAGTCTATACTATCTTGACCGTAGCAGTCTTGCCGTCTTCAAAGAGCTCACATCGCTCACCAGTTCCGCTCGAATGCGACCCAATGCCGATCCTCTCATACGCCCCCGGAACCGACGTGGACGGCTTCAGTACCAAGAACCACGTGTTTGGGCCCATCTTGCGCATCTTGCCGTCGGCATCATACTTCCAAGTAAAGGCAAGCCAAGAGAAGAGTGCAAGACAAAGTAGCCCCTCGTCTTGAAACTCATAACCGCTCTCATGTCGACGGTTTTCCTCCTCGCAGCTGGGCATTCGACAATTGCTGGACAGACTGGCAAGCGTCCCTGGCTGATCTAGGGTTACCTCGGCAGAGAACGAGTTTGCGGACTGCACAATTGCGTTCCCTTCTCTGTGTGATCCATGAGCCGCTTTCAACTGCACAGACGTTGTAAGGCCTGTCAGGACGACTTCGCCGCTTGTGACGGCGCTTGTTTCATCGTGCTCGAGCTCCCTCTTGCATAAAGCACTCTCTAACTTGACGAGATCTATCAGGTTGGGCGTGTACTTCCAGGTTTCCAGCGGCCGATCGAACTCGAACTTGACCGGTGATTCAACAGAAGCCCACGACCAGCTTGGAACTCGTAAGTTGTCGTCTTCCTCCGCTTTTCCTTCAACCTTGGCGTCAACCTTGCCGCTGCTGCTGTCCCCCGGCTGTGCATTTGGATGCTGAACTGTCCAGGTGAGGTCGAAATGGAACTCGCGCTTCCACAGACCCGCCAGATACTCTTCAGCATGCTCGCCATCTTCATCCTTCTGCGCCCCTGGAAGTCCTTCACGAACGAGCTTTGCCAGCCCAGACACCGCGCTCAGTCTATCCTTTCGACGGGAGAGAAAGCGCTGCGAGTACTCGGAGACAATATCCCTCCATCTTCTATAGGGCGTCTCGGGAAATCCATCACCGCTGCGGTAGTAATTGTAGCCGTGGTATTCTTCGTACCAAGGCCGTGCCGGCTGCGGATGCGATATCGCCACCTTAGCCTTGAGGCGTTTGGTCTTGAGGTGTGCTCCAAGACGTCCGAAGCCGAATGGCTGGGGCTGCCACAGGATGTGGCCACATTCGCAGACTGTTCGACAGAGACACTCCCAGATCATCTCATCTCCGGTGAAGCATAGGCGGCGACTCGGTAACAGACTTTCCTGAAGACACCAGCCTCGCTTATCCAGGGATCGCTTCGTGTCTTCTTCTTTCTCTTCGTTGAAGTCGTCGGCAACGGGTCGCACGAAGATCTCCAGAGGTGGTTCATCTGGGTCAGATGCGACATCATTTGCTGTGAACTGCTGCTGCCAACCAGGTTGTCCAAAGGTCTGCGCACCGAGGACCCGTGATTTGCAGCTTGATGGCTCGATCGCCGCAATTGTAAGACGTGAATGAAGATAAATGCGATCCATCTGCGACGCATCCTCGAGCCAAGCGATCGGATCATCTTGAATAATGCAGAGAGAGTCTACCCACAAGTAGGGAATCTTGAGTCCACGGCATACAGCAACAGCATCTTGTACAGCATTAGGCATCTTGGCGAGAGGAATAGCATCGTGGTGAGACTCCACGTTTTCTGTCGTCGTCTGTAGAATGCCTTCCGTATCAGGTCCCCAGCAATAGCTCAAACAAGCATAAGGCGCCACTGAAGTCGGCTTGAACAAGAATGGCTCCCGAGAGCTTTGCTGAGAAGTGACGTCTATGAGCATCCGAGGCATGAAATCTGCGTTGGGCACTTCACACGCGTCGTCATGCTCCAGACAGTGAGAGAGCCATTGAGCCGCCCGATCCATTGCCGCTTGAGATGATGAGTCTGGGATGACTCGGAGGCCTTGGGCACGGGGTCGCCGTAGTATGTTGCTGGACTTCTTGTCTTCTATTTCGTACAGTGGTTCATCTAGACGGTGTAAGTCATGGCTTGCTATTGACTAGAAATGGAAGCAACTTCGTGAAACCAACCTTTGGATCTGTGAACAATTTGGAATGTACCGACAGGCTCGCTGTCATATGATCCATGAAGAAGTTGGACGGTGTATGTCTTCCTCTTGGTGAGATGTATCAAGCGTTTGTCGTCCTTGTCGTCTTCTAGCCACCCAGGTTTGTAGTTTGACACGGCCTGCAACAGAAGTTTGCATTCGATGCATTCGGCAGAGGCATCGATGATGACTTGTCTGGACGCTCCAGCCCCGAACAAACTGCCGTCGCCATTGAATCGCTCGTGGGGGCATCTTTTACTAGACTCCTCATCGTCTGAACTGCTGTAGTCCGTCTCCCAGTCCGACATATTGAAACTCAGCAACACGCAACTTCTGACGCTCTCAAGCCTTTCGTACGAGTGGGGATGCAGTTAAAAAATTGTGTTGCGTGATATGGCCCCAACAAGTCACATCCCTCATCATGATCGCACGAGCTTTTCCCAGGCCAGAGTTGCAGACAATGGCAGCCTAAGGTACCTTTATACGTGCAAAACCCCTCAGCAGATATTATCCTGATGCATCCCATCCCCACCGATCAGGCTGACAGGCGGCAGTGCAGCTCTGCATGCAGCCTATGCTAGTCTGATCCATCCGTCAAAACATGCCTTGTTGAGCGAGCAAGAGGCCGGCCAATGAGTGGCCAGGGTGGAGAGACGTCTCGCTCATGATCCTTGTCCGCTGAAATCCAGCCATTCCGAGACTCAGCTCTCGCTGTTCACAAAGGATCAAATGTAGCGTCCACCAGACCTGTCTTTCCGGCAGTGCTACCAAGAAGAACTCAGTAGCTTCTATAGTCCATGGATACTTTTCCTTCTGCCATTCCATCGCGGGTTGGCCACCAATCGTCACCCCGTCCGTCGTACTTCTCTTCGAGGAACCGTTCCAATGAGTCACTTGGAACTCCGAGCACCAGTCCACCAAAACGAACACAAGGCTTTCATCAATCTCCCACCAGACACAATGAAAGTGAAGATGACATGGAAATACAGTATGGGGAGGGGCCGATTCCAGCGCCTCGAAACCAGCGCGGTCCTCCTCGAGTCAGACAAGCCTCCCGCAATTCGAATGCTTCATCACGGAAACGATCACCGTTTGAGGAGCAGTCAACATCAGAAGATCCCGCAAAAGGCGGAATTGAGCTAAATGAGGGACTTGAAACTGACGGCAAAAGGGCTGCGGAGATTGAGGAGGCTGGTCTATCTTGCACGGTGGCTCTACCAAGTGACAATGAACAAGCCCGGCCCTACACAACTCCCACAGAGGCAAATTCAGTGTGGACAGCAGAGAAGACCTACGACAAGAGGATTGGCACAACAACTCTCCATTCGATTCATTCCCTACAGTATTCCATAGGCGAGAGGGGACTGCCGAAAGTCACACTCTTTTGTCCGCAAGGTCCTGCACGGCACGAGGAAGACGTCTCTCCAGTGCAAGCTAGATGGCTGTAAGTGACTCTCACAACATCTCCAGGAGTTATTCAGTCTCACCGACACCCCATTCAGCCACGTTGAGCGCCGTTCAATAAACATCAAAATCCTTGAAGTACGGAACTCAGCCACCTAAAATTCCCACGATGCATTCTAATGTGCCGATAGAAGATTGTCATGGACTGCCCATTGATCAACAGGGATATCCAAAGAGTTGCCATCCTCCTGCTGGAAACTGTCAAGGAAACATTTCTCCGACAGGCGGAACATGGTGCATACGTCGAGCCTGGTTCAGCTCTGCGGTTCGTTGGCCAGCGTCCACAGGTGCACGACTCGCACAGCATCATTGTCACGGACCCCGTCCTTTTCGTTGCGTTTCCGTTTGTGGAACTGGAGTCGTCAAGACATCACCCTGGGCTCAGCGAAAGAGACGAATACCACCCTCGCACTCTGCTCCAGAATCTCTACGGATTTGATGTCCTTACCAGCCGTGGCAAGCAGCAAGTTATCCACAAGATGTCAGTTTGCAGTCAATCGAGCGACACCTTGTATGTGAAGCAGCTGTGGTGTCTACTGATAGGCTCCGACATTCTGATCACCATGTCAAGCCAGCCGTCGGAGAAGCTTCTTGGTGAGACGATCATGAAACGGACCGACTCCCCCAGGCAACCATTGAGGATCGAGGTCATCGACACATACGGCTCTCAGTGCAGCATGAGTGTATCGTTGAAGACAACATGGGTCGACTTTTTCCGGCATGTCATGTTGACCATCTACGGTAACCTCACCAAGATCATGGACTTTGAGCTCGTGGATGAGACAACCGAGATTGTGACGGCAGATAGATGGGTTGAGATTGCAAAGTCAACGAAGTCGGACCTGCTTAGATTCCAGCTCGTTGAACGAAAGATTCCAACATCGCGCGCATCGAGCATCTCTAGTCGAAAGAGCAGTCGTACAGGCATCAGAAAGTTGCTAATGGATCATGCATATCATGACAGAAGTCGCGATTCATCACGCCGTCATAGACGCAGAGAAAGCTATGACGAGGCCTCATCGTCCAGCGAGGGCTCGATAGTCTTGAAGAAGTCATCAAGTCCAGCTTGGCCTCGCTCACAACGACATCAAACATCTTTCTTTGATACTGCCGCGCTCAAAGAATTGGCCAAAAAGAAGGAACGAGACGGCGATAGGAAGAGCGAGGAGTATCTAAATGTAATCATTCGTGGCCGTGGCTCGCAATCTACTCCTACTGTCTTCACCTTGGACAGCAGCGATGAAAAAGCTTCAACAGAAGACGAAGCTTCACGACACAGTGCAATTACTGCAGTGCCGCAGCTATTGTCGCCGTCGACCACCAAGGATGGCGATGAACATCACAAGCAGTTACCCAGTTCGGATGTCCCATCTTCAGATCACCACAAACAGCTTCCAGAAGACAAAGCAGAAGAAGGAAAGACAACCAACGACAGAGCAGCCGCCGTGCAGCTCGAAGAGGCTCCATCCCAGTCACAAGGCGAAGATGAACAAGTAACTTCTAAAGAAACACCCAAAGAAACCATTCCTCCTTCGCCAAACAAAGAGAGAAGCAATCAGAGCCCTAGTGCTCAAGTTGTTGTCAATGCTTCAATCGAACCCATCAATCGCCCAACAAGCTATCGAAAAGTCACGATAGAGGACGAAGCCGAGACGGAACTTCACGACGCCAATAGTCGCATGAACAATGATTGGGATCATAATCCCTGGATATATGAGTTTATTGAGGCAGAACCTGAGGATGATGAAGTGCTGGAAGACAAGGAAGACACTTCAGATCAGTCATGGCCCCAAACCCGCCCGGCTCGAGCAAACACGCCGCAGAGACGCTATCCATATGATATACGCCGGAGTTATTCCTACAGAAAGTTTCATTCACAGCTACGCTCTCCCTCAAGTTCAAGTGACGATTTGTTCCCTCGACGGGGGAGAAGTCGTACACAGAGAAGACGACTTCGGAGGGACGATACACACTCATCACGGAATTCCTCTTCTTGGCGCGGGGTACGTTTTGAGTCAAATAGCCAGCACTCCAGTGGGCGTGAGACTCTCGAGATGTCACCCTACGGCAGTTCGAATGCCACCAAAGTCGAGGTCTCATCAGTGAGAGCATTTGCAGTGCCGTTCTTCTACTGGAGACAAAGCGGCATGCTGGGCGAGGAGTCGAATCCAGAACTAATAGATCAGAGTGTGATCAGACTCCTTGACCATATTGACGAACTCATCTGTGACGATCCAGTTGGCAAGTACTATTCGAATGTTGCAGAGTTTACCATGGACGACGTTTTATTGAGACAGGAGTGCCTCGACGAAGCCGCCCCCATAAGTATCGGAATGAATTCCCCTCCTTCGACTAAAACTGAAGGGATTGGAGAGCAAGCCAGTCCCAACCAAAATAATGATAATGCCGGCGATTTAACAGATGCGTCGCCATGTCGAGGCTTCCAAGAAAATACGCAGTTCATCCAGACGAAGGCAATTGGCCTCATAAGCCACGACAAGACACTCGTAAAGCAACTGGTCGGAATGAGCCAGCAAATTGTTTGGTCATTTGTACCGCACACTGGCGGAGCGGTAATACATACTCTGATGAAGCGGTTCTGGGGATGTGTGGATCGAATTTGTCTGGTAAGCAGTGCCTTCGCCTCCAGTCTATCCTGTTGGGCCTTGGTCAAAGCTGATGTCTCATGCTCGAGGACAGCAACTCCTCTGGGATGAAAACGAGAGAGGACAGGACGCTGAACACACATACATTATCCGAAATTTCTCAAGCCAGGTCAAAGAATACAACTCTAGGAGACGGAAGCCATCCGTAGGCAAGATTCACTACTTGGATTGCGAGGATTGCAAGGCTGCCAAGCCGTATTCTTCCGCTGAGAGTGCTCTGGAGCATATACACGCAAAGCATATGGAATGCCCGCACAGCGAGTCGGGGAGGCCATACGACGATCCTTGCTATGCGTGGCTGCATCGCATTTGGCATGACAGCTACCCCATGAGAAGTTCACAAGATGGACTCCTTGGCATTGTCGAGGACTTTATCGAGGAGCTTTCCGACATCAGCATGTATGTGAGAGAGCTGCTCAATATGACTGCACGGGACTCTTCAACGGCGGATACGCCTCCTCTTACGATCAACACCATCCACATCTTTCAGCAAATTGTCAAGATCTTTGTCTTTCGCTCAAAGCAGCTGTCTCTTATCAACCGGCGCCGCACCATTTCTGCAGAAGATTCCTCAGGGAACATTCGGCTCATCCAACGCATTGATCGCAAAATAGAAGAGCTATCCTCACTAGAGATCGACGCCAATGACCGCATCATAGACCTTTCCGAAAGCGCCAAAAAAGACATTTTCATGTCTGGAATTGGGTCTGCTTCTGAGACTCCTCAGGCGGAAACTGTTCGAGTACAGTTTCTTGCCCTAGCATTGATGTCATGTTACCAGAGGCCCCTACTGCAGTCGTCGTACGCAGGGTCTTCTTATGCCAAAGACACGCTTTTGCAGCTGTACAGAGATTACACATCTCGCCTTCACTTTCAGGCAAACAACCGTCCGAGGAAGCGCGTCTTCTTGGACATTCATGGCCTTGACGAAGAGCTTCAAGCACTGGATAAACTGTTAGGCAGCCAGGAGATCTGTCTCTACAACACGCTTACACTCATCGACCCTCTTACCTCTCGCTACACGACCAAAACTCGGCTGAGGGAGTTCCGAGTTGAGCTGCCATATGGAAACAATATGCTGCGTGGCATCATCAACAGAAGGCGAGAGATTGAGAATCTAGCGACAAGACTCCGAATTCTCAAGGATCAAGTCAAACAAACGATTGAGATCTTGGAAGAAGATCACGGCAAAGCCATCAGAGTCTTCACGGTGGTGACCTTATTCTTCTTGCCGCTCTCATTCGTTTCAAGCTTCCTGGGAATGAACACGGTAGACGTAAGGGATACAGAGTATAGCCAGCGCATCTTTTGGTTAACCGGAGTGCCGGTTACGGTAGCGGTCTTGTCGGTGGCATTCGCCTACGGCTACAAAGGAGAAGAGATCATTGACTGGATAAGTCACGTACTACAAGACAAAAGACGCCGGACGCCCACATGGGGCGAGAATAGAGATGCCGGCGACCGGACGTCGCTTGAGGCAGGATGGAGAGACTTGGTTCCAATGACGGAGCCGAAGCAACACACGGCCCGTCGCCGACGCTTGACGACTCTCATGAGAGGTAGATCAAGCGAATCCCGTGGCGATATTGAGAATTTGCAGATGGAAGATCCTGGTGGAAAAGTCTGGATCGAGAGACGGAACACGGATGATAGCTTGGCGCCTATACGACGGAGAGGATAGTTGATCCGGTTTCAAGGATGCATGTCGTGTTGGTGACGGTTTTTCGGGTCCGTAGGGTTACAACCGGAGAATATATCGCTGAAGCTTGGGATTGTGCGCCAATAATAGCCCCGGCATGGGGCAACTGGTGCTCCAGGTGGATTCTGTGGGTGGGCAAGTCTTCATCAACGACGTGCAAGCAAATTTGCTGTGAGGTGTAGCTTGTCTTGAGAAACTTTCCATGTCTCGGTGTTATCACGAAACCGTAAAGCATTCTATGCTTTAAGTTGCTTCAAATGAGTCCAGACCGAAGCTTTAGTTGTGGCCTTGCCTATCGCCGGTGCAGCAAATCTTGGCAGTATCCATATGAACATTGATCGCTCGCCGAGGTTATTCTTAGCAGTGAAAACTTCTATGAGATTACCTAGTGCAGAGACTCAGAACCCCTTACTTGTAGTAGGCTCACCGTTCCGCTTCCAAGAGTCGGTCAAAGCGACTCCTTGTCAGTCTTCTGAGCGCTTATTTCATGGTTTCCTCCAATCCGCAACCCTCTTCGGCCACAAGCAACTGGCACCATTCGAATGATATCATCATGAGATCCGTGATAGTTACACAAGGGCAAGGACATTCTGGAGCCGCCATATACTCATTGCCGCCTACATAGATACCAAAAGTTGGGGAAACGCGACTCCGCAAATCGAACTACTAGCCGCCGCTATATAGGGGCAATAGTCTCTAAGCCTCACTTCAGGCTCTTAATCTCCACAAACCGAGAGTTGGCTCTGTAAATCTCACTTAGCGTTCAGGCCGGGTGTCTTCATTAGCAGTCAGACGAGGCTCAGTAATGGGTCTCGTGCTCAGCGGCTCTTCGGAAAGGAGCTATTCCTTCAACGCGCATCCCTCACGGCGTCTAAAGCTATCACTTCCAGTAGGACCGCCCATATTTACGTACTGTATCACCAGCTGAACGGTTTCGGGCTGACGAACTAGTCGCTCTGCGTACTAGCTAAGCGGCTGAAGTCTCACAACACCCCTGCTCATCGAAGGATGCATGTTGGTGATGTCCACGACCTGTCCTTTGTTCCGCAGTGGACGAAGTCTTATGAACTTGCTCAACTGGACTAATACTCACCCAAACTGCTGTGAAATTGCAGAAAATGACGCAGAATGCGATTAACCCCTCTTCCTTACTCCTGAATTGTGGCTTAGAAAGTCGTCTTATGCACAAGTATATAATCCTACTGGGTAGCTTGGAACTGAAAGGGAGTCACCTTCATCCTTCCATCCTGCTCGTTCCAGCCTCGTCTCAGCATCAGGCTACAATTTCAAGTGTTTTTTGGCCATTGAACTTGTCATTCATCCTTTATTCTCTTCTACAGCAATCATGGGTTGTTCGCGTTGTCGCACCGAAAGCCTGCCTTGTGAGGGTGGCGTACCATGCATAGAGTGTGATCGCGAGGGCCTTCCGTGCTCTCCATAAAGTGCTGGATATGTGAGCTAAATATTGCATTCTCTGAATTTGATACTCCTCTGAAAATAGCCCCGAACTGACATTGATATTTCATCTGTCCAGTGCCCATCCGACCGCAGTCATCGCTCGGAGGCTTGACAGCGCACTCCTTTTCGAAAACCTACTGGAATAAGTGTAAACACATCGGTCAATGTTCTTCTTGGATGAGCCACACGAGGGTCAGTCTTGGAAGGTGTAGAAGTTGATTTCAGGATAAATGTACTGGTCAAGCTGGAAGGTTCGAGACAAGACTATAACAACCGCTTCAGGTGTTGGGAAACAGATTTCGACTATTGTATAGAGAAACCTTCATTGTAGGAGAAGAACTGGAAGCTGCAAGTATTGATGATAGCTCCCTCCAATTCAAGTGTTATGTGGGGAAGTAAGTTGATGGTGTGAGAGATGAGAGATGATACAAGTTCCCATCTGATAAGGCGATTTGTAGTCCTTCCCAGGTTAGTGTAGACCTACCACGATCAAGAGCCCCAATAACATAGCTAATTAACGTTCCATCAGGTTTGAACAGGATAATATATTCGCATGAAGTATTGACAACGTTATGCACATTGGAATTGTATCTCGGGACAGCGATATAGTAGTTTCGTTGGGCAGTCATACTGCTTCATGCGAAGAAAGAGCATGATAACAACGAAGTAAGATGAGGACAGCTCTATCGACATATTATTGCAAACTTGGTACTCGTATAGTAGTCATGACAGAAACGTCCTCTTCGTGTTCCATGAAGATTTCAGGGATCATTCTGGATGCTGCAAAGACTTCACGTTCGTTGATAGGAATTTGGGCACCCGAACTATTGGCGAACCCGTGGAATAAAGTTCTGATTGGTTTGTAGTTGAGCCGATAGTGCCGGTTGTTGATGGAGTGTCTGGAGTGTCTGGTTCAACTTAGGGATCGTCTAGAACCCGATTGCCTAATTATATAGATGAACAACACTCGGCCTTCTCTACAACCAAAGTCATTTCTAGCCAATATAATTTGTCTTGTCTCATTATTTGAACATAGTCTCTCATATATTGGGAATAGTTCCCTCCCCCAACAGCAGCATTGCTTGCTGGCCAGCGTCTTGTACCATGATGGATCGTCTTCAATTTCACCAGATCGGGATCATGTTCAACTACATTAATTATTGGCTGAAGGCCCTATAATAGTTGGAGCAATTCTATCTCCCTAACAAATGACCTTGTCTATGAACTCACTCTATGCTACCTCCTCTGCTAAAACCGCCAATGAGTGCTCTAAATCCTCTCCCCAAGATCCCTCCTCCGGCTTCCTCTGGCTTGGGCCTCCTGGGGAGTATCAAAACCTCTGCTTCGTCTGCATTTGCAGGAGCTTCCCCCCTGCGAACCCGAAAGTTCACCTCAAGATCATCCGGCACAGAGGCCCTTGCCTCAAACCGAATCTCGAAAGGCATTGGATCTGTCCCTTGGGCCTCGGCCGCTATCGCTATCGCTGTTCGCCCTTGAGAACTGGGTTCCTGTCGCGTCGCCTCTCGACTCTCATTCTGAGCTCTGCCGTATCCCGTGTTCGCCCCCATGACTTCGCGCCAGTGTCTTGCCCTGGGTCCGTAGATGTCATGAAGCAATAGTTTTGCTTCTTGAGACAGCTTCCATTTCCCCTCTTGTTGAATGTATGCCGGTAGCTGGACCACGCGTTCGATTTTCTCAATAGTTTCGCGTATCTTGTCCTCGGGAGCGTTAAACACTTCAGTATGACCGCCACCACAACCTTCGCATTGTTTGACTAGGATCTGGTGATTATGAAGCTCCTTGTGTATAATCTTCTCCGCTTTCTGTGCCCCTCGAAATTTGACTCTGGATTCGTAAATCATTTTCGAGCTGTTCTTGAAACACTGCTCGTCGACCCTGACACCCGCGCCTCTGATCGTGGTTCCAATCTTGAAGTAACCGGGGGCAAGGAGATGCTTGAGGACGTATATTGTTCCTTCCTTCATGGCTGTTTTGCTCGGATGTTCATAGAATACTCTCAACACCGGTGTATGATCAGTCAAGGATAGGGCGCGCTTAGGTTTGCCGATACCAAGACCATGGATCTTGAGTCCCTCGCACTCTTTGCTCTTTCGACGGACCGTAACGTCCATCCGGCCTGGGCTGTCGATCTTGGTGGCCGCCATTTTGGAAATGATGTCAGTCATCAGAGGGTCCTCGCCATCTTCTGATGCGCTGTATGAATCTGGCTCATCGCAGACAAGAGCATCTGAGGATGCAAAATGGAACATTTCGTTGCTGCTTTGAGAGAGAGCTGGTGAAAAAATGGCATCTGATGATGCAGCTAGAGATTCTGCCGGAGAATCTGCTGGAGATGGCGGTCGAGAATCATCTGGGTATGCCCCGGGGATCATAAATCGTGGAGTATAGGCGGCCGCCGATCTCAGATTCTTCCATCTCTCAAATGCTGTACACACATCTTTGCGATGCTTGGAGCAATGCGTGTAGGTGACAAAGAACTGCATGTCTTCGTAGAAACCGTCTGAGTCGGGGCACTCGGCCATGCGTTTGAAGTCGGAGAATAGGCTCTTAACCTTTTCCCTTTCACTTTTCTTGCAGCTCTTGTTTTCACACTGATTTGTGCTTTTATTCACCAATCCACGACATTGGGTAAAGTCAAGGTTATCGCTTGGATTGGGAAATTTGTCGAGGCCTGCTTGTATGATAGCGAGGACTTCAAAGACTGGGTTGTGCTGCATGGTTGTGGTAGCCATATTGTGAAGAGGAACTCTGAATTCGGAGGGTATTTACTAATGAAGTATGATGTTGATGAGTAAGGTTAAGATGAAGTAAACCAGCGCAACTCAGCTCACACACATATATATACCCAGAAGCAAGATGTCTTTGAGTCGGCAAGACGCTGCAAGAATGTTACACTCTGCCATGGAATCTCCACGAGCTCTGCAGAGGTCGGTCACCAATTGCCTGGCCTCAGTATGCGGCGATGTTACGCAGCTAGGCCAAACAGGAAGCTCAATAATAGGCCTCTTGATCCCGCAAACAAGATGCCCTCCCAAACACTCACTCCCACATGTTATCGTTCTTCGGCTTCGCCGCATATGCAGTATGACGATTCCCGGCTTCACGGCTGCGCCGCCGGTCCGCTACAAAGAGGTCAAAGCTCCCGCATCCAGAGTGCTAGCCGATGCCCAAGCCACATCCGCAGATTTGGGTCTCTGAAACGGGGGCCCCGTGCCGAACCTCAGGCCACATGGCAATGTTACCCTACTATACCTTCCTCGTCTTCATTGGCTGGTTGGCAAACTCATGGACCTTCGAGCAGGGTTCTAGCGTTGTACTATCTCTAATATGGGGATGCTGTCGATATACCCAGAACCAACAACATCTTCAGAGAGGTCATATGCTAAAGATTGTGGTTCGGTCCTGGGGGCTGAAAGCAGGGCTCAAGGCTCTAATGTATCATACATAATACATTTGCAAGTTGGGGACTACACATATCTGTAGGGGGCTCGGAGTTTCCGGGATACAATTGCCTCACACTTATATGAAGAGACCAATGCTCACACGAGGCAGCGAACATATTGCGGCGATTAGATAAGTAGATCTCAAAATATCATTATGTCTCGAGTGCATGGGGAACCAATGATTAGACTCAAAAGTCTCAGTTTGACACATAAAAGCACAGCCATCCCAGCCTATATGCTCAAAACTACTGTAGTGGCACACGTAGTATCTCACAAGGAAGAATCCGCCTGGGGTTCGGAGCCTTGAGAATCTCGTCATATCTTAACGCCGTGCGGCATTACCCCAGAGCAGTCCATCCTCAGGAAATGCGGACCGAAATATGATCTGTATTTTATCTAATATCTTCCTCTCCTCTTTCCCTGCAGCTTCTGCCCAGCTCTATACCGCATATGGCCAGGCGACTCCGTGAATGCAACGCACCATGTTGGGCCACTCCGGGAATATCATTGGACTGTTGGCTCAATGCTGTTGGTTCACCTCTTCTCTTTTATAACTGAATGTAACTCTGTACAAATGAAAGAATCCTGCACAGCTTCAGCCTCGGAGACATGGAGGAATTATGTTCCAGGATGATGAAATCTGCCTTGATATCTCCCCCACTTCTTCCTCCCAAGGCAGAGGTGAAGCTCGCTCATGTGATCAAAGAATGATCGTCCTTCTTATTTGCGATCCTTGAAGAAGCGGCTGAAGGGAAAGGCTGAGATACGGAGGAATTCTTCCGTCCACAATCGCATCTCCTTGCTCACCTTCGTCTCCTCCCACATTGACATAATCTGCTTTGCCCCCATGTTCCCCCTTTTCATGCTCTAGCTAGAAATCCAGACCCAAGATGACAAGAAGGGCCATGATAAAAAGTAGAAGTGTGAGGCTATCATCTTCTGTTATTTCAGGCATCTTTTGCATCCACATATCTACAGGGTGTCCTCAAGGTGTCGCTTGTTTACTTGTCAGGGTTCAGATTGGAGACGAAGTCGAGATGTCAAGATGAGATTTCTAGCATCGTGTTTAGCTATAGAGCAAATTTGCTTGTCTTCGGTCAACCTGCCCTCCTATTGTCGGCACTACAGCGTTCAAAGCTTTGTCAATATGTTTGTTCCCTAAGAACATGTTCTGTTTGACCAATTCTATGGATCAAGTACTTTACTCCCGGAATCTATCCCGCCACTCTGGGGTGTATTCCGTCTGACACAGAGGATACCCCCCGAGGTCCTTACATAAAAAAAGAGATTCACTTCACTACCCTTTAGACAGCTTCATTCATTGAGACTTGAGACTTAGTGAATCATCTAATATTGCATCTATGCAATCTTACTATATAGAAAACCACAGATAAGAGAACATCGTAAGGAAAAAACCAAACAGAACAAAGATGCCATCCCTTCTTCCAACGCTATACCATCAAACCAATGTCGAATCGTTATGCCTGTTCCATCTCCGTCTTGTTCCCTTCTGAAGATCATGCTATTTTTCTTTTCATATCCCTGTCCGTCATAAACCAGTTCTCTGTTTCGCTTTTATTTTTTATTTTTTCCCCAATATCCCCCAATTGCATCAACGAGTTCAGAACCAAGGCAGATTTACCTTGATCCTCTTGCCCAAAAGTCCTCCCAAGAGCCCTCCCGTCGTGTTAGTCGTGCCACCTGTTCCCCCCAAAAGCCCACCCAGGAGTGAGGTAGAATTGGTTGTCGTGTTGGTCACGCCAGTCGGGGTGGTAGTATTCAATCCTCCCAAAAGGCTCCCCAGGAGACCTGTACCGGTCGAATTTGTGGTGGTCGTTGTGGTATTAGTCCGACCAGTCGTGGCGGTAACATTCGCTCCTCCTAAGAGGCCACCCAGAAGACCTGAGCCAGTCGAGCCAGTTGTTCCAGTGGTCCCTGTGGTATTGTTGTTTCCAAGACCAAGCGAGGCGGTCACATTGAGGCCAAGTCCGCCTGTTGTATTTGTGGTGCCACCACCCCCTAGCAGTCCACCCAGCAGTGAGGTAGAGTTGGTTGTCGTGTTGGTCAAGCCAGTCGTGCCAGTCGTTCCAGTGATTCCTGTGGTATTGTTGTTTCCAAGTCCAAGCGAGGCCGTCACATTCAAGCCAAGTCCGCCTGTGGTATTCGTGGTGCCACCACCACCTAGCAGTCCACCCAGGAGACTACCACTGGAGTTTGTGGGGTTGGTGCTTCCTCCAAGCAAACCTCCCAGAAGACTCGTGCCGTTCTGAGTGCCATTCTGGGTGCCAGAACCTCCCAGCAATCCGCCAAGAAGACCCGTGCCGGTTTGCGTACCAGTTCCTGCAGTTCCATTTCCGAGGACAACCCTGATATCAGGGATACCATCCCCGTTGGTATCAATGCCCCCGTCTGCCCTAATAGTCACATCTGCTGTTCCATCGCCGTTCAGGTCAACACCTCCGCCAGGCTTGATAAAGATATCGGATCTTCCATCTCCGTTCAAGTCGATTCCGCCATCGAGGCCAATGATGGTATCACCTTTGCCGTCGCCGTTGAGATCAACTGGGGAGCCAATCTGAATATTGAGGCCGAGACCGAGGTTGCCTCCGGCGCCAGTAGTGTTTCCAGTGCCCCCGCCAAGCAAACCACCCAAAAGGCCACCGGTGCTGTTGCCTGTAGTTCCATTCCCACTGAGCAGGCCACCTAGACCACCAGTCGTGCTGTTGATGAGGCTGCCGAGGCCATTTGTGGTGTTGCTGAGAAGACCTCCAAGGAGATCTCCATTTCCGTTCACAGCGGTTCCGTTACCGAGAAGACCACCGAGGCCACTGGTGGTGTTGCTTAGAAGACCGCCGAGCCCAGTGGTTGTGTTGCTAAGGACGCCGCCTAAGCCGGTGGTCGCATTGCCGAGAAGACCTCCGAGATTTCCAGTGCCTGTAGTGGTGTTGCTGAGAAGATCGCCTAGGCCATTGGTCGTATTGGCGAGAACACCACCCAGGCCACCGGTGGTGTTGTTGAGAAGATTGCCCAACCCAGTGGTTATATTCGTGAGAAGATCCCCCAGGTTGCCCAGGCTTCCAGTGCCGTTGCCCACAGTTCCATTGCCGAGAAGACCTCCCAATGGATTTCCTGCAGTACCATTGCCGTTGAGAAGGCCGCCTGTGGTGTTGTTTAGAAGACCACCCAGTCCACCTGTGGTATTGTTGAGGAGACCACCAAGAGGGTTCCCACTTCCATCGCCAAGTGTTCCATTAGCATTCAAGAGGGGGTCGAGAAGCCCTCCGGTATTGTTGCCAGTCTGTCCTCCGGCGGGGTTTGTCAAGTTGCCCAATAGGCCTCCTAGGCCGCCAGTAGTGTTGTTCAATAGATTGCCGAGAAGATCACCGAGGGCGCCAGGGTCGACAGTTCCATTGGCGTTCACAAGGCCCGTGTTATTGCCTGATCCTGTCAAGTTGCCGAGAAGGCCACCCAGGTCTCCTGTACCTCCTGTTGTGCCATTGAGAAGGCCACCCAGGAGATCGCCGACAGCAGTCCCGTTGCCAAGCAGGCCACCAGGATTGGTGCTGTTGGTTCCGTTTCCAAGGAGGCCACCGAGAAGATCACCGATAGTCGTTCCATTGCCGTTGTCTCCCGTACCCCCTGTTGTGCCGTTGAGGAGGCCGCCTAAAAGATCACCAAGAGTCGTTCCGTTGCCTCCGTTGTTCCCTGTGCCTCCAGTTGTGCCATTGAGGAGGCCACCGAGGAGGTCACCGATGGTGGTTCCGTTACCGAGCACGCCACCAGGATTGGTGCTGTTGGTCCCGTTCCCGAGAAGGCCGCCGAGGAGATCGCCAATGGTAGTTCCATTGCCTCCATTATCTCCTGTGCCGCCTGTTGTCCCATTGAGAAGACCGCCGAGAAGGTCACCAATGGTAGTTCCATTGCCATTGCCTCCTACGCCTCCCGTCGTACCATTGAGAAGGCCACCGAGCAGATCACCAATGGTAGTTCCATTGCCGTTGTCTCCCACACCTCCGGTTGTACCGTTGAGAAGGCCACCTAGAAGATCACCGATCGTCGTTCCATTGCCGGTGTTGCCAACACCTCCTGTGGTGCCATTAAGGAGACCGCCGAGCAGGTCACCAATAGTCGTTCCATTACCGTTGCTTCCTGTATCACCTGTGGTGCCATTAAGGAGACCACCGAGCAGGTCACCAATAGTCGTTCCATTACCAGTCTGGCCACCAGGGATAGTGCCATTAAGAAGACCACCAAGAAGATCACCAATGGTAGTTCCATTACCAGTCTGACCACCAGGGATAGTGCCATTCGTTGTTCCGTTCCCTCCAATGACGCCGCCAGGGTTAGTGGTGTTGGTCGTCGTGCCGTTGCCAAGAAGTCCAGTCAGGTCAGGAACAGTCCCATTGCTTCCAAGCAAGCTTCCAATGGCAAGCCCATTCAGAGTCGCAGGAGCAATATTCGAAAGCCCACTGACAAGGCCGCTCAAGAGGGTAGGATCAACAGCCTTGTCCGTGGCGTTCAGGCCGCTCAATGAGGCACCGACCAGAACACCGCCCAAGAGGTTGGGATCGACCTGTGCGCCACCTCCGGCAAGTCCTCCAAGGACAAGTCCAGCCAGGACATGAGGACTGATCACCTTGCTGCCGCCGAGGAGGTTGTCCAATAGACCGCTTACAAAGGTCCCATTGCCAGTGGCGGTTGTGTTGCCGATGAGGCTACCCACGAGGATACCGCCCAGGAAATCAGGGTCAATGCTCCCGTCGCTTCCGAAGATGCTATTCAGGTAATCGGGGACAGCCGTTGCGTTGCCGCCTCCGAAAAGACCGCCCAGCCCTCCGGAGCCAAGCAAGCCTGCGCCGATAACGCTGGGCAAGATTGTAATGTCAGGATTACCGTCACCATTCAGGTCAACGCCTCCCGTGATACCAATGATGGTATCGGGCTTTCCATCTTTGTTCAAGTCGACGCCTCCACCACGCAGGAGGAAGACGTCCGGGATTCCGTCGAAATCGAGGTCGATGCCACCGTTAGCCCCGACACTGGTGTCTGCTACTCCGTCTCCATTGAGGTCGACACGAGATCCGATGCCGACTTGAAGGCCGAGACCCAGGCCAATGCCGGCGCCGCTACTCGAATTGGTAGAGCCGTTACCCGTGAGCATACCCTCTAAGAAACCCGGCAAGACAAAGATGTCGGGTATTCCATCGCGATTGATGTCAATGCCTCCGTTCGGGGCAATTGTGGTATCAGAAATGCCGTCGCCGTTAAGGTCCACCTTGCCATCAGGGCGAATGATGATGTCCGGAATATCGTCGAAGTTTAGGTCGATGCCACCTCCGAGGCCAATCGTAGTGTCTGGCTTTCCGTCTTTGTCGAGGTCAACGGGAGTACCAACAGTCAAGCCTTGGAGTAGGGAGTTCAGTCCAGCACCGAGAGAACCCAACAAACCGCCAGGCGTACCCGTAAGGTCGTTGAAAATAATCCTGAGATCAGCAATGCCGTCTCCATTAGTGTCAATGCCGCCGTTCGGGAGCACGCTGGTATCAGCAATTCCATCCCCATTGATGTCGACGCCACCGCCAGGCAAGATCCTGATATCAGGCTTTCCGTCTCCGTTGATGTCGATGGTTCCACCAGCGCTGACAGTCACGTCAGGTTGTCCATCGCCATTGAGGTCCACGCCAGCGCCATTGACAAGGCGTCCCCCGACTGTGATCAAGGGGCTGGTGCCGGTATTGGTACCATTGGTACCATTGCCTCCGGCCTGGTTACCGAGCAAGTTGCCGATAGCATTGACAATGGCATTGGTAAGGCCGAGGACAGTCAGATCTGGCGTTCCGTCGCCGTTCAAATCAATAGCACCACTAGATGTGATGGCGGCGTCAGGCCTTCCATCGCCGTTGAGGTCGATGGTTCCATTGGCTGTGATGTAGATGTCGGGCCTGCCGTCACCATTGGTGTCAATGCCGCCGTCAGCGCCGATAGCGGTGTCTGCCTTGCCGTCGCCGTTCAGGTCGACTCCGAGGCCAGGGAAGATCAAACCAGCAGGGCTTCCGCCATTGTTGGTTCCTGTGAGGGCAGATCCGACAAGTTCTCTCAGGATAGTAATATCTGGTCTACCATCCCCGTTGAGATCGATACCACCGCCGGGGAGGACATGGCTATCCACAATGCCATCAAGGTTCAGATCGACGCCGCCATCAAGACGAACAATCAGATCTGGCTGTCCGTCTCCGTTCAGGTCGATGCCTCCACCGAGACCAATGCTCGTATCGGCCTTGCCGTCGCCGTTGATGTCAACGCCGAGCCCAGGGATAGGAACAAAGGTGCCAGTGGTCCCGTTCCCTGTGCCGCCTGGGATAATAGGTCCGCCGGGGTTCAGGATGGTGATATCCGGTCTACCATCTCCGTTGAGGTCGATGCCGCCACCCGGTAGCACACGACCATCGGGGATGCCATCAAGGTTCAGGTCGACGCTGCCATCAAGACCAACTGTGAGATCTGCTCTGCCGTCTCCGTTGATGTCGATGCCGCCGTTGAGGCCGATCGTAGTATCCGGTCTTCCATCGCCATTGAGATCGACTCCAAGGCCAGGGCGGGGAATGAGACCGCCAGTGGTACCATTTCCTGTTCCACCAGGGATGATCGGCCCGCCGGGATTTGGCAGGATCCGAATGTCTGGTCTACCGTCTCCATTGGTGTCGATACCGCCATCGGCGCTGATATACACGTCAGGATTGCCGTCAAGGTCCAAGTCAACACCACCGTCAAGGCGAACCATGAGATCTGCGATGCCGTCTCTGTTGGTGTCAATGCCGCCGTTGAGGCCAATGGTGGTATCTGCTTTGCCGTCGAGGTTGAGATCGACCCCAAGGCCGGGGAGAGGCCTAAAGGCACCCGGGTGGCCGATGCCCGACCCCGGGATAATGGTTCCATTTCCTGTGCCCCCCGGGATGATGGCTCCGATCCCCCCAATAATAGTGATGTCGGGAATACCATCACCGTTCGTGTCGATGGCGCCACCTGGGCCAACCCTGGTGTCCGGAATTCCGTCGAGATTCAGATCAACGGAGCCATCAGGGTTGACAATGATGTCGGGCCTGCCATCCCCATTGGTGTCAATGCCTCCACCAGGACTAATAGTAACGTCAGGCTTGCCGTCGCCATTGAGGTCTACACCAACGCCAGGAATGACAAAAGGCCGGCCGCCGATGATCCTGATGTCTGGAATCCCATCGCCATTGATGTCAATAGCACCGCCTGGCCCAACTCTGGTATCTGGGATTCCATCAAGGTTCAGATCAACAGAGCCGTCAGGGTTGATGATAAGGTCAGGCCGCCCGTCCCCATCAATATCAACAGCTCCACCAGGGCCAATTACAACATCAGGCGTGCCGTCACCATTGAGATCAACTCCAGCGCCCGGGATGGGAAGGGGCTGGCTGACGATGAGGTAAATGTCCGGAATGCCATCGCCGTTCGTGTCGATGGCACCGCCTAGGCCAATCGTAGTATCCGGGATGCCGTCGAGGTTTGTATCAACCGTGCCGTCAGGATTGATGATCAGGTCGATTCTTCCATCACCGTTGATGTCGACACCTCCACCTCTCTGGATGGTCACGTCAGGCCTGCCGTCACCATCCAGGTCAATGCCAACGCCCGGGATGGCGAGTGGCCGGCCGTTGCCAGCGATAGGACCGGCGCCAATCGTGATAAGTGACCTCCCACCACCGAGATTGATGGTGCCGTCCAGGCCAAGCGCCAAATCAGGAATGCCGTCGTCGTTTATATCCACGTTGCCCAGGGAGTCGATGTAGATGTCTGGTATACCATCCCCGTCGATATCAATGCCGCCACTCAGACCAATGGTGCCATCTGGCTGTCCATCGCCATTGATGTCCACAGGAAGGCCAGGGTGGATGAATGACGACTGGTCAGTAGACCGCATGCGAGGCTGAACAAAGATGTCGGCTGTGCCATCGCCATTGATGTCGATGCCGCCCCTGGAGAGGATGCGCGTATCTGGCCTGCCATCTCCATTCAGGTCCACAAGGCCGTTTAGGCCGATGACAGGGCCCAACCTCCTACCGTCGTTGAGAACGATGGCTCCAGACACGCTGATTACAGCATCAGGTGTACCGTTGCCATCTGTATCAACCGGCGAGCCAGCGAGAGAGTGGAACCCAAGGACTCCAAGGCCTTGAGGATCAAGGACATACATAATCTTGAAGTTAGGCCTGCCATCGCCATCCGTGTCAACGCCACCGTCGAGGTCAACCATGGCATCTGGCGAGCCATCTCCATTGAGATCAACAGCGCCATCGAATCTGATGAAGATCTCTGGTATCCCATCTCCATTCAGGTCAACGCCGCCGAGGGGTCCGATGACGAGATCGGGTACGCCATCACCGTTTGTGTCGATCGGAGTGCCGGCGACCAACCTCACAAAGTCAAAGTTGAAACCAGGATTGACCCCGATATTATTATCGCCGGGGATGAGAATGGTGATATCAGGACGGCCATCACCGTCAACATCAACTGAACCGCTCTCGCTGACGAAGGTGTCGACTATGCCATCGCCGTCGGTGTCAACGCCTCCATCAACATTAATGATGATATCAGGCAGGCCATCGCCGTTCAGATCGACGCCGCCGTCGATGCCAATGACGGTATCAGCTCTTCCATCCCCGTTGAGATCGATCTGCGTTCCAGGCAAGAACTCGCCCGTTGCACCTGATTCGTGATGTCCGTCCCCTTGACTTCCGTGGCCCTTGTGCCCATGATCCTTGTGCCCATGACCCTTGTCGCCATGGCTATCGTGTCCATGGCCCTCGTGTCCGTAGTCATCGCTTCCATAGGCGTCATCTTTAGGCTCATCGTATCCATAGCCATCGTGACCAGAGTCCTTATTGTCATGATCCTTGCCTTCATGGCCCTTGTATCCATGATCCTTGTGTTCATGATTCTTTGCCTCATGGTCTTTGTGGTCATAGCCGTTGTGGTCATAGCCGTTGTGGTCATAGCCGTTGTGGTCATAGCCGTTGTGTTCATGGCCTTTGTGCTCAAAGTCCTTGTGCTCATAGCCATCTTTTCCATAGCCCTCATCTCCGTAACCACCGTGTTCATGGCCCGTTGATGGCTCAATGACGACGATAGGAGGCTCACCAGGCCTGATCGGTGGCAAAGTAACTCGTGGACCGTTAGGTCCCGCGCCAGGAGCAGTAAGCACCGCTGGCCAATGACCAGGATCGCCACAAACCACGATGGGCTCTGCTCCAGGCAGAGGTCTTCCATCGCGGCCAGTCGGGAGAAGCGTGTGGGTTTCGGCTCTTTCACCTTGGTGGTATCCATCAGCCGTCACCGTGACGAGATGGTTGGTAAATCCAGGAGTGCCAATAACAACTGTGGGGGGTGATTCCGGGCCGCTGCCTGGGATAGTAAATCGAGGATCGTCGGGGCCAGCCCCTTCGCAAGTATATGTGGTAGGTTGCGGCTCCCAAGGGCCCTTGGTCTGGGGTTCGCAGATAATGACAGTGCCCTCACAGCCATGGCAAGCAGGATGAATAGTCGAGACGTATGGGCGAAGGCCAGTGGCAGTCGAGGTGATGGTAACAAAAGGATCTTGAGTAGGTTCGTAATGAAAGACGGTGCCTTCACAGACTGGGCACTGAGGATGTTTGGTTGAGGTGACAGGATCCGACTGGCAGGTCGGCAGAGTGAGCGTCACATACGGTGGCTTCTCTTCAGCCGTTGTAAAGAATTGCTGGGGAGCACAGGCGTTGGCGCAAGCACCAAACGCGAGGTAGGTCGTAACAAGGACTTCAACAGTAATGATGTCGTCTTCGTTGGCGCTCACGGGAGTAGAAAAGAGAGAGCCCAGGACGGCCGCTTTGGCCGCCCAGGACAAGACACCGTTTGCACGACGGCTGGCCATCTTGAAGACCAGTCGAGGGACAATCACGGCTGAGAAAATTGCGTCCGAGCGCAGAAGAGAGGGAAAGGAGTGTAAGTTGTCACCGTCTCACTAACAGATTAGAGACGGCCATGAGAGAGTATATTATACCTTTGCCCAGATATAGAAAGGGCAAGGAGTTTGCTCTTAACATTGCAAGGCGAGACTGAGAAGATCCAAGGAATGCTTTGATCAGTAACTTTTGCAGTGGGCAGAATGACGAAGAGTGGCCATTCATTCAGGGGCACATTCGTGGCTATGAGGCCATCGCCTAACCGCCAACTGACTCAGACAAGTCGTGTTGCATTCCGAAAGCTCCAGTATGATAGGATTGGTTCTCCCCAGAGTTCGGCCCCAGCCGTAGCGACAAAGGCTGGGTACGTTCTTGTGTGCTTTACGCGTGATGGCCATTCCACTGGGAAAGCATGTCGCGTCTCCTCCCCATGAGACGGTCATTGACGCGATAGGTGTTGGCATTGGAGCTTCTGGATCAATCTTCTCCGCACAAGGAGCTTCCCAGATCTGAGTGGCAAGGAACAACGTGCCTGCAACCAACCGGTCTTCTAATGTCCCTTGTTTGTGACATGGTAGCGAATGCTGCTTAATATTGACTGATTGCACCATTTCGAGCTCAAATCACCATGAGCCAAGCTGATATGCGGTTGCCCTCGATTTAGACGGGCCGCTCGGCAGCCTCAGGTCCGGAAAGGAGCATGAAGACAGCCCCTCGCACCAATGGCTAGGCAACACGACATTGTGCTGGGAATGCCATTCAAGTCCCCGTGGCGATAAATTGAATGCAGCTCCTCTGAGACACTGTTGCCGGGTGTGTTGGATCAGCGACGTGCTCGACAGGGGCAGCAACTGAGACATGCGATGGGTCGAGGAGGTGCTCTGGAGGGGCCCGAGGGAGTGGCACAGAAGTTGGTTGTGACGTTGTTATAGGCGACATTGATTTCAGAATGAAGATTGGTGTATTGGAAATCATTTCTGGTGGCTTTCCGAGGTGATGAAAGGACGATGTTGGCCAGTTGAGGTGAGGGAAAGAGAGTGAGGTTGAGCTGCAGGTTGGCCACGTGATTCCGACTCTCACTCGTCATCCTTAGGCGGGACATCGTCAACATACCTACACAACCTCATGAAATACGCCCATGAACCTCAATATTCGCAATATCAGAAGTCCAAGCCGTTTGATACCATTCTTTGCTAACATCACGTCTTTCGATAGCTCTATCGCACACAATCATCAATGTACTCACCTCCACCATCACCAACAGAACCAACACCATCTAAGACTGTCTCCTCACGACACCGTCATGCCAAAAGAAACCGCGACCTAACTGCAGAATCTGGCCTCGATGTAAGACACCAGCCCAATACAAAGGACACCATTTGGGATTCCTGCCGGGCCGCACCGGAGCATATGCTCAAGTCTGAGACAAGGATTGCTAGTAGTACTACTACTATCTTCAACACCACTTTAATACATGACAATGTTCCGCGGAGACTTGCTGCATGTCTCAGGAACGGCTGCTAAAGTGGCTCGCGTCTCGAATGCAATGTTCGCGATTAGACGCGGTTAGACCTCGTGCTGCGCCTCTTTTAGACTTGCTGCAAGGTCCTTTGACAGCAGCTGAGCGCTCTATCTGGAGACACGGGTAAGAGAACCGGACGGCTCGTCCCGCCGCGGCCTTAGGAGGGCTCTGGTCGACTTATGGAATCGTCTTCATAGGGGTATAGTTGTAGATGTCAGATATACATCATGATATTATCGTGAAGTGAACGGACCTAGATTTACGTCTTGTTCATTGAACACGAACGATTATACCAGAGCCATCTCTGCCTTCTCAAGACAGCAACACACAACGAACAACCAGCCATTATCCTCCTATGTAACCCCCCTCCCTTCCCAAACATCACCTTCACATCACAACCCCATAATCCTCCTAAACCCAACATTCTCAACAACCCACGAGCCCCCGAGCCGAAACGCCCCCGGCCCCTCCAGCTGCCCATCAACCTTGCCCATCGCCATCCTCACCAGGAAATCCCCCAAGTGCTCCGTCGGCGAATGCATCCCCCTCATCAACCCCACCACCGGCGACAGCGCCGCAACGCCCACCTTGTACAGCATCCCCGGGTCCGGGATATACGGCAAAATCTCCTTGTGCCTCCGCGCATCCACAAACGCCGGCCGCACCGAATCCGCCCTCAGCGCGCCCGGATTCGCAGCCGTCATCTCTCCCAGCTCCGCCTCCGTCTCGCCCTTTACCCTTGCGAAAATCGCCGAGAACCGTCCCGGCTTCTGCGTCGCCCCTTCTCCCGAAACATAGATGAACCGAAACGGCTCCGAGGGCGTCGTCGTCAGCGTGGAGAATGACTTGGCCGCCGCCAGAGTGTAGTCCTTTGTGATCTTGACGTACTCCTGCGCGCTGACCTTTGTCTGGCTGATGCCCAGGGCCCAGACGCAGGCTTTCGCGCCCTGGAGCTGCTCCAGCACTTTGGCGTCGTACTTTTCAAAGTCCTGGTGCAGGATGACGTGGATCCGGGGGTCCTTGGCGTCTTCGGCCATGCGCACCGGCTTGCGGCTGAGGATGGAGATTTTGGTAATGTCTTTGGCTTTGATCATGGCGTCGAGGACGGAGCTGCCGACGAGGCCGGTGGCGCCTGTGAGGATGATGTGCATTTTGGTGAAGTTTGAGTTGCGTCGACGAGTATTGTGTATGTTCTTTGCGGCTCCCACTTATACCGAAGTAAAGGTTTGTATCAAGAGATGGAGTGAGTAGGTAAGGTAGGTATGGGTTGGCACGGTCGACGGTCGTCACAGATGTATAGGTATGTATTCACTTATAGATGGTATGACCGTAAGAATTTACTCCAGGAGGAAACAGGCCATTATATATACCTACATAAGGTATGTCCAAATCCTCTAAAAGGAAGCCTTAAATACGACAAACTTACACCATGCCCGGGCTTATTATCTCCATGTCAAGCCCACCAAGGCCCGGACATAAACCCATTGCTACGCGTATGCTGACAGGCCGATTACCGCATTAAGCAAAAGCTTAGGATCCTCGAGGGATCCGCCGGCGGGAAACTCCATCTCCGCATCTCCGCCTGACATATTGTACTGTACTACTATTATTACCTATTCACATGCGCCAGCGCTTGTATGTAAATGTCTCGACTGGGAACTACCTAGTAGATGAGAAAGGCGAGCGTCATGGGTGTAACACCAGATCTCTACTAATCTCCGTCTCGGTATTTGCGGGTGGAGTTGAATGGCAACTCTGTCGACACTACATGTACCTACCAAGCCTTAAAAGATGACGCTGATAAGCTCATACCTACCTACCTAGCCACCACATGCTTGAGAGCTGACCCGAAAATACCCTAAAGGGGCCAGCTCAAATTTCAGCTGTCAACGCGGATTCGGCTTCGAAGGAGGGCATTATGGCCATGCTGAATGTTATGTTGACACATTTTCTAATTGCATGTTGTTTCTTACCTACCAAGGCTCTCGTGAGTTACGCTTCTGACCGATGAGATGGGCCAGAGCAAGGCTTGAATGTTTCGTAGTCAGTCACCCTAGTCTCAATCTTCAACCATTCACCGCGAGAGACAGAGCAATGGCGCTCAAGGAGCATCAGGCAGAAGTGTTTGATTCTAAACACCCCTCAGAAAAAAGTGACATTCGTAGGTAGGTAGAATTAAGGCCCAGCAGCCTTGCGCAGCCCCTACATACTTCGTTCTACCTAGTCCCCAATAGACATGCAACGCCGCATATCCTTTTCAAATCACTTCCTTTGCAGATTCCATCGTATCTCGCCACATTGCTATCGATGTGGAGTAACCGTTTTGATTTTTCCATCCTATAGATGCAAGCTCATTGCACGTCGTGTTCGTTTCATCATCATCGTTGTGCGCATCGCCAAAGGATGCATGCCAGAATAGCATTTCCCGCCCATTATCCACAAGAAAAACACCAAGGAGCTGACAATCATCCCACGAGTCATATGGAAGCGGGCAGCATCTTGTTGGCAACACGTTTCCCCGAGCCGGCGGGACGGAGCACAGCGCTATAACATCCCATATTGAGTCCAGGGCACCCAGCCGACGATGCGGCAAGATATGCCGTCAAGGCAATGCATTGAGCGCTGCGAGATTCCTTATTCAGCATGTTCAAAAGAACTCTGCAGAGGCTGATCCTACTTGCATCGCTCGCCGTAAGCTATACCGCTGTAGGCCGTTACACTCGCGGAGTCACTGGGGCAGCGACGCTGAATTCGGCCAGTGGGCTCATGACGCTGCTACTGCTATGGCAGCCTTGGCCTTGGTTGTAGACCTGCGATTTACCAACTTGTGTAGGTAAGTCGCGCATGGCCTGCTCCTCACAAGCCTGTAACTCCGCTCGTAGCTGTGGTTGGTCATTGTGTGCCGCACCATGTCTGCAAGGGAGGACTAGGGAAAGGCATAGATGATCCCAAAAGGGCTTCGTCATGCAGCTCATCCCCGGACCCCCATCATGCCGGTCGAATCGTTCCTCAGACGAGGAATCTGAATCTCTTCATCGTCCGAAGAATCAGCCGCTTCGGCACCTGCCCGGTCGAGCATCCTCTCGATATCCTCATCACGCAAGACTCTTCGCGCACCGCTATGCCCAGCACCCAGCCCACTGGGAAGCGAAAGAGAACCTCTCAGGTGGCTAGCGGGTCCCTTGACGCGTCTCTTGGGCGTCGTACCGTTGGGGCTGTAGTATGAGTGCTGTGGCGAATCTACATCCATTGGCGACCCCGGGGGACGCATCATTCCAGGGGATTTGTCAAACTCAGGCCTCCTGTGGACATTCGCTGGCCGATGTCCGGGAAGGACTTTTCGAGGAGCGCTGGGCAGCGCGTGTCTTGTCGTGGGGTTTCTGAAAGCACCCGTCTGGGGGTGAGGGGAAGCTGACGGCGAGAATGTATGCTTCAGGTTGGCCGAATTGTTCGGACTGCTCATGAAGAGCAGCGCCTCCATAGCATCCTGCTCCCTGACGTTCTGATGAGAAGGGTACAAGATGGGGTCGGTCGTTCGCGCGGGCTGAGACAAGGACTGATGGGAATCGACGAGCATTGGCTGGCCAGGAGTGTGAGGAGATGCCGAGTGGGAGTGGGAGAGCATCGTCGGCGTGTATCGAGGGCTAGAATTGCGGCGCGGGTTGGAGCGCGAGACAGGGATGGACGGCTGGATGGTGGCCGGAGGGGCGAGAGAGGGCTTGTCAGAGGTCAGGTAAGGAGAATCGGACTTGCGGCGGGCGGCGGCCTGTTGGGCGAGATGTACCTGAGCAGATGCGGTGGTGACATCCAAACGCGGACTCGCCGAGGAGCTGTGCCGCCTGATGGTGGAGGAGCCCGAGGCGGGAGAGACGGCCTGGGAGGCGGCCATTGATTCGACCTCCTCGATGGAGTGGCCTTGCCAGCCAAAGTTGACCTTCATCATGGCGTAAGAGAGGCGTGTCTTGAGCTCGGCAGACAGCTGCGAGAGAGGAACAGTCAGTACAAGCTGATATCATCTTTCGAGGTCTTCCAATTCCTGGCTCAACGTACCTCTCCTATGGTGCTGCCGGTGGACGTGGCGCTGACGGTGCTGAGGTTCCTGGCATGCCCCTGGCCGTGCCCCCTGGCAGGGCTCATGCCGGCCTTGACCTCGCCGTCCGCCATGCGCTTCTTGGAGGCGCCCGCCGTCGATATCCTGTCCTGGGCCGCGGCAATGGTGGAAAGCTGCAGCAGATGGTCGTTCCTGTCTCGGGCAGCGGCAGACGAGGCATCGTGAGCCACATATCCCGCGGCGCCGTCCGTGACGCTGCTGATATCGCTGGCCGGGGGCGTCATGGCCGGTGCCGAGGAGCTTGTAATGTGGGATTCCTGGGAGTTGGTGACGGTCAGAGGGATGCTGAGGGCAGCGCCGGGGCCACTGGCATCGAGAGCATCGGATTGCTGCGATTGCTTCGGCGACGGGTCCCGGGGAGTTTCTGCAACCTCGCTCTGGGACGACGCGGCATCGCCGTCCATGGTGGACGCGGACAGGTCGGGGGCTGAGGCTGGGATGGAAGCGGGAGCGGGAGCAAGAGCAGGGGAGGAGGCAGACGAGGGCGCGGAAGCAAATTGGGATTCAGAAGCAGCGGCGGCGATGGCGACGGCGGCCGAAGGCGAGGCTGGCACAGCTGGAGCAACGGCCGGAACAGATGCTTCGACACCCGCGGCCGGAGCCAGAGCAAGAGGCGCTGAGTGCGACATGTCGCGCAGAGCGTCGAGAGCGCGACAAACGCAAACCCCCAGTGCGATGCGATGCGGTGCGTTGCGTTATTACGCCGGGAGCGATCTGGCGGGATTCAGACAGAGTCAGAGTCCGAGTCAGTCAGAGTCTGAGGCGCGTTGGCGCGTCTCGACACGGCAGAGCTGGGACGAGGCGGGCAGCCAGGCGGCAGAGCAAATGAAGCAGAGACGGGACAGCCAGAGATTGAAGCAAGCGGCTCGACAGCCCAGCACGGCATCCAAGCGAGCAAAAAGGTGCGTGTGTTGAAGCAGAAGTTCGGTCTGGTTTGTGTGTGTGGGTTACGCGCGGTCCAGTCGCGACGGATGCGGGAGGGACGGGCAAGGACGGGATCCCCCCCCCAAAGGTGCCCCCCCAAGGACCCCCAGAGCAGCCCGGAAGGCTAGGCGGGTGAGCGCTGAAGAAGCACCGCTGACAGGGCGCTGCGGTCGCTGGAGAGAGCGCTGGAGGCGCCCCGGTTCGGTCGCCGGTCAGCGCCCAGTGGCTTCCAAGGTTCGAAACCCAATCCGCCGTTGCTCGCAGTGGAGCTTGGCTGCTGAGGCTAGAAGGCCTAGGCGCGAAGCCGTCAAATCAGTCGCATCGACACAGAGCAGTTCAATGGCTGCCAGCGCTGCTTGAGAGACCTATTGATTGAGGCTTGGAGGTGCCCGAGCATCGCATCACGCATCACGCGCACGCAAACATGGAAAGTCACCAGCGCTAAGCCGGTGGGTTCTTCCTGGTGGACCCGGCGCCTCCAGTTGTCGTGGAAATAGTACTATGGTAGTATGGAGCGGCATGGAGCGACTGGAGGAGGTTGCTGTTTGTTGTGATGGCAAGTTGTCCGACTTGAGGCCTCGAGCCGTGTGTCGTACAAGAAACAGAGAGAGGGAGAGAGAAGAGGGCGTGGAAACAAGACAGCGTTGAAGCGTGTTGAGAAAAGCTCAAGTGCTATAGTATAAGGTAGCTTGCTTTATTGTGTAACCACTGCGATACCAAGACAACGTTTGGAACTCAACTCTTTCTCTTTTTGGTCGACATTCCGCCTCTTTGGATTCCCATGTCATTCTCTTCTTCTGCTCCCAGGTTTCTTTCTTGCAGAAAATCTTCAGCGGCTCAGCTCGCTAACACCAGCCAGGGCAGCCTGCACCTGTCTCGCATCATCCTCCCTGCATCGAGGGTACACGTAGAACAGGGTGCTGTCTGGTCTTTTTTTTTTTTTTTTTCTCTCTTTTTCTTCCTCTTCCTTCATCTTCTCTGCCTCGCGTGGCCGTACGATGCAACCTCATGGCCGCACCTTGTGGGCGGCTGCTGCGCTTCTGCAGCATCCTGGGAAAAGCCTCACTTTGACATGATACTATGGCATGCATATTCGCTCTCCGTTCTACAAGGGTTCACGGTTAGTCTGGGCTCGCGGTGGGACGTCCTGCACAACCTGCGTCTTGGCCTGTCCTCTTGTTTCCCCGCTCGTAGAAGAGAAGAAGAAAAAAACCCCGCGGGTTGTTATCTGATCAGACACGAAAGAGAGAATGGCTGGGTGTGTTTTTTCCGTTCATGGCTGGAGTCAATCGCCATGTTGCCATGCGGATTCTAGCTAGAGAAGCCGAAAATGGCTCTAGCGAAAAATTACTGCGTCCATGGTTGAATCTTTTATTTTTTTTTTTTTCTTTTTTGGTCTTTTGCTACCGCTGTGGCGAATCATCAGGCCCAAGGAACCGAAGCTTCGCGTGTGAGACGGCCTAAAGAGAATTCTGCAGTTGGCTGTTTGTTGTAGGCGCTGCGAGACGCTACAGGCAGACCATCGGAATCTCCCTTTTCTGCTTCTTCTGCTTCTTTTGCTTCTTTTCCTTCTCTGCCGTCTGAGACCAGGCGGATCGTGAAAACTTGCACTGACACGAAGTCACGTGCTTGACGCGACACGATTTCCCGCCTTAGTCAGCAGATGGAAGATTAAGTCCAGCCAATGGTAGCCTTGCATGATGCCTCGCATGTTAGGACGCAATTTCGATGCGAACTTGAAGATAGGTATGTATAATGAGGATAGATGGGCAGGATCAGAGTGATGTGTTGCAGAGTGAAAGATGGGACGTCATCAGCATATGGGTACTGTTGCCTCCGCTCTCAACGGCTCTGGCCTTATGTGCATCTATAGGCCCTCGTTGCTACAGACGAGCCATGACTGAGATTACCTGCATACTATACTCATCTTACCTCTACCCACGCTCGGGCTCGTCTCCGCCAACGGCTTGCAGTCCTTGCGCTCCCCCGTCTAGAATGACACCCTCGTTGTTGTCCAAGTCATCCTGAACTCTTCTCCATCCCTTGGCACGGCTGGCTCGACCCTCTGCATCAGCCCCTTTCCCCTTGGCATCATAGACAGGCCGCATCGCGGCGCCCAGTAAGGGGTTCGCGCTGAAAGCGCCGCCGGCATTCTTATTGCCAGACGTCTCTTGCAGAGCTCTCGAGTTGAGCTCTTCAGCTTCGTCCTCCTCCTCTGGTGTGACTGGACGCTGGATAGGCGCAACCGTCTTCACCACGCGGCGCCCAGCAAGGTCAATGCTGATGACCTGCTGCCGCTTCTCGTACTCTGGTCGGGCGTTCCACTCCATCTCCCGTAGAATCTTCTGCTGCCTTTTCAGCTCCTTTGCCCGCTCCTCGGGGGTTGCCCACATGTTCCCCGTCCCGCTCATGGCGATGGATACGTCAAAGTCTGACGCTTCATCTCTTACCGTCGTACGCCGTGCGTTTTGCGCCTGGAAGTTGAGCAGCTTGTCTCGATGCTCCCGTGCTTTGGCAGCCGCTTCTGCTAATGACGGAGCGTCGTTGTCCAGCCCTCGCGGCGGTGTGAATGGTGCCGGGGTCTTGACCACGTCTGCCTTGCGGTGCGCTGCCGCATTGGCCGCCATCTTTTCCTTGCCGCGCTCGTCCTTGAGCTCCCTGACCATGGCCTGGATCTCGTCCGAGCTGAGTAGTGGTGTTCCGCAAAACGTACACGGGCCCAAGCCCTCCTTCAAGCAGATTACCTTGCCACAAGAGAGACAGTTGGGTGCGGCAGCTTGGAGAGGATGTCTGGTCGCTACGCAGTTGCATTTTCTTGACTTGGCGTCCTTGTCTAGTGTTGGGTTTGTCGTAATCTCCAGAGACCGAATGGCCGCATCCAGATCGGCCAACGCCGTTGATTGGCCCGCCATTGGCACTCCTCCAGATATTGAAATCTTGGTGACATTCCCGCTGCTGGCTGGCTTTGGCGTCGATGTCCGTGAGACTGGCGTAGACTTGGCCTTTGACTTGCTTGGGCCGTCGGATATGAGGTAGCCACCTGCTGTAGTGTTTGTTTTCTTCGGCGTTGGCTCTTCGACCTTGGCGGCAGGCTGCGCTTTTGCTGTAACGGTGGGCTCCTTGATAGAGGCTGGTCTTGTCGGGGAAGCGGGTCTTGATGGGCGGTTGCTGCTCGGAGCGCTAGATCGCTGAGAGATGTATTCCAGGTCAGAGTCCTTTTTGTTGTATGCCTTTCCCGACGGGCCAGCGTAGTCGTCAACCCTCCGAGCTTCTGGGGTATGCAGCGCTGATTTCTTCTTCTTGGAACCCCTGTTCCATTTTGGCACAGGCTCTATTGTTTCGGCGGCCGTAGGTTTTGACGATGTCGGTGTCTCCTTTGATTGTGCTTTTGACGGCGCCTTTGCGGGAGGTTTGGAGCTTGAGGCTGTTGAGGAAGTTGGAGCAGCAGCGGCAGAAGAAGCCGGATCTTTTCGGCGGGCGTTGAATGTAGAGATGAACTCGATGACGGCGGGCGAGTCGCCGAGAAGGTTGTTGAAGTGCGTCACTGCTTCGGGTTTGGACAGGGTCGAGGCATAGTCGAGGACCTGCTGGAGCTCGTCCTCGGGGAGCGGCAGCAGCCGAGCGAGCTGGTAGATGGACATTGCAGTGCCGATTGCAGCGGTTCGTTGGGTGTCGGATAGCGAGGGAGAGAGGGAGAGGCGGATGTCGGAGATGGAAAATGTGAAGCTCCAAGTTGGAGCTGCCGCTTTGGCTTAGGTATTGGGTTGCAGGTACTTTATCTGGCTGCCCGGCAGATGAGTCATGCCGAAGGGGAGATGACGAATGTCTAGATAGGTAGATGAAGTTGGAACTGTCGTTCACTCCAACAGTTTCAATGCTAATTAAAGGGACTGTTATGTATTACTTGATGAATGGGAGCAATTCACAGCACCAATGTCTCAAAGTGCGCTGGTCATTGCGCCGAGTGACACTTTGCATCATGGTGGGGCTGCAATTCGAGAGACCGAGGGAGTGAGGCAGCGTCACATCTCGAGCTCCTCGGTGCACTCATGCGTTTCCCGCCCAATGGAGCACCAATTGTATGTTTTGTAATCATATCGTCCAACATTACAGCCACAAGTTCATTGCTAGTCCTAGTCTCAGCAATAAGGAAGGTATCATGACATGCCAGGCTGTGAGACCATCCAATGTCATGGAACGTCTCTTCTTCTCATCTCAGCCCTACTACCTACCTAGGTATGTAGACACTCCCAAGCCTCAGCAAGGTCTATCTTTGTCAGCTGCCCCTGCACGGCAATTATGTGCCAATTCGTCCGGCAATCTCACCTCAACGGCGGCCCCACGAGACAAATGCCACAAACCATTGACCTGCTTCCATCCGGCCGGTCCGTCTGTTTTTTGTCGCTGCTTGTGCCTGGCAATCCTCGTTACCCGATGGCTTGGACTGGACCCGGCGGCATTAAGGCGGGCTTGAGGCTTGCACCAAAAGCGGTTGAGCCGGGAAATCCCGGACTATAGCCGGGGTGGTGCCTCAGCCGTGCGCACTTTGTCCTCTCCATACAAGAACCGGCAACCCAAACCTTTTCCTTGCTCTGCACCATCGTCTCCAATCCGTCTGTCGTTGGATCAATTGCTCTGCTCCTCTCTCTAGACCATCATGTTCGCCGCTCGAATCCAGCGCAGGGCCTTCTCTGCCTCTGCCCGCAACGTAAGACCTTCCCCTTCTACTTCCCCTCCCCCGCCTGTCGTCGATTCTCTCCCTTCGTCGTCATTGCCCAGCACTTCTAGCTGTAAGCCTCATCGTGTGCTTGTGCTAACCAGCTTCGCCATTTCCTTCACTATAGCTCTCCAAGGTTGCTGTCCTCGGCGCTGCCGGTGGCATTGGCCAGCCTCTCTCTCTCCTGCTCAAGCTCAACACCCGTGTCACCGAGCTTGCTCTGTACGACATCCGTGGCGGACCCGGTAAGTTGCTCTCCATGATGTCCCCTTCATGCGCCAATTTTCCTCTGCGCACTTTTCCACACCCGCCCATTGCTCCAACATGACGGCATGACACAATGGCTAATATGCTCTCTGTCTTCTCTCTCTCCTCCTCCAGGTGTCGCCGCCGACATCTCCCACGTCAACACCAAGTCCCTCGTCAAGGGCTATGAGGCCACTCCCAGCGGCCTCGCCGCCGCCCTCAAGGGCTCCGACATCGTCCTGATCCCCGCCGGCGTCCCCCGCAAGCCCGGCATGACCCGTGACGACCTCTTCAACACCAACGCCTCCATCGTCCGCGACCTGGCCAAGGCTGTTGCCGAGTCCGCCCCCAAGGCCAAGCTGCTCATCATCTCCAACCCCGTCAACTCCACCGTCCCCATCTGCGCCGAGGTCTTCAAGGCCCGCGGCGTCTACGACCCCAAGAAGCTCTTCGGCGTCACCACCCTCGACGTCGTCCGCGCCAGCCGCTTCGTCTCCGAGATCAAGGGCACCGACCCCAAGGACGAGAACATCACCGTCGTCGGCGGCCACTCCGGCGTCACCATCGTCCCCCTCTTCAGCCAGAGCAACCACCCCGAGCTCTCCTCCAACGCCGAGCTCGTCAACCGCGTCCAGTTCGGCGGTGACGAGGTCGTCAAGGCCAAGGACGGCGCCGGCTCCGCCACCCTCTCCATGGCCTTTGCCGGTGCCCGCATGGCCGACTCCCTCCTCCGCGCCGCCGACGGCGAGAAGGGCGTCATCGAGCCCACCTTTGTCGACTCTCCCCTCTACAAGGACCAGGGCATCGACTTCTTCAGCAGCAACGTCGAGCTCGGCCCCAACGGCGTCGAGAAGATCCACCCCATTGGCAAGATCGACGCCAACGAGGAGAAGCTCATCCAGGCCTGCCTGGGCGACCTCAAGAAGAACATTGCCAAGGGCGTCGCTTTCGTCAACGAGAACCCCGGCAAATAAGCGATTGCGAATTGCGTTTGCAACGTCATGAAAGCGTTCTCTTGTCTTTCTGAGCAATTGTTCCCTTGGTATTGTTTTCTTCGCGAGACATGCGGAGGAGTAGGGATTAAAGAGGCGGCGCTTTGTGAATAAGGTGCACGGAAAATTATGGGGGGACGTTTGGATGAAAAATGAAACACTTGAAAAAAAGAGGAGACAATCATCTCGGCCTCAAACGAGGCTCCGTTCCTGTTTTTTTCTTTCTTCCCTCTGCTGTTCTGCAGCTGCCATAGACTTCCATTGGGGTCTCTGTAACATTAGCACAAAATAAATAAAACAAAAATTCTTAATCTCCAAAGACCTCTGCTTCCTTAGAAGATCACTTGCTTGTATGAGAGGCTTACTTGGATGAAAGTGTGAGCAAACTCAGCCGGATTGAGGAAAGACATCTCTCTATTAATCTTGGGCGTTACATCTTCTATGTTACCCAGCCTCTTTTCTCACGGAGAAAACAAGGGCATTGTACAGCCTCCCAACTCTATACACAGGTAGTTAAATCTTTCATGTTTTATCTTCCCTTCTCCGTTTTGCCTCTCCATACACGACGCATCACCGCTGAAAGACAGAGTCATCATGACCCAGACGCGGCCGCCGGCTGCTGACGACCCGTAGCCCACGCCTCAATCTTCCTCTTGCGCTCCTCAACCCTCCTCTCAAACTCGGCCACCTTCTCCAGCCTCTCCTTCTCCTCCTGCTCGGCCTTCTTCTTCTCAATCTCCTTCTTGCGCTCCATCTCGCGCTTGAGCTGCTCGGGGCGGCGCTCGGCAATGTCGCGCGGGCGGTAGTCGCTGAAGAATCTCTTCAGGACAACCTCAATGACCCAGCAGAGCACGTAGTCGAGGACCATGACGGTGGTCATCTTGGTCTTGAACTCGTCGGTGAAGGGCACCAGCTTCATCTGCTCGTTGATCTCGGGCATGAGCTCGAGAGCGCAGATAAAGGCGAGGCCGGAGACGCCGACGATGCCGTAGAACATGGCCCGGTTCTCGGTGATGGACTCGCGGAAGGGTCGGCCCTGGTAGTTGATGGCAAATGTGGAGATTTGTTGGATCAGCTGCAGCAGGTAAATAGCCGAGTTGAGCAACGACGGCGCAAATTCGGCCTCCAAGTCAATGTCACCGGAGCGTCTATAGCAGTGTTAGTGATGAAATCGATCAGACCGGGTGCGTCGGCAAGGTACTCACGGTTCGATTCTGTCGCACAGACGAGCAATATAGATCAGGGTGACAATATGAACGGCAAACTGTCCCAGAATGGATCCGATGATGTAAATGTTGAAAATGTTGGGCTGGGGTCGCTCCTTGCTCAGGCCTTCCACGACACGAGCTCGGGAGATGCTCAAGAAGCAGACCGACATGAGCATACCGCTAATGGTGTACTGCGTGTCGCCGAACTTGATGCCCTCGAGGTATAGGACAGACAGGGAGTAGGCGCTGATAAGGCAATTTAGGGCGAGGATCTTGTACATCTGAATGGTAGCGACGAGAGTGCATCGGCCTTGGCGGATAATGTTGGGGATAGCCATGACATCGCGGAGCTTCGAGGTAAAGGGCGCGGCGACGGACGCATCGCCCAGCTTCAGCGTGGGGGGCTCATCATCACCCATCTCAGCCTCCATCATGCTAGAAGCCAGTGTATCAGCCAGACTGGCCGCCTTCTTGTTAACGGCCTGCTGACGACTGTCAATGAGGTTCTGAGCACCGGGCGACGTAATGGTTTCCGTAGGGTGGCCATGCTGTTTGATGTATTCCTCGGGCGTAATCTTCTTCCTGGCAGCTTCGCGTTCGACAGCCTTTTGATACTGGGGGTTGCTAGGTCCAGGAGGGTAGAGGTGGGCAATCAAGACGGGAACCGGGGGCGCAGGCTGGTTGAAGCGCTTCATGAGCTCGCATTGCTTCTGGTACATTTCCTTGAGCCTGGTGTTGCGGGCATGTTCAGCGATGCGGGTCAGGTCCTCCTTGGTACCGTTGAGTAACGCAATACCAATGTGAGCCTGTTTCAGGGCTCCGACATCGTTGGTACCGTCACCAGCCATCAAAGTGTAGTAGCCCATATCCTTGAGACCCAAGAGAATGTCCTCCTTTTGCTTTGGCGACACGCGAGCATAGACCCAGGTATGGCGGAGCAGGTCTTTCCATCCAGACTGATCCTTGAACTTGGCCAGAGCGTATCCGGTCACGCAGATATCCTTGTTCTTGAGAATCTCGGCATCGATGGGCTTCGAAGGATCAACATGGATGCTGACTTTGTCGTCCACGCTCTTCCAAACGAGGCCGTCGCCGCCAGCGTTATCCTCGGGGGCATCCAGAATGAGAACATCGCGATCGACGATTTCTACTTCGCGGGCAACGTGGACAGCAGTCAGGGGGTTGTCACCAGTGATCATGACCACGCGGTGGCTACTCTCGTTGAGCATCTGGACGGCCTCCTTGGCGTCTTCCTTGAGAGGGCAGTGGAGGACCAAGAAGCCGGCGAATGTGAGATCGGCCTCAACCTTTTCTCGCTTCAGATCGTTGATCCTGCTAGCGCCCAGTTCAGAGTCGACCGTGAGTTGCTTGTATGCCAAAGCCAGAACTCGGGATCCCTTGCGGGTGAAGTATTTGTACGTCTCCTCGTAATCGGCAGGCACCTCGACGAGCATCTTCTGAATGGTCTCGGGAGCGCCCTTGACACCGGCGAATGTGCCCTTGATCTTCTGGCCGGTACCGGTGTGAATACCATTGACAAACGCGACGGAGCTCTGACGCTTGAGGGCCGAGGAGAACTGGAAGCGGCGCTTGATGTGAACGTTGCCCTGAGTAGTGCCAGCCTTGGGGGTGCTCGAGAGGATGTCGTTGCGGCCGAGGCCCCAGCCAAGGGAGCTGAGAGTAGCCTTCTCCATGGGGTCTCCCACAATGTCGCCCTCGTCCAGTCGAACCAAGGCATGAGCGGTGGCGAGGACCAGCTGCGTCTCCAGACTAGCTTCTTTGACTGCAATAATGGTAGAATGCGCACCGTCGCCTTCTCGCTTGTCCTCAACGTCGGTATGGTTCAGGCCCAGCCCAGCAATACCCTCGACGACCAGGTCCTCGCCGGTCAGCGTTCCAGTCTTGTCGAAACACGCAATGTCAACGCGTCCGGCGAACGGAATACGGAAAGGCTCCGTGCAAAAGATGGCCAACTTGGAGAGGGCTGCCAAACTAGTGTTGACCGCGAGACTCAGCTCCATAGGCAGTTCAGGGGGCACAACGCTGGTGACGATCAAAACGCAGTCCAGCAGGAGCTTGGAGCGCTTGCGATCCCTCTTAACACCTTCATCCCAGACATACCACGAGGCAGCCACCGCGAAGATGAGGAGAAAGAGGATGAACAGAAGGGCCTCGAAGTTGTTTGCGGAAACACGTTCGGTGGAGTAGATCATGGTTCGGACCAGGCTACCCTGAGAAGTCTCGAAGCCGGTCTTGATGACAATGGCCAGAGCTCCGTCATCAGGAGCAGCAGGGACACCCGAGGCCAGTTTGGGCCTCTCCTGGTCGGCGTTTCCATGGGTGATTTGCAGAACCTTGGTACCACCCCAGAGGAAGGCGTTCTTGTCAAGGCCCTCTGGCTCAAGGAGAGCATCGGCCGGGCGCAGCTGGATCGAGTCCTTGAGCAACGGGGTGCTCTCTCCGGAAAGCATGGCCTCGTTGACAATGGCAGTGCCTTCAACCAGGAGCATATCACACGCGACACCGCTGTCTTCCTTGGTTCGGCCAACGGACACGAGGTCACCAGGCAGGAGAGCATCACTCTGAATCTCGGTCCACTTGCCCAGGCGGTAGACCCAAACATCGTAGGGCTTGATGCTCATTCCGCGGAACTCGTTGAGGGTACGCTGGCGCTGCCAAACCACGGTGCTCTCGAATGCGACGAGCATGAAGAGGGTGAAGAGCGAGTAGTACCAGTATTCATCGAGCATCCACAGGCCAACACAGAAGATCTGGAAGACGAAGAAGGGCGCAACAGCGTGCTCCTTGAAGAGCTCTGTGAATGTCGGGACGGGGATGTCGAAAGTGTTTGTGCCATAGTGCTGCTCGATGCGAGTCAACTCGGATTGCTTGTCGATGCCCTTGGACATCTGGAACTGGCCAATGGTGGGCTTGGGCTCGGCATCGATGGGATACGCGAGAGTGCTGAAGGACTTGGTATCGGGGTTGTAGAGGAAACGACGCTTCTGGAAGAGGAACGAAATGTTGGTCTTGCCACCAACCTGTTGAATGGGGGAGCAAATGTCGTTAGCTGGCTGGACATACTGTTGACGCTTCACGAAGCATGTTTAAGAGAGATGCGGGTAGACATACCTTGTCGCGCACCAGCTTGCAGATCTCGCCGGAGCCGGCGTTGGCAATGGGCAGAACCTTGATGAGCTCGGCATCCTGAATGTCCTTGACCTTGCTCGCCGTGAAGCGCGCATCCAGAGTCACGCTCCAGTGGGTGCTCAGCCAGACGAGGGACTGCAGGGTGATGATGGTGCCGCACCAGACAAACGTCCACTCCGGAGCGCCAATGTGCTTCTCGTACAGGTCCGGAGTCAGGTAGTATCGCAGGAAGATGGGCCACAGAATGGCAAAGGGCCAGACGTAGGCATGCAAGTAGAACGGCAGCGGACGGAGAAGCTCCGCATGCTTGATCTGCGGATTGTCCACGAGGGCTGCCATGACAGGCAGACGGAGGCTGATGGAGGCCCCAAGCGGCAGCGGTTGTCTAGAGGCAACGGAGGAGAGTCAAGGGCTGTCAGGGGCTGTCAAGGCGCCGCTGCTGCTGACATTGAAGGGAAGCAGAGGCAGAAGCAGAGGCAACGAGCAGACAAAGCCTCGGCTGGCGGAGTTGTGGGAATCCAGAGGTCGGCCGGTTTGAAAGCCGCGATCTGTACTTTTCGTTGCCTTGCCTCTAGCGAACATTCTGGTGGCAAGTTGCGGGCTTAGTCAGCTATCGGAGGGGAACGCAATGCCGCTGATAAGAGACGGAGAGCCGCACGTCATTTCCTCCCCACAGCTCGAGCCTGATTGATGAATGAAGCTGAATACAGTATGAAACGATATTATGAGCAATTGAGAGACAGCTGCATGCCAATTGAGAGGGACTATGCGAGCAAGGCTCTGGAGGAGACGGAGGAATCGATTGGTCCATGTGCTGGGGTTGGGTCTTGGTCATGCCCCTCTATACAGCCTGATCTCGACATTATCACGAAAAATACCTAGGAAGAAACAGTATTATATGTACATACATCTACCAACAAATGTCAAATCAGAGTTCAAGTAGCATATCTAGGTATGACAATGCCATGCGTCTACTTACCTACTACTCAATGCTAATCATCTACATATGTATGTTTCCAGCTTACAGCAGGACAAGACGCGCAATTGGAGGCCCCCAAAAGAGCGCTTACAGGGTATCCGGTAACTGCTGAGCAGCGCAGACTTCGCCCACCTCAGCGTCATTCAACAAGTCCATGTCCAAGCCCAACCCATCCAGATCAGTACTCCAGGTATCTTGTACCAGCATTCCATGACTCTCATCTTCACTTACCCTTACTGCCACCTCCTGCGAAACCCCGTCGACGCCCCGTGGGATAATCCTGCTTGGTGAGCGCAGCAGTGCATCTGCTGCCTTGAGCCGTATCATGTCATACAATCTTTTGTCGTATGTGAGAAACGGGGAGATTGTTTGATACATTGCGTGTAGAAAGTCTGCCGGACCGCATTCAAGATACTCTCGTGTGGCAAAATAGGAACCACGACGAGAATTATAGGAATCGTGTATATGGGGGCTATCGTAGGCATTGGTGGTGCACAATATCACATCCGCCAGTGTGTTGGTGATTTCGAACGATTTGATCAGCTATTCGATGCCGTGTTAGATCCAATCAAAGGTCGAGTCGTCGAATGAATCATTTCGCGTACCTGGTCTCTTCCCAAAGAAACCAAGTGTTCCTTGGAGTTCATGGTAATGGAGGTGAGAAAGTCTTGTGCTATCCGAGACGGAAAGAGAAAAGTCATGGAATCGTCGTTCGCGCAGGACGAGAGCAGGCTCCGGGACATGGCTTGCTGCCATATCAAAATTCGCATCCAGTGCTTGGTGATGTTATAGTCTGCTCTCTGCACAAGATCGTAATCCGGAGCTTTCGGAGCAATGGCTTCCAGGGATCTCTGGACTGCGATGAGGCGATCTTGTTCCGCGTGGGCTTGATAGGATTCGTACATGTAACGGGCTGTGCGATAGAAGAAGGCGTCAAAAGCCGCAAAAAGCGTGGCGAGTTCAATAAGCCCTCTCCCATACTTGTCGAAGTCGCTCAAGTTGGCCGTAGGGATTTGAACTGTTTCGAGTATAGAGATTGGCAGATCATGTTGAATGGCATATCCTCTTCGCGTTATCAAACAGTGTCAGCTGTTGCACTTCCTTCACAGTGAACACGAAGCTGTCGTTACCTTTCGCTAACCCAGAGGAGAATGTATACCAGTCGCTTATGGGAAGTGACTGCACCTTGTGCATTGATCCCATCATGTGAAGATTGGCAAGTCTCGACTTCTATCCTGTCCAAATGGAGGAGTCGAGCGATCGAGATGCCCTCCTGGAGGTAGAGCATAGAAGCGTTCCTATTGTCGGCCTTGGCATGGTATACATGAAGAAAGAAGGATGTGAGAGCTCCTTCAATCGATGGATGCTCCCGGTAGTTTGTCAGGTTGCGACACCGGTTACACTCCCTTTCCAGGTATTCGCTGGTGACGCGTGGTTGAGCATCTCCGATCGCAGTGAGATTCAACTGGGCCATTGTCGCCGCACAGAGTGCCAATGCCATAGTATAAGCATCGGATACTGGTGATTCATTGGTTTCCGATTCTTCAAGTCGTTTGAGTAAACCTTGCACATCAATGACTGGCCAGACGGGATACATCCGGGATCTGTAAGCCTCAATGATCTGCCGTAGTGAAGACAGCGGCACCCTTGCTGGCTCAAACGCGGTGGAAGCATCGTGGACGTCGACCCCCGCCAAGTTTGGGTTGACCTGATCAGAAGCCAGCTTCTGGGCATCGACTCTCCATTTCCAGTTGCATCGTTGCGTAAGCTTCGAAGTCTTGGGGCCGCGCTTCAGCACGGGCTTCAAGTAGGTGCACTCGAGCGGAGGTTGTGCGTCGAGGCACTTGCGACAAGGCCGGCCATTGTCGCACCGGGTCTTGCGTTGAACACAGAAGTCGCAGGATCTCTTGGCCATGGACAGTCGATGGGCAAATGGATCGAAAGCTGCCTGACTCCGGAGTAATTAAAGGAGATTACTGACGAGACTGGGCGGACAATTGATGAGTCCTGAATCAAGTCAAGTCACAGGTGGAGAAGATGGGGGACACATGGCGATAGCTTCCAGGCAACTATCCCCGGACCCGTTGATGGAGTCACGCATGGCCCCGTGTACCGCCTTTATGTATGTGCTATGAGGGCGGATGCATGTATTTTGTGTTGTCGTCGATGCAACTGGCCCCCCACGAGGGGCTCTTGAGCGGGGGTGGAGGCTTGAAGGTGTAGTGCTTGTATGTAAGTGGGAGGAGATGCAAAAAGCTCCGACTGCGCTGCGGGTATCGGATGAGCTAAAACGTCTGGGTTAAAGTGCTCGATGAGAGATGGCCTACAGACGTGGAGTGATAGCTTTACTTTGAACATTCATGTGCGATTCCAGACTTCGTTTTCCTGTGACGGGCAGTAGAGGTTGTACCTGGGGTATATTTGCAGAGAATACCATCTGTTCTCAAGTGAATGAAGTTAGAGGCATCGTATTGATAGCAGGAGGCCATCTTGGAGGCGGACCCTGACCCAATATCTTCAAACGGCAGGACATGAAAGTTGCCCAACAACCCTACTAGTATCCTACTATCGAACTGGAAAATAGCCATATCATGCGCAGTTAGGAGACTTGGTCAATGTAACACTGTAGTTGTTCACGATCAACTCTGCCGATCTCGAGTAGCCACCCGGAAAAATGCTGGACAATTCACACAGCAATTCGCGGGGAAAGTTGGAGAACCTGCACCCCAAGCTACCTCCCGCGTGATCCATGATCTCATCCGAGCGAATCGAAGCATTTGGCGATGCCAATGTCTTGATTGATGCTTCTGTAAATTCTGTCAAGAATACAATATCCAGGTATATAAGCCCATGGGATCAATACATCCTCAGCTCTATCCATCTTCATACAGTCTTCTATAAGCAATCTATCCCGAAGCACTCCATTATTTCACCATCTCGAATCTTGATCCTCTATCACAATGGTCAATATCCCTCGAACACAGACGGCTGCTACCGTCCCGAAGCTTGGTGGCGGCGTTGTCTTTGATCACAACTACCCGGTGCCGCAACCTAAGCACAACGAGGTCTTGGCCAAGGTGCTCTATTCCGGCGTCTGTCAGAGCGGTAAGCACAAGCCCGGCTTATACCATTATACACACTCTGGCAACCAGTACAACGTAAATAAACGTTGAATCACAGTTCTTACCCATGCTTCTCTGCAGACCTCCACACACAAGCCGGCGTAGCCGCTTCAGCCAACGGAACGCCAATCACCAACGTCAAACTCCCTCACGTAGGAGGCCATGAGGGCATTGGCCGTATCATCGCCTTGGGCCCCGGGGTGGACGAAGACATCAAGGTCGGCACATATGTCGGCATCAGGTTTGCCAGTCGCATCTGCCGGCGCTGCAGCTTCTGTCTGGCTGGCAAGGAACAGCATTGCATCAAGAGCACGAATCATCTGCACCACGAAGATGGAAGCTTCCAAGAGTACATTGCTTTGGATGCTGGGTATCTCACTATCCTCCCTGATGACATCGATCCTGTCGTCACTGGACCGGTTCTTTGTGCTGGATTGACGACTTACAAGGTAAGTGGGGGAATCCTCTCCAGTCCCAGTCAGAGTCCAAGGTAGCAGCTGACAATCATATGTCTAGGCTGTCATGAACTGCAACGTCAAAGCAGGAGACTCTGTTGTAGTTGTCGGGGCCGGCGGCGGATTGGGCCATCTCGCAGGTATTCACCCTCATAAGTTCGCATCGATTTTCCCTACTAACAGCAGATGTTCAGTCCAGTATGCACAAGCACAAGGCGCCATTGTCTACGCCGTAGATGGCGGTGCCGAAAAAGGAGAGTTCCTAAAGTCACTTGGCGTAACCGGCTACGTCGACTTCACCACCACCCCCAATCTCATCGAGAAGGTCAAGGAAATCACCGACGGCGGAGCGGATGCAGTCATCGTCACAGCGGCAAACGTGAAAGCCTTCTCCCAAGCTGCCGACATGCTCGCCGTTGGCGGAACCCTCAGCTGCGTGGGCATCCCTGCCGAGAGAGGCTACCTCGAGACTCCCATCAGCACCATCGTCATCAAGGGCCTTCACATCACCGGCAACTTGGTGGGATCGCTCAAGGAATGCTTGGAGGCGGTGGATCTTGTGCGGAGAGGTATCGTGAAGCCAAAGGTTACGGTTCGTCCGTTTGAGGATCTGCCAAAGATTTACGAGGAGCTGGAGAGGGGGGATGTTTTGGGCCGGATCGTGCTGAAGATTGCAAAGGACGAGTGAGTCTGAACTGCGGCGATGTAACGCTTTGACGAATTCAAATAGTGAGTTAAGTGAAGAGGTGCCTACATGAGAAGGCTTCAACTGTAGCGAAGACTATGGATAGAATGTAAATGTGATGTAACTGAATATGTGTATTGAAGTTCTCTCGATATCAAATCCAACCCCGAAGTAACCTGACAATCTACCGAGACGCCGTATTAGTTTCACCTCCCATAGTACAAATCGGCTAACTAACCCCAAAGTAAGGCCCGATCATTCTAACCAAGTTCCCCAAATAAGAGTTTTAGGTTGTAGACCGGTAGATTGTAGCCGGAATTACGGAGTATATGTAGCGTAATACTGGACATTCTATGGGTCGTAGGGCGCGCCAAGGGAGATGTGGCTCTACACCTGGACAACCTCAGCATGTAATTACGCAACAACTGGTGGTGGACAGATATTGAATGGGAGAAATACCGTAACACTATATAAACCAACCCTATGGCCTCTTTAGACTATACTTTTTCCAACACTCGGTCAGCCATCTTAAGCTGAAAGATCAAAACTCAGCGTCACAACTGACTATAGGCCTGGTTCCCCTCTTATACATACATTATACGCTCAACCATGTGTCAAACAACAGACAACTCATCATCCCCAGAGCGGGCAACACTGAGTGCCGCCGCCAGAGCCCAGGTGCCAAATCACCCTGCCGCCCAGGAAGCCCTCCGAATCGCTCTCAACTCCCTCTCGCCGTCCCTCTTCAACCACAGCCTCCGTCTGTACATCTATGCCCAAGCAATCCTCAACTCATCATCCGCTGGCCTACCGGGCTCCTACGAGGCCTTCAAGGGAGTTTCGCTCGAACCGCACGTGCTCTTCGTAGCCTGCATCTACCACGACCTGAGCACCATCGAAAAGTACGACAACAACCCAAAGCGCTTCGAAATTGTCGCCGCCGATGAAGCAGTAGCTCTCCTCCTTCGCCACGGTGAGTCCGAAGCCGTCGCACGAGAAGCATGGCTGGCCATGTCTCTGCACACGACTCCAGGGATCCCAGAGAATCTTGGAGGAGCCGTGCAAGCCCTGCGGCTGGGCATCAAGACAGAGTTTCGCGGTTACAATCTGGAGGAGAGGGTACTCTCGGGGGAGCAGTGGAGGATTGTGAGGGAAGATTTGCCGCGTCTTGATATTGAAAAGGACTTGTCGGATGCGGTTGTTCGACAGGCGCTCGCTACGGAGGAGAAGGCGCCGAGGATGAGTTGGGCGGGAGAGCTTCTGAAGTGGAAGAAGGCGAATCCGGACTATCAGGGCGCAAATCAAGCCTTTTGACCAGGTTGGCGATTTCGATGATGCCGAGATATGGGCCCTATCTAGTCTGCGTGCTGAATATCCGCAGACCTGAGTGTCAAGTTCAAAAGAGCTCTCGCTCTCTCTTATTCAAGCAAAGTAATGAAGAAAAAATCGAGCTCTTAGGACTATGAATATTCACTTGCGCTTGGCAAACCCGGTCTAATTCTAGGACAATGCCTCATAACCTTGATCTCATAGCAACGTCTATGCAGCACCAGCACTGTCCTCCACCTCCTTCACAAATGCATGCAGTTCAGACACCTTCTTTTCAGCCTCCTGCTTTCTCTGCTCCTGCAGATCAAACGTTGCCCGCATCACATCAACCATATAAGGCTTCAAGGGCGCCTTCTTGGCAGCCCTATAGTCATACACCACAATGTCCTCAAAGCACTTCGCCGCTGGTCGTTTGTGCTGCTCCGAGTACATGACGGCTTCCAGGTAGAACCGGTCGGAGCTGTAATCCGGCTTTGTGACCAGTTTGTGCAGCACCGTGACGCGATCTGGGAATGTCATGGGCTGTTGACGTGGTCAGTTAGTTGTGATCTGACAGGAAGCAGTGACTGCTGGGCGCTTACGAATTTGTAGTCGGTTCTGATGCTTGCGAGAATGAGGCCAACGCCTTTGGGAGTCATCAGATCGTACCATTCCTGCTCGTACTTGGGGTCTGAAAACTGCGCGAGGTTTCGAGTCCAATTGACGCGGCCGGACTCGGCATATCGGTTATATATAACATTGTTGACGTGTCCTGGATAGAGTCAGTGGACTTATACCAAGTCGGGGACGAGTTTGCGTTGGAATTACCCTGTGATCAATACAAGTTAGAATGATGCGTTAATCTGATTGTAGTTTGAAGACTCACCATCATGTCCTGCATTGACCAAAAACACACAGCTATGAGTCAACATTGTCTCATCCCCTCTTGTCTCTCATCCAAACGATTATGAAGGTCTCACCATGTCTCCCCATTGCACAGCATGTCGATCAACCCCCCTCCTCTCCTCGTCAGCCAAATATCCCTCTCGTCCCGCTGAGAGCTGCAGCCAATTCTCATCCAGATAGGCGAGTCGTTGCCTCACTTCCTCAGCCTTTGAGGGTGAGATCTTGAGAGCCAGAGACTTCTTCAGCTTACTCTGCAACTCAGAGAGCCATCTTGAATTGATTGATCCATTTTGCGATGATGGTGGCGGCGTTGATGCACTTAATTTGGCTGTCGTTGATAGGGGGCGAACTGACGACGGTCGCGTTGCATGAGTAGCCGCAAGGCTGCTGAATCTGGAGAGTACGCTTTTCATTTTCTGTATATATGCGATGAAGCGTCAGTACGCATATACAAGTCAAGGCGTAGTATGGTAAAGACACATCAAGGAGAGGAATACTCGGCTTAATGGAACACAAAGTGGAATCGGCTATTCTCGGTATCTCCGTTGTTGCCGCTCTCCTCCCATTGTTTAAGCCGTCTTCAGTGGGCCACGAACGGCAACATAGATTCAGCTTGCTCTCAATTGAGCAAGCTGGAATCCTGATTATTGATACTCTTCCTGCAGACCGGATATGATTGAGAGCAGGAATATTGAACTCTGGCGGCATAAAAGCATGTCACTTATACGTAAGCTGAGATACAGGTAACGAGCACGTGTATAAGCATAAGCATCGTCAATTCGTACTTATCCACTCATCTCCGCGCGCAAGGCGCAATATATACATGGAAGAAAAAGGATATATACATCGTAAAAGGGCATATATGTGCATAGTGGCGAGCGGGAGTGGTCAACCTCCCAAACCCGTCACTGAACCCGAGGGGGGGACTCGAGCATATGTACTGCGTTGTTCTCGCATATCCGTCACCAGATGTCTACCTGAGAAACAATCTCTTTAGGTAGAGTACTGGGCAACGTAGCCAACCTCCATCATGGCGCCATAGCCATCGAGGGTAGCGCTGTTGGGGTTGCCGGGCTATACAGATGTTAGCGTCTTGTAAGTGAAGGACAGGGGGGGAGTCTATATATGAAGAAAGAAAGACAAAACTTACCCAGCTGCCACCAACAGCAACGTTGAGGATGAAGAACAGGGGGCTGTGGGCAATGTTGTTCCAGACGTTCTGGTTGCCGATGCGGGAACCAGTGATCTGGAAGAAGTTGGTGCCGTCGAGGGACCAAGTCAGGGTCTCGGTCTGCCAGTTGTTGGACGTGCGGTCAATCTCGACGCGCCAGGTGTGGAAGTCGTTGGGGTTGTTGAAGTTGACGGGGCCGCCAATGCCGTTGCCCTCGTTGCAGATGCCGCCGGGGTAGACGTCGCAGTGGAGGGTGCCGTGGCCCGTGGGCTGGCCGTTGACCTGCTCGAGGATGTCGATCTCGCCGCAGCTGGGCCAGCTGCCGCCGTGACGCAGCACGTCGCCCAGCATCCAGAAGGCGGGCCAGATGCCCTGCTTGTTGGCCTGGGCGTTGCTGCCCATGCGGATGGAGGCCTCGGCGCGGGTCACCTTGCCGGCCTGGGGGGTGAAGGTGTACTTGGACTCGAGGCGGCCAGAGGTCCAGCCGCCAAAGGTGCTGCTGTCCTTCCAGGGCACCAGCTGCAGGGTGTTGCCACCGCTCAGCTGCACGTTCTTGGTGCTGGACGAGTACGTCTCGAGCTCGTTGTTGACGTTGAGGTTGCCGGTGATGATGTTCCAGTTGCCTGTGTTGGGAGACGTGCCGCCGTTGCCCGCGAAGGCGTCGTTCCAGACCAGGTTGAAGCCGCCATAGGACGGAGGTGCCCAGGCGTTGGAGAGGCCAACAAAGGCGAGGATGGCGGCGGCAACCTTGGGAGACCACATTTTGGATATGTTTTCAAGAAGAAAAAAAGGAGGGTATGGGATGGTAGATATGTACCGGGGTGTTGTGTATATACAACTTTGGGGATATGTACAGAGGCGTGAGAAAGGAGAGACAATTCAAGGCTCCTGAGCCAGATGAAGTTGCTAGTAGTATATCGTCAAGATATTCTTGGTGATACAAAGAGCAAGATGAGATCGACGAGGAAGAGGCATGCTCCTTTATGTACATCGGCGTCAAGCATGAAGCAGAGCAAGAGGGCTTGACTCTGGTCCGAAGACTATGCCCAGTGACCCCAGGTCATTCCAATGCCGTTTTGGAAGGTGAGAACTCTCAAAGGAGACTTGATGCATACATGTCACCAATAGAAACATACACACGCAATCGCCATCAGGGATGAACCTAAGCCGGACCGATGATTGGGCCATCGTCAGGGGCTGGTTGCCGAATAGTCAAGATTTCCCTCGAGCCAGGGCCATATGAGCTCCTACCAGTGAGCGTGTGCCTGCATCCTCAGGGTTGCGAAAGAGAGACAGACGAGAAAACAAGCTTCCCCAATGACCTTGGCCCGCCAGTCCAGAAGGGGGAACCGTGAGCCGGGAGAGGACTATAATCGGTGGGGAATAGGACGACGTCCAAGAAGTTCGATTGGGGAGCGATATTGGATCAAGGGCTGTCGAGGAGGAAATGCTACCTCGAACAGGAATCTGAGCGCGTCTTCTGACGGACGGGCCGATAGGCTGGATGGTACACGTGGGATGGAGCAACAGACTCGTCAATAAGGTCGCTGGATCTTTCTCATGCGGCCAGGATAGAGGCATGACTGGCTGAGAGAAGGGGGGGGGGGGCTCTTGCGGGTTCGATCAAGAAGAGCATGATCGGGTCAATCTGCCGCTCGGCATCGAAGATGCAAAAGGAGTCTATCGCCCATCTTGAGTCTGTGTATACGAGCACCTCAACATAGTCATACATGGAATAGGCTCAGCCCCGAGGAGAGAAACGGGAGATTCTTCTGCCCATCATCCTTCTTTCGGACCCTGTCACCATTCGGTGTCAAGAGCCGCAGGTCCCTCCTATTAAGGAGACGCGGGACCGAAAGAAGATAGACGAATGGCCACAAAGATCCACGGCCGCCAAGAGAAGCTTGGCCCGGGTGGCTTCCGCCTTTCTAACTACCATTCCGGTAGGTATGTATCGGAGACGGCCTGGTGCGTTCCTGAACTGACTGACTGGCGGTCATGGATGCCCCCCCTGTTCGACCAGGAAGTTTGAAGTGCATGGAGTCGTCTGGGGTACAGAAAGCCACCATGCAGCAGAGCGTATCGGACAAGGGGGAGGGACTTGGAGGAGCCAAGGCCGGCGTTTGAGGCGGCATTAACATGATTCGATGGTGCATTGAGCTTGTGATGAAAGGACTGTTCATCACATTGCGCCCAAGTGCCGCGAATGCCATCGCCAGATGATGGCCGATCATGGCAGTCAGCCAACACTCCTTGCCCTCGCGTGAGCCGTTGGAAGGCCATCGTGGAAGCGTCACGTTCCCGGTTGGGTATCGCCCCCAAAAAGCAAATCCGGGGGGGTTCATCAAGAACGTGACAGTTGGATAGAGAGCAGGGCCGCCCGCCTCCACACCATCTCCTATACTGGCTGGCGAATTGCCGCTGGGGGCCACAGGTTGGTTGGGCGCCTCCCGCATTAAGATTAGCGGAGGAGCGTAGAAACAACATGTTTGGGCAATCAAAGGAAGAAGAGGCAGGATGAGGATAAGGTAGGATACTACATACTAGACAGTAGTATTAACAGGCGGTATAGCAGGAGGGTTACTGATGCGACGGAGATAGGGACCCAGCTCGAACCGCCTTCTAGGGCTCTTTCTCGCGCGCGAGTCATTGGCATGCCCAGTTGAAACCGCAGGGCCTGCAACATGTAGGAACAGTCACAAAATACCATACTATACAGAGGCGAGCAACGCTATGCATTAGCATTGCCTGCTAGGAAATATTGGCACTGCACGCAGCTTCCCTGAGCGGAAACGGGCCTCCCCATAGCTGCAGATGATATGGGGCACCCATGGCCGGCACTTTGGCCGTGTGTCCGACATATGGCCGTCAGGGCTAGGCAGCATTCCGACAAGTTTGGCGTTTCTGGACCTGGCGGAAGGATTGCGATGCTGGGGGGGACCGATGCGACTCGAGGATGGAGAGGCAATGATAGTAGTAGTGCTTGTAGATGTGGACGGGGACGGAGACCTCCGTGAGAATCCGTGGATGGCAGGCAAGCAGGGTACATATCCGCCAGAGAAGAAGGGGTTTTTTTTTCTGTGAGAATGCCACATGATAATAACACATCGAGATCATGTTGCCTCCTTCTGCTCCAGCTTCCTCGGTACTCGAGGGCCCTGGGTTGTCGGCTAAAATACCGACTATAAGCGCCCATGTCACCACAGAAACGCTCGCGTCCAGACCTCCTCGACTCAGACAACACCAGCCACTCACCAGCCTCTCCAACAGCTGCATGTATGTATGTAAGTGTGTCCCAGGATGCACCTACTACTGTAGGTACCTAAGATAGATGCCTGTATGCGTTCTCGGGTCATGTAAGCTGGCCAGGGACACTGCAGCTTATCCTCAACGCACCTCGACCCGAAGAAGAATCTCGATACTAGCCAGCGTCCCATCGAAGAAGCTCTTCGCAATAAGCCTCACCCGCGTGGCGACGCACTTCAGCCGGAATGCATACATACATATGCTGTGCGACGTGGGCTTGCAGAGATTCCTTCATCGTGCTGCCTCATCGGGAGCCCTTGTAGACACAATTGTCCGGGGACCCAGGACTGTGCTTACCTTCCTACCTTATGTACCCTCTCCCATGCGGGTATTCCTGAGGGCGTATGGGCTTTTAGCTCGTGGCTAACAATTGTGATGTTTTTTTCGAGATGCCTTTTTGGGACGGAACAGCACGGCCTCAGCTTCGGGAGAGCTTCGTCGAGGAAGCCGGCTTACGTCGTGTATACCTAATGTCTGATAGGCTATCATCCGAACCCGGCAACTCTTTTTTTCAAAGATGATTCTTCGCATATGGAGGATCTGAGCTTCGGATCCTAGTTCCATGAGCAGCATGGCCAGTTTGCCCCATGATAGACCGGGTCAAAGCTCCCGACCACTGCCAATCGCTTACATGGAGGGCACGATCTCCGTCTGCGCCGTCGATGCTGATTCTATCCAGGTCTGAATAGCTTCAATAGCAGGTTCGGTATATATACATAGCATCTCTTGTTGCTCAACGTGTCTTGTTTGCAACCTGCGTTTGTTGCCCGCCTTTAGGTCTTAGAAGACGCCTTATCGCCGAAAAGCACCTCGGACTTTTGCTCCCCCTCAGCGGTAATCTCATGAACCCCGCGTTCTTGTTTGTCTTGACGTCTCCATCGTTACGCGGAATGAAATCATATGTAAGATGTAGGAGAAGACTCCAATACTATTCGACACTGGCTGTCGAAATCGAATCTCGAAGAAGAGAACCCTCTTCATCTCACCCCGCTGTAATTCCTCCCTTGGTTCATACAGATATTCCAAGGCTTCACTTGTCGACACATTAAACCAGTCATTTGCATAATTTCATCATCGTACCAGCTTCTTAGTCCCCGACGCTTGCTCATCTTATTCATCTCTAAAAATGTCCTCCGCAGCCGCCGTCTTCGCCCCCGGAGCAACCGCCCTCATCACCGGCGGCGCTTCCGGAATCGGCCTCGCGATAGCGAAGCTCTGCCGCAGCAAGGGCATGAAGCTGCTGCTCGTGGACCGAAACGCCGAGACCCTGGAAAAGGCCAAGGCTGAAGTCGGGTCATCGTCATCTTCAGAGGTGGCCACTTCGGTCGTCGATGTCAGCAACCCTGACGGCTGGGCCTCGCTCAAGGACCAGGCTGCCAAGACGTTTGGCTCGATTGAGCTGCTCGTTTTGAATGCTGCCATCAGTGGCAAGGGGACCTGGGGTGATGGTGACTACTTTCGAAATGTAGGTGCCAACGCGTCAGATATGAGCCTGTGGAGAGGAATGTGACAGTGCATGTACATGACAATTTTTCACAACTGACTGTCGTCGCCAATAATGTTGCTATGGTACAGGTCCTCGAGACGAACCTTTTTGGGGTCATCAATGGCATCAACGCTTTTCTTCCGGTTGTCCAAGAGGCCGCGAAAAGCCGACCCACGTCGATTGTCATCACCGGCAGCAAGCAGGGCATCACGAACCCCCCTGGCAATCCCGCCTACAACGCCTCTAAAGCTGCCGTCAAGACTCTCGCCGAGCATCTCAGCTATGACCTCCGAGACACCAAGACCAGCGTCCACCTTCTTGTCCCGGGCTGGACATTTACAGGCATGGTGAGTATCGGCAATTATGCTTCATTCTTCTGCCTTTATCTCTGGGAAGCTCATATGAGCGGAACTACCCTTGATGTTCTGTATCTGACATGTTCAACCTGCTATTATAGGCATTGGCGCACGGCATCAAGGAGAAGCCGCCAGGCGCGTGGGCGCCAGAACAGGTAGCCGACTACTTGTACAAGAAGATGGAGCAGGACAAGTTCTATGTCATCTGCCCCGACAATGAGACCACCGAGGAGACGGACAAGAAGAGGATGCTGTGGAGCGTGGGCGACATCGTCAAGGAACGGCCTCCGCTTACGCGCTGGCGACCAGAGTGGAAGGAGGAAGCAGCAGAGACTATTGCAAAGACTCAGGTCTGAGCTATTTTGTCAACTACTATGGGGGTCCTTTGTGGTAAGAGTGAGGATGATGATTCGACTCCAAGACGGAATGGAGTGATGGCTCTATCGCCTGCTTCTTTGGGATGCCATAGTTGTGGTGCCATCTAAGCCAAACTGGTGGAATGTCGAGTCGCTTCAACTGTCTTGACGCTGAGATGCTCTTGAGAGCTGCTGCCTCAAACTCGACCCGAGTTGTCAACTATAGTACATCACCACCATTCGAGTGTAACGTGTTATTACCAACTTCGCTACCGATCAATCGGCAACAACATCTCTAGTCTTCAGTGCCATAGAGTGCCTCTCAAGTTCCGGCGCCAACTCGGCGAAAGTGCAGCTTCCCACAAACAGGCTAACCCCAGTCAGTCGACTCGAGACGAGCTTCTTGGTGTGGTTGCAATCTAACTAGATGGACATACATCATCTGTCAGATTCGAGTGCTTAATTTCCGTCTTGCATGCCCGTAGGCGCTTATCCCTCCTAGTCACGGACGGCGGGCAGTTCAGGCACGAGACCTCGTCCTCATGTTGGTTGCAACCGTAAGCTATTTATGCAAGAGGACAAGTTCGGGTATAAAAGGGTGAGATGGATCATCGCCTGGTGCTCGTACATGCCAGTCGAAATCGGCTCCAAACCCCCGGCTTCCATTGTAGAGCGTTGTGTATGTATGGAAACAACCGAGCAATTCCATTGGGGTAGAAATCGGCGAAACTGTCATCGGTTCAGCCTTTTGTTACCAACTGTGTCACTGAAGCACGCGCAAATGTTGCTCTTGTGTTTCTCTAGGGTACCACAAGCAAGCCTTCATTGGCAATTAATTTGATCATCGGAACCACACGTCTTGGCTTTTCTGAAAAACCATCACGCTGAGGATTCTCGACGATTCGTTGAAAGCTCTCGCTGAAGCTTGCTATGTACATGATGTGCTGATAAGGAGCACCTTGGAGGCGGCCATGAGCTACATTCCCTAGCGTTACCATGACAGTATAGTCTACCTGTTATCGGCTATGTAACGATGCAGTTGATGATAATAGGATATTTTCTTCTACTGCTACCACTCCTCTCATATGAGACACGTAAACAAATCACCCAAGTAACAAGCTGCGAAGCCCAGCAGCAAAAATAACTACTCTTCTCTGGAACCAATAAGACAGAATGCTGGACCAATGTTGGACGCCCGAGATGCCCTGGTCCCCATCCTCTCAATCTCATTGTCAAGCTGTTGAAGACCAGTCTCGACTTGTCTGCGCTGTTCTCTGCTTGCCTGATCAAGCTGACCAAGCATATCAGCAGTAGTCGCACGTGAAGGCCCTCCAGGACTGACCTCCCCCGAGCTGGTCTCGCTCTTTTCTCGTTGCGCAAGGATATCATGCTCTCGCTCAAGCTTGAGCACCGCCTCCACACGCAGGCGCATGGCCTCCTTTGTCGTCTCCTCCAGTATGACCGCATAATGACACCGTTTGTACACACCTATGCCTGTCAAGATGAGGCCAACCACCTCATAGGAGAACAAGACTGGCAGTGCATAAGACAAGTGCGGGTTGCAGCCATGCGACCAGTTGTCTGTGAGCAACTCATATGCTGCGTGCGCCGGCAAGGCGTATCCCCAGCGGTAAAAGGGAGAGACCACGCTGAACGGAAGTATGATGGAACTGACGTTGATGACCACCCAGGTGACGAGAGCCATCGAGACGTACTGCGGCGGCAACCAGATGGTGAAGACGTCAAAGGCGAGAAAGTTGACGTGAGCAAACAGCCATAGGATAAGCCAGGTGATGGCATACTGGCCGGCTGAAACATGCCAGTTGGCTTTGAACGCCCAGATGGCAGCGGAGTTTAGCAGGGAGCCTAGCATGGTGAACGTGATGGAGATGGCGTCGCGCACGAGAACGATGCGCAAGGGTGATATCCGCGTGTAGACCTTGAAGGAGGCGTACAGTCCGTTGATGGTGGCGAGATAGAAGAAGTCTTCAATCAGAGCCAGCACAATGGTGATTGTGTTGTAGACGGTCCGGGTGCCCTGGGTCGTGGGCATGATGTTGATGGATGTCAGCGTCCATGGATTGGTAAAGGCGGAGATGGCTGCCGCATTGTTGCTGGACGGGATCGTGGGAAACGCAGATGTGCCGTTGAGGGCTATGTACGATGCCTTGGCAGTGTCTGATAGTGTGTGGAGGTTGCTCGCGACGAGGCTGTCCATGACGGCTGAGTACTTGGCTTCATTCCAGATGAAGGAGAGGACATCCGACGGATTGTACTGCGTCGTATTGAGTCCGGCAATGGCAAGGCCTAATCTCGTGGAAGCTCCCGGAGACGTGAACAGGGCAGCCCAGTAGTGAGCATGGCACACGGCTTCTCTGAGGTCGGCCTGGGTCGGAAACTGGGAAACCGATCGCTCAATCATACTCGGAAACTCGTGTGACTGCAGCGAACTGTATGCATTCCGAACGGCATCTCCAATGACGCCGCCATCGTAGTCGACGAAGAGTATATGAAGATTATGCGTCCGCGGTCCTTGCTGGAAAAGAGACCCATACAGATAGCAGAAGAGGCAGAAGAACAGCAGGATGTACAGGCACAAGTTGAGTATCGCCGCCTTGAAGAACTTGGGCCTAATTGCTTTGAGTTCCGGATGGTTGATTGGGAGTCTACCCTCGTGCGCGCGAGGATATAATCTCCTGATCAGCGGTGGTGACATTTTGCATGGATCTTCAGCTTGACGGAATGCGGAGGAGGGTGAGGCTGATCCACACCCCGTCAATCGGCCGCGAAGTCTTGTACCCAACTTCCGGAAGCTCCGGCTGACCACCGGCGTCTCATTGTTAGCTTTCTACATGTAGGGCAAGGAAGGATACTAAGATGACATATTCTTTTAGAGTAAAACTTATCAGACTGGGCTGATACTGTACCTGACTTGACGTTGATGGCACCCGGAAGGAGGTCAAAAAACGCTTTATATAGGTATGACAATAGCTGCAGGCGAGGTATAGGTCAAACATTGGTTCTAACTTTCGAAGACATAGGCTGTGAGAAAGCGAATATGATAAAAGACATTGTCATGACTAACTGGGACATCTCTATGCAAGCGTTCTTACGCTCTCTATGGACAACCCACTACAACTATTGTCGGTGGTTCTCTCGTGAAACCAAACGCATAATTTCGATTACTCTTTTGTTCGCGGATTCACAACGAATAGAAGACGTTAACCTACCTTATGTATCCGCATAACTTTTCGATAGACGTCTCTACCATACGAATTGATAGACAAGCCTGTACGGGCATACTTCATGGTCATCGCTGTAGACCAATCAACAGTGTGAAAGAAACTACCGCCGGTCAGCTACTGTGAATCCAGAAAGTACCTTAGTTATCCGGCACCTCACGTTCAAGCATACAAGGTCTTAAAGCGGCTTAATGTTCAAGCTTCTCTATATGTCCTATCTAAAAGATGAAGATAGCAGCTTATGCTGGCACTAGAACGATATAGCAATAGTAGCGGAGAGTAGAATCTTTGGCCAGACAGCACTATAGGATGAAAGGTGCTGATGCTGCTGAAGAGCTCGAGAGCAGACAGAGCTTACACGTGCTAAACCACCACGGTGGCATACGGGTCACCTTCTGCGTGGAGCTTCTATTGCGGTACGCCTTGGCCATGGCCTTGAGGCCGTCATTGCTGGTGAAGTGCCATTTTCTGCGTGGAGCTTCTGCAATGCAAAGAACTCTTTTACTCTTCATCTCCTTTCGCCGATTCCGTCCACGCCATTATGGCGGCTCCTCCTCATATGACGCCAGCGTGGTAGGAGGAGTAGAGACTGACAGGTCAGGCGATGCCATTGTGTGCGAGAGAAAGCTTTGTTGTTGAGGACTTTATATGGCCCAGGCGCTGAAACTTGGAGTCTGTGCTGAATGCTTCCACATTTAGAAGGCTCAGCATCGATACAAGGAAATTGGTTGCAAACTCCAAAGGCATGCGAGTAGTATTTTCACTGACGATACTTGCATGAAGTCGGTGAATGATTACCTAGGTAAGTTTTGCTGTCCGCCGCGTCCTATCGCATGTCCCTTCGACGGATCGAACAAGGCAGACAAAGCCCTGCTGACAGCCGTTATTCCTTTGAGACTGTCAAGTTTGAAGATGTTCCCGAAGGGCTAAATGAACTGGATCGACAAGTATTGGGAGTTGTTACTCTCCAGCCTATCATTTATTTGAATGGCCTAGGTATTATGAAATATGGATGTTTGTACATCCCTGTCCTGTAACGCAAACACTCAAAGACGCAAACAATGGCATAGGTACCTATACTTATATCAGGATGGCTACCTGGATCTATTTGCTTTGTTACCGTATGCATCGTGTTTGCTACATTTCTATTCATGGCTCGTATTTGTTGCGTTTGCTCTCCTTCTTCTCTATAAAACCACATCATCTCTGCAGTCCCCGTCAATGTCCCCTTCCTCTCAGTTCTATCCTTCTTTCAATTCAATTACTACAACACTTCTCGTCTTGATCTCCCACAATGTCCATCTCATTCACGACGGAATCGAACGAAGTGGCAACGCCCATTGAGGCTGATTCCGGACCCAACGCAATGGACTCAACTGAACAAGAATGGGAACTTATTCAACAAAAGGTTGAAGACGGCCAAGCCATCACCTTCTCCGAACTTGTCGCCCTCAGCAATATTCCCCCCTTTGACATGAGGACCATGTTAGCACCCAAGGCGCGGATTCTCTTTGTGCAAACCTTGATGCGAAATCTCGAAGATTTAGAAGCGAGGAACTACATCACGATCAACACTCCCTTGAAGATTGGTGAAGACGGCATGTGGGACGCAGAAAGCCCTCCATCCCCGCCGGAGGAATACCAAGCAATGATGATGTACGTGCGCATGGATAGAGTCCCAACTCCGCAATGGGCTATGGAATATGAAGTCAGAGAACTGAAAGCAGAGCTTTCCAATATCCTCAAGTCCCGAGGCCCCGTGAGTCACTCAGCATGGGCCGCTTTGGAGAGGAAGCTGGCTTCACCGGATACAGGGACCTGCTTTGACGTCGATTCAGTGGTGGAAAGTGCCATGGACAGAGAAAATGACGATTGGAACTTGATCCTCAGAACAAAGCCATATACCATTCTGCCCCCCTCGGCGCTTGCCCTTGACGACCGGTACTTGAGAGGTGTGGTCGCCGCCATGTTGCGTCTGTGCGGCGTTCCAGACGAGCTCGCTACACGATATGCGTCTCCGGAGCAGGTTGATGCTACCATTCGTCGATACTTGGAGCCTCACGTGCAGAATAGCAACTATACCATCAACATCCGCCTCTTTTCATGCTACTTGCATCAGAGGATGGACGCTGAGTTCAAACAGCACCGGGACTTCCAGCGATGCCATATGCGAGCTATTCGCGCTCTTGAGACGTTCCAGGCAAGGAAGTTGTTCAATCGTCTATATAGAGTTGATTATCCGTGTTCAGATTGGAGCGATGAATGAATGCGTGCTCACGTATGAGGGTCGAAGCGCTTTCTCTCATGCTTCTCATAATTCAAAGGGTTATGCTTGGTAGCATTTGAGGGGATCAGGTTCCTGTAGAGCATCTACCTCTACAGTCGTTGTACAAGCACTCGAAGCCAGACCATGGTGCTTCTTTAGTGGCTTCATCACCTGGTAGCTTCAACACCATGCTTGGTAGGGAGGACGAAACGTTGAGGGATTGCTCCTCAATAAGGTAGCCAGACATGCCTTTTCAATAGCCTACTCATAGTACACTATCTGTGTTTGTGTATCAGCTTGCTGCGGTAGAAAAATATGCAAACCAAGACTGGAATATTGTTGCTGCATTCTTTTCATTGCATCCTTTGTTGCTCCGATGTAGCTGCATTTCTTTCGGAAGCCCATTGTTTGCTACCCTTTCTCTGACCCCCAAGTACTAAAACAAACTCTTTAAAACCTTTTATTCAACGTCATTGGCCTCATCTAATCCAATATAATGTTGCCTCTTCCGTGGTTTCGTCAACTGTGTCTATATAACTCCAGCATCCGTTGCTGGTGATACTCTTTGTAGCCAAGTTTCAATGTCGTTCGACTGACTCTCAAACAAAGGTGCCAACGGCGTTTACGCACCAAAAGCTTCACTAACAATCTCTCCCTCATCCGGCGTCACAGCCATTTCCAAGAGCTCATGCGCCGCTTCGACCACTTCGCCCTCAATCCCCGCCTCCATGACCAGGTCTTCCTCGGCAAAGCTTAACCTTCCAAGTGCAATGAGATAGCGCTGACTTCCGCCATGCGACAATGACAGTTTTCGAGTAATATCGGCCAAGTTGGCCGTTGATGGGTCGGTGGCGAGGGTGTGGATGAGAGTCACGCACTGGGAGATGATGCGGTATAACTCTGCAGAAGTCGTAGACTCGACAAACTTCAGCGACGAAGACGTCATGGCATCCGGTAAAGGAGGAAGAATGCCAGGCGGGATAGGCTGGTCATACAGCTCGTCGATGGATGTACTCAAGCATGCCACCAGGCGGGGGATGGCGTTATCGTGGGATGCCAGCTGCTGAGCGCCAAACTCGTGCCTCGCAAAGGTCACCAGCGTGCGAAGGGCGGCAAGTCGTACGCTTCTTTTCTGAGCGGGTGTAGTTGTGGCACGGGGATGCTCCATCAGCTTGGCAGATACCCGCTCAATGACGGCCCGCGCCACGGATGCCGCGTCCTTCTCGTCAGAGATTGGGCCGATGGAGTCGGGCAGCGAAGAGGTGGCCAGCAAATCGAGCATGCCAATGATATCGGCAATCTTCTGCTTGGGCATCAAAAGAAGAAGAGTAAAGTCAAGAGAGATGAGTTTCCAAAATGCAGGAGAGGTGTATCTAGCGCCGTCTTCAACCTCGGTCGGTACGGTTGCGCAGGCCAAGGACGCAGTCTGGAGTAGCGAGAGCATATGGGTGGTGTCAATGTGCTGTTCCAAGAGAGCCTGATCGTCGTTGTTGGCCGTCGTTGCATCGGAGAGCCGCGAGAGCCCTTCTGCCACGGTGAATATCGTGGTCTGGGCGACGGGCACAAGGCGGGGGATGATGAGGGGCGCAACAGACGAGGTGTTGAGCTGAAAGGTGAAAGAGATGAGCGCCACGAGGTATTTGATAGGTTCCCAAAACCGCTCCTCAAAGCATCGGGTCCAGAGGATGATGATTTGCTCTGCAAAATCAACAAGCAGCTGCATTGGCTGGTAGGGGTTGCCCATAAGGGGGAGTCTCTCGAAAATGAGGGTGGAAAAGGAGACTGCTGGGTCGGAAGGAAAAGAGATGCGCGAGAGAATGTCAAAGGTCGGGGGTTGTCCTTGGGCGAAGCCATGGTCAAGAACAAGTTGCAGGAACTACAAGGCCCACCAAGTCAGTTATCCTGAGCAGACACAAACAAACAAACAACATGGCGAGGCTATAAATACATCAAAGGGGGCGGTGGGAGCGGCTACTATGACAGGCTGCTGCAACGCCGGTTGGGATATGGGCTTGGTGTCCATCATCTCGACATCGCCCATGTGTATGTCGAGAGCCTTCATGGGCGACTCGGACACGGGGCGCTTTCGCTTCCCCTTGCTCGGGGTTCTCTCTCCGATATTGGCAGCGACAGAGCCAGCAGACTTGTTTCTGCCCTGGCCCTTGCTCGGGCTGGCAGCGATATCCATGTCATCGAAGCCATCCGCGAAGCCAAACGTTTTGGAGGCCTTCTTCGGTGTCGCCAGGCCAGCGGCGACGGTATCTTTTTTACGAGCTCGGTCATTAGCCTCCCTCATGTCACGCTGCAAGAACTGAAGCTCGACATTGGCGTGCTTCTCAGCCGCCAGAGCCGCTTCCATCGCCCGTTCCTGCTTCTGCAATTGCTCGGCATTCAGCTTGCGGAGGCGCGAGATCTGCTCGTCGTAGCTTTGTTGCGCCTTTGTCGAGTTTGAGCGCAGGATGGAGGCTTCACCGCGAGCAGCGTTGAGCTCAGCCTCCAGGGCTCGGATCCGTTTCTGCAGTGCCGTCACCATGGCTCCAGACTGCCCTTGGGAAGGCAACGGCAAAGCGGTCATTTGTGCTGTCTGAGGGCGGACGGCGCCCTGCGAAGGATCCGGGAACCGCTGTGAACTCATAAAGGGCTGGTTCAACGGTCGGACATTGGCCATGGAGGCAGCATCAACCGCGGGGTTCCATCGAGGGTTGGGCACCGGAGGGCGCTGCGGTTGTTTCTGCTGCTGCTGCTGCTGCTGCTGCTGCTGTTGTCGCAGCGTCTTGTCGACAATCGGACGGCCAACTGCGACTCCGCCATCGTTGATGACCTCGGTCGTGTCCAGGTCGTCGTCCTCCTGCTCCCAGGCATAGCCAAGCTGCTGCGTCACGGCATGTCGGGCATGCTGGGCCTGGGTGGACTGCAGCGCCCTGTTCTCGAGCTCCTGGAGCACATTGTCGGTGAGATCGTCGAAGCCGTCGTCGGAGAATTCGTCGAGATCCATCGCTATGGATCGTGCAAGAACCGCTTCATGGCTCCGGGCGGCTGTGAGCGGCGGCGTTCTGGCGCTGGCAGGGCTATCGCTTGCTGACAAGGCTGCTGTTCAAGGCGGGACAAGCAGAAACAGAGGTGGTGGTTCGCGGTCCAGTTGTTGGCGGAGAGGAAACGCGACGCGCAATCACGTGCAGCAATCTATGTATGTGTGGCTGAGCCATTGTAGATGTGGCTGTCCTTAGTCATCAGGTACATCGGGATTGCATCAAGTTGCATTTTGACGAAGAGCAGCAGAGTATCAGAATATACGTCATAGATTCTTCTCTGTGGAAGGGTAACCAATTGCAGCGAATTGTGCGTAACGTGGCTTTTCATTGGCATGGCGATTGCAAGGCTCGTCCAAGGCACGGCTTAGCAGATTCGGCAGAAGAGGCGGTGCAAATCCGCAGCTCTGGAAAGCTGCGCATCATGTCGCATGACGTCGTTGGCCAGCTTCACTGGAGCACGATCCAACAGCTTTTTGTTGAGCTGCGAAAAGTTGAGAAGCATGGCAACAACTTGACGCAGCAACAGGGCAATACCATACCAGAAACCCACGATTAGCATAGAAGAAGAAAAGAAAGAAAATTGAAGAAGGGCCCTCTCCATAATAACAGCTCAGATATACCGATGCCTCCCAATTGCGTCCTCTTGTTGATTACATTTACCTCTGGGAAACAGAAGCATGGGTATCAATCTCGTCACATGCTGCGGATTTGCATGCTGGCTTTGCGGGGAGGCCACCAGCAAGGAACCTCGCGCGAGCAAATGCGGACTATTGCAGGACCCCGAATTGCTGGGCTTGTGCTTTGATTGAGGCGACGGGAATCTCAACCTATGGAATCATTGATCTCCAGCACCTTGGAACTTGCAAATTACAGCTGGCCAAGCGCTAAGCCCCAGGCATCCTCCAGCACCCGCAGCCCTCTGTAAAGTGCCTCCAGCTCCCCAGCCGCCCAGATCCTCGGCCCAGCGCAGGGAATAACGGGGCATTTCCACTGCATCCAATCTGCCCCAAAACTTCGTCAGCTCCACGTAGCATTTGATGCTAGCTTTGATCTCCCACATCTCTCTCTGATCGCCTCCATCTTGAAATACTGAGGTACCCACGCCCGCCGTCTGAGTGCCGAGCAGTGCAAAGGTGCGCCTCGATCCCTAGAAGCTGATTCAGCATTCAGCCTTGCGCTGGCCGGACCGCAAGCTGACACTTGACGCCAATCGCAGCCTCGCCGTCGGAATCCCCTACATATACCGTCGACAAGCATCGCTCCGAACACTCCGTCGAATCGCAACCTCCTCCTCAGACTCAGACTCGACTCAGACCCAGACACCGCCATGGCACGGCCAAAGAGAGGGGGAAAGTCCCCGATGAAGAACCCAAATGGCCAGTATAGCGGCTCCGAGGGCCGGCGATCGAGCTTCAGCGATAAGAGCGAGGACGGATCCCCGTCAAGGACCAGGCCGCAGGCTCAGGCCAAGCTGGCGTCTGTCGAAGAGGTAAAGCGGTCGTTCTTCGGTGCCATCTGGACACATGATTCGGGGCATGAACGAGAATAGCTGGAAACTGACAACTCCGCGACCGCAGAAACCCGCGTCTGCCGCCGAGAAGCAGGCCGAGTACGAGAAGAAAAAGGCAAACTTCTGGACACGCACCTTCTGGACGCTCGTCATGATCTCGGGCTTCTTCGGCGCGTTGTTCATGGGCCACATCTACATAATCGCCATTGTCACCGCTGTCCAAATCATCTCCTTCAAGGAGGTCATCGCCATTGCCAACGTCCCCAGCCGCGCCAGATCGCTGCGATCCACCAAGAGCCTGAACTGGTATTTCCTGGCCACCACCATGTACTTCCTCTATGGAGAGAGCGTCATCTACTACTTCAAGCACATTGTGCTCGTCGACAAGGTGCTTCTGCCGCTCGCCACCCACCACCGATTCATCAGCTTTATTCTCTACGTCTTTGGTATGAAGCCCCCCCTCTTTTGGCTCCGACATCTCGTGTGACTAGACTAACCAACGTCACTCCAGGATTTGTCTACTTTGTCGCTTCCCTTCAGGCAGGGCACTACAAGTTCCAGTTTACCAACTTTGCATGGACTCACATGGCCTTGTACCTCATTGTTGTCCAGGCTCACTTTGTCATGAACAACATCTTTGAGGGCATGATTTGGTTCTTCCTGCCCGCGGCGCTGGTCATTACCAATGACATCTTTGCCTACATCTGCGGCATTGCCTTTGGCCGCACGCAGCTCATCAAGCTTTCGCCAAAGAAGACTGTTGAGGGATTCGTCGGCGCATGGGTCATGACCGTGCTCTTCTCCATCCTGCTCGTCAACATCATGACGCGCTCCAAGTATTTCATCTGCCCAGTCAACGTTCGTTTCACCCCTTAACCCTTCAACCCCCTTTTGCCCCGGACAAGTGGAATGTTCATACTGACCTATACCCAACCTGCAGGACCTCGGCGCAAACATCTTTACCGGACTCAAGTGCGACGTGAACCCCGTCTTCCTCCCGCACACCTACAGGATCCCCCAATTCTTCTTCCTGCCGCCAAACTTCAACTTCTCCCTCACCTTTGCACCGATGCAGCTGCACGCCCTCGTGCTCGCCACTTTTGCCTCGCTCATCGCTCCCTTTGGCGGCTTCTTTGCCTCTGGCCTCAAGCGCACCTTCAAGATCAAGGACTTTGGCGACTCCATTCCGGGCCACGGCGGCATGACGGACCGCATGGACTGCCAGTTCATCATGGGCTTCTTTGCCTACATGTACTTCCACACCTTCATCGAGGTGCACAAGGTCACGCTGGGCAGCGTCCTGGAGACGGCCATCACAAGCCTGGATCCCGAGGAGCAGGTCGAGTTGGTCAAGAGCATGTGCCGGTATTTGAGCAATCAGGGCATCATGCCCGAAGAGGTACGTAAACTAACACGACGTGCTTCATTTCGATCGGCCCAGCTAATCAAGTCTTCCGCAACACAGCTCCAAGCTTGCCTCGAGAGAGCTACTTCTTGATATACTTGTAATCAGCATATGCAATCCCAGGATCAAGTCAGCCGGGTTTCGATTCTTCTCATGTAAACCCACACCTCTTCAACTAAACACCTATTTTCATATAATGAATGACCAGGCACTGAACCTTTTTTTCACAACCTCAATGGCTATGAGAGGAAGAAAGGAAGAAGAATCTGTATGAATCGATTGATAGGGGTAGGAAGACGGAGAAGGTGAGAGAGCACAAGGGGCGGAAAGTAGGCATCGAGTGAAAACGGGGGGGAAGGACATAATGGATGTGGAACTTGAGAACAGAGCATGCGACATTGCGTGCTTTGTATGTCCGAAAAAAAGCTTTATGATAAGGGATCGCGATATAAAGGATCTTTTTACTCATGTCTGTCTTCTTTAACTATTTGTATGTATGTTTTGTCGTTATTGTAGGTAGTCTAGGTCGTCGTCGTCCACGGCACTGGAAGCGGGTACAGATATGTCCTCGTGGGAGAGGCCATTCTCAAAGGTACTGACTAGAATTGACGAATATTACCCCATACCTTATGAAGTAGTCTTACACTTCATACAATGGGGTTCATACATGATCATCCGAGTCACTCATCCACTTGCTATCGCACCTTGTGCTTGATTGATTTCTGAAAAGTTACGAGATTTGTATGTTACATATATACCTCCTCATGCCTCCTTGTAGCGTGTATTGGAGCACCGTCACAAACCAAAACATATTTACAACCTCCTCTTCCACCCACCCTCTGCCTCAAATAGCTTACCCACCTCCTTGGCTACCTTGAGAAGATGCCGGTCGCGATATCTCCCCGCCACAAGCGAAACACCAATGGGCATCCCCGTGAGCCCCTGAAAGCCCGGGATATTCACCACCGGCGTGTGCAGCGCCGACCAGCCCGAGCAGAACGCCGCATCGCCCGTCCACTCGATCCCCTCAGGGGCCTCGTCGACGGCGCTGGGGGTCAGGATGGCCGTGTATCGCCCCGCAATCTCGTCAATCTTGGGCCGGAGGGCGGCGATGCCGTCCATGGCCTTGAGCTGCTCGCGGTGGTCGTAGCCGGCCTTTCGCTCGACGTAGCCCACCAGCTGCGGCGAGAGCTGGTCCTTGGCCGTGCGGTGCTCGGGGAGGAAGCATGTCTCTCCCTCGGTCTGCAGGACGACATTGTGCCAGCGAGGCAGGTTGTCAAACTCCGCCGGCAGGTCAATCTCGTCTACCTCTGCGCCTTGGGCGCGGAGGATGTCGACGGCGCGGGCGATCGCATTGCGCGTGCCCTCTCCTGCAATTGGCCAGACAACTGTCTTGCATAGGGCGAAGCGCGCACCCTTGATGCCATTGAAATGGCTCGGCTCATCATCACGCAGCGCGAATGCGTCGGATACGAGCTCCAGATCGTCAACGCCACGTGCAAAGATGCCAATGGTATCCAGCATCAATGAGGAAACCTTCAGCCCTTCACGGGAAACAGCGTTCCAGGTGGGCTTGAAGGCATAGACGCCGTTGAAAGAACCCGGGCGGATGGTGGATCCGCCGGTCTGTGTGCCGAGTGCGACCGGAGCCTGCAGGTCTCCAACGGCCGCTCCGGAGCCGGAAGAGGAGCCGCCCGGGGTGCGGGACGGGTTGTGCGGGTTGCGAGTCGAGGCTGGCCCCGTATAGGAGGCTGCAAACTCGGCCGTCGTTGTCTTCCCTGAAGAAGGGAGAAGCAAAGGGGCGTCAGCGACTTGTGCGCCGTATTAGATGATCGCAATAATAATTGGGCGAACTTACCAAGAAACAGGACGCCGGCATGGCGGAGGAGTATAATTGATGCTGCGTCAAGCTTTGGAAAGTCATTCTTATAGATTGGCGAGTTATGAGCCGTGGGCATATCTGGAGGCGCCCAACATTAGCTTATCCCCCCCCTTGTGCCATTGCTGCAACGAGCAGTAGCGGCAGCAGCAGCAGCAGCAGCAGCAGCAGCAGAGACGTCTTACCCTTTGTGTATATGACATCCTTGACGGCAATGGGCATGCCATGCAATGGCCCCCTATCCTTCATAGGCACCTTGTCCAAGGCCTTTGCTTGCTGCAGGATGTAGTCCTTATTGAGATAGGCCCATGCCCCGACGTCGGCGTCACGCACATCGATGCGCCGCAGCAATGAGCGCGCATAGGCTTCGATTGTCAACTCACCAGACCGGATCTTGGCCAAGGCCTCGGCCGCCGTGAGCGTGTATGCGTCGTCACTGCCCATTTTGCCTCGTATAGCCCTCCGAACCCTCCTGGGAAGAAGTGCAAGTAGGCACTCCAGCTTGGCGGTTTGTAAGCGCACCGGGGGTTGTTCTTTTATAACGACGTCTGAACGTCCGGGACGTCCTGGTCGACCAGGGCGCGGTCTGCTAGTCGGCTATACAAGGATGCCTGTCAGCTGTACCTGAACCAGTGCCTGCCACACCCTGATTGCGTCTCAACCACGGTTGTTATTGGCTGGTCCGAGCTGGGGTTCGCCTGATGAGGCAATCCAAAGGACTACCAGGCGAGATCAGCGACGAGCAAAGAGTCGCCTGGGTAATTCACAGATGAGCCCTGAATTTCAGAAACTGGAGAATCAGGATGCAGAGCACGCGAGACTTTACTCCTCTTTCTGAAGCAGTCGAGGTGATGCGCCTTTAGTATGATCCACACGAACTAGAGCGTGGAGTGAGCAAAAGCCTGTGCAGGGTTAGCAGAGGGGGTTTAGACTGGGCATGGAGCAAAGTTGGAACATGTTGGATTCGCCGAGTAGAACGGATGGACCTACCGAGGTTGAGGCTAAAGTGCTTTTGCACAAGCTCTTAGTTTCCTTTGCAAGATGATCTCTTGAAAGCTGCAGGACATGAAAGCCCGTGATCATCAGGGGGGCGCATCTTGTATATATACCCAAGGGTCAAGGGTCCGGGATATCTGGCGTATACCTGGGTAGGCTCATTAGGCATAGAACGCCCTCAATGGGCGAAAGCTGGACGAGAAAACTGTGTAACCGGCATGGGCGCCTCGGATCCGACACGCCACGCAACAGCCGCAAAAAAGCAAGCAAATTCTCGATGCCCCCTTCTTCACTCTACGTGCCTAGATGCCTCGCCCAAGGTTCGGCCTTTGGGAGCTGTTCGTTTGTGTGACAGGGCCGAACCCGGCCCCTCCTCATCACGCCTGCGATATTTCAGTCCGCCCATGCCATCTCATCAGCATGTTACCCACTCTGCCAGGTCAGGTTCGCAGTTGTCGGGATCGAGACGTGGACGAAGGTGCTCGGTAGGGCCTGCAGGATATCTGCTAACCCTGCTGCTCGTGACCCCAACCATGCAGCGAATTCGCAGCGTGTAAGCGAGCAGGCCCCAGCGGCGGCAGTTGCAAGCGTGGTGGTACGCCGGAGAGCCGGTGAACAGCTGACAAGAGTCACAGTCGACAGCTGCAAGTAGCGGGCAGGCTGAGAAGCGGCGGCTGGGCGAACACGGCAGGATCCAAGGCTAATACCGGGAGCTACCTTTGGGCATACTCTGTAAAGAGTTCTGTACCTAGGTAGGTATCGTACCTAGGGAAGCTGGGTGCTCTCGCAGGCCTGCCTGTCAGCGGCGTCTCGGGCTGCATGGCGTGCTAGCGTGCAGCCGGTCAAGAAAGCAGGCAGGGGAGGCAGTTGACATTGGGCTGAAATCCCGGCTTCAGATAGAGCTGCAAATTGGTGGGGGAACGGCGTCGGACCGTGCCCAGGGGCTGCCAGGCCTCGACACGTGGACCGGTAGCTCTCTGGCCTCGTAACGATGCAGTGCAGTGATACATTTGCGTTGCTGTACGAAATCAGCATGCATGCATGTTCCTGTACGTGTGATGGCGTTGGTGTACTATCATGTATCATCGAGGGCAGCGGGTGGGCGGCATGGGTCTGATCGGCCTCGATTCCAGGTCCATGATTATGGATGGTATTTCCAGCCCAGCGCAGGTGGAGATGGAGCCGTCGCAGCGACGAGCCCCGCTAGTATCGCTGGCGAGCGCCGGTCTGTGGTTGAACTTGATCCGACAGAGATGGTTGTTGGTGCCGGGGCCATGCAGCGTCTTTGGGCGCAGCTCAGAGGATGAAGAGGATGACGACTGACTGTATGACAAGAGACCAGATGAAGTCGAGATGAAGTTGGCAAAGGTGGTGAGCTGTCCGCACGGGGCACCGACAGCTTTGGGAAGGCGGAGAGCGATAGGACGGCAGAACTGCTGGCTGGCAGAGACTCAACTCCAAACTTCTCTCCTTCACCACGCTCTCGACCTCACTTCAAAGTACAAACGTGGCCCGGAAAGGATCCATCCGGGCTTCTTGTCGCTGTGCCGGGCGTCTCCGAATTGGCCTCTGTGGCCGTTCAGTCATTTGCGATATCCCAGCTCCCAGGTCTGGGGTTCTCTATGCAAGGATCGATCTGCCCAAAATGTGGTCACGTTTCAGCCCCACGACCTCACAACAGGTTCTACAGACACGAGCTGACGGGCGATTGCGGCATTACACGCAGCTGTTGTGACTCTGCCTGAGTTTCACGCATGTCACCTTTCAAGTGCAGCAAGTGTCACTAATGGTACGTTGAGCAGACGGATGTACGAGACATTACACATGTAGCACTTGATGCGAACTCGGCAGTTTGCTGTGTAAAGAGACTGCGTACAAGACAATACGCAGGGCGAAATGCATTATACGCATGTCACGGGATGCTAGAAGGTAGGGAGAATGAACTGCAGAAACCAGAGCAAGAAGACGTTGACCGGTCGAATAGTCGGTACAGCCATGTTGCATGACACATGCGGGCCCTAGACGAGCATCAGCGAGCATCAGTCAACATGCATTGCAGACAGGATGATGCTGTGGCTTGCACAACTCAACTACCTAGTTCGACATGTTGCAGCCAGACGATGGCCAGGGCTATGTTTGAAGGATTACATGTACCGGTATGCTCCGCGACCATGACCTCAATGGCTGCCCAAGACAAGGACTACGGTTCTAGATGAGCCTCTCAGATCGACGGCCATGCACGAATGGGCCCAGAAGCACCTCATCAAAGTCCACGTGAGGCTGTTGGTGCCCTGGTTTCGGGCATGCAAACACTTCCATTTCGGCCTCATATAGTTGGGGATGCGAATCGGAACTGACATGACTGGCTTGCACTCCCGAGAGGCGCCGCCCCTCCCTGCGGACGCCAAGGGGTCAACTTGGAGCTTTTGCAAATCACATCGAAGTATTCATTAATCGTTTGCAGATTGCCGCTTGCTGGCTCTTCCCCAACAGACTTCTGCCCAGGGCTTGAGACGGGAAAAGCATGCGCAAGCTGGGTACGATGGTCTGTACCATGCCTTGTCGCTCGTTTGTCTGATGAAGTTGCCAGGATTACCGGCGACCCAAGCACCCGGATTTGCCCTTCTTTTCTTTTTTCTTGACAAATACGACATAAACGACCCCAATCCCAACTTGACTCTGGTTCCTACATGGATTTGGGTTTCCCCAAATTGGCTTGTTGTTTCTTTTTCCTCTCCTTGCTAATCTGTCTACTACCTCTAGCGATGATGTCTCGATATGAGATGAACAACCCGGACACGTCCAATGATGCCACCATGCAGCTTGCGCCCTCCCGGTCTTCAGTAGTTGCTTATTGTGATTCGCCTGCATGTACTTTAAAGAGCCCATGCCCGATAATAAAAAAAGGGGTCAGATGAGCTCTCCCTTGCCTACGCACGACGTTGCGGCTATCGGAGGACGAGCCAACTCTTGGGCCCAATCAATTTACATCAGCTGCCCATGCAAGGGAGTTTTCTGCCCAAGGACCAGTCGACGGGAAACAGACAAGGGCTGTTATTGGTTCAAAACATCGTTGGGAGGCGCGGTAGGATTTGTACATACATCACAGGGGGAGAATCATTACCACAAGTTGCGTTGCTTTTCCCGCGCGTGGCTTGCAGGATGGATTGTCTCGGTGAGCAACGTGCATAATATCGTGGGGGCTAGAAAAGACGGGACTTTCAGCTATACGCTACATAGACAAACCTCCTTCTTCCACTCTCTCGATAAGGTAACATGGGAAGATGGTCGAAACAAGTCGAATCAAGGAGTCATTACTACACACATGAAAACCAAGTTTCACAAGACGCAGAGGAAACAATGAACAAATTGATCCTCCAGGAGGGGAGACACCCTTGCAGATCTGAAATCAGCCGCAGCCCAACTTGAACAAAGCGAGTCCAGGATCATCAGTCACATGTCTGCCTCTTTTTTTTCTTTTCTTCTGCGTCGAACATGACAAGGGGTTGAGAAAAAAAGCAATGAGGTCGTCGAGTGTGTTAGTCGACAAGGAAGCGTGCCGGGCTCTTCCGTTTCTTTTTGTCTCGCCTCAGCTGCTATATGATGAGAATCTCCAGGGAGCTGGGAGATGATGGGATCAGCCGCACCTCAAGAAAAAAGGAACGTTCAGTAATCTGCAAGACCCCCTCCCCCCACGATTCAGAGCAGAATCTCCATCTGGAATTTATTCATTGCTTTTGTGCTATTGTGCTTGAATGACCACAAGTGTCGGACTTCAGCAACAACAAATTCGAGCCCTTCTTCCTTCGGACTATAGGCCCCCGATACCTTCAGGCACTCGGATCAACTTCAGAAAATGCTTACGCCCACGAGCATGTGCTTGCGCGTCTCTTCTACACGTAGAGAAGCTCACGGCTATCCAAAAAGGCGTTAACATGCATAGAAAGGGCGTGTCTGGTTGTTGGATAGTAATAGTAATCGTCTAAAACCCCGCGCGGGCGCCTATTATAGTCCATATAACGACCGTCTCTGGTAGAAATTCACGATGAATTCCGTTCTCTCACCTAGACAAATACACGTCTTGACTGAAATAATAATTTAAAGGAAAGATTTGGCTCTGAATCATCACAATGGTTATCCGCAAAATCACCCAAAGATACGCCACCCACGGCATCCCCCTAGAATGCGACATCTACACCCCAGACGACGCCCCCAAAGCCTCTCCCGTGTTCCTGTACTTTCACCCCGGAGGCCTCGTCGGTGGAAGCCGTGATCTCATTGCGCCCTGGCTCGTACAAGTGCGAAAAACCCCCTTCCAAACAACTGTTCACGAACATTCTTTCTTTATATCTGTCTGTCTGTATAATAATTAACGAGGAGGAACTCTGCAGGTCTGCTATCAGCGGAAATGGCCTCTCATCTCCCCAAGTTATCGCCTCCTCCCACAGGCCCGCGGCAAGGGCCTCCTGGAAGACGCCTCGGCAGCATACGCCTTTGCGCAGAACTGGGACACGCAGCACGGCGATGCCAAGAGAAGAGTCATTGTCGGAGGTGCCAGCGGCGGTGCGTTCTTGCAACCAAGCCAAGAAAAACTCCCATTCTCAATTTCCCACATATAAATCCAAAGCTGACCTCAATATTGCATGATACCTTTCACGAAACAGGCTTCTTCATGGCCGCTCTCATCGCCCACCACTACCACCCCAAACCCCTCGCCCTCTTCTCCATCGAAGGCATAAACACCTTCCGCCACCGCTTCTTCAACTCCTCCGTCCTCATCCCCGATGAAGAAATCTCTCACGCCGCCATGGAAAAACACATTGCCGGGCCCATGCAAGTCGGCCACATGAAGCCCGACGAATCGACCTTTGTTCTCGATAAACTCACCCCCGAGGGCGCGAAGAATCCAGACTTTGCCCCTCCAAAGGCTCCTGAGCAGACGTCTTCTGATGAGAGCCACCGGGGTATGCTCTATGACTACTACACGTTCAACAACTCCTTCGTTGATCTCGTTGGAGATGTCGACCCGGGGTATCAATGGGCAAAGCAGCCAGACGCAAAAGACAGAGTCGCAGAGTGGCCCAAGACGGTCGTCTTCCACGGCAACAATGATCCTGATGTGGAGCTCAATGTGAGCGAGGAGATGCGCGACTGCCTGGGCCAGGACAAGGTCACGCTGTTTGTCGCCAAAGGTCAGCCGCACTTGTTTGAGCTGGAAAAGTTCATCGAGGATGAAGCTCCAGGGATGGACGCCGTGAGGCAGGCAGTGGCCAAGTTGGACGAGATCGTGGTCTCATCAACATGACGCTGATTGGTAGCATACCACTCCTACAGACTGATTCATCACGCTGTGCGTGTAACTTGAAAACAATGGTATAATAAGCAAACACCTGGATATCTTGTTAAACCTGCCATAGCTGCTATCGTATCAAATACATCTTGGTCACGTCCCACACTGTAAGTCTAGGTTTATACATTCATGCTCTCGCCCCCTTGCAATGCATGACCGCTATGTAAAAGCAATAGCAAGAGGAAACGAAAGTAAAGAAGGGGAAAAAAAGATAATGGATGCAGGAGGGAAGTCGAAAAATGATATCGCTGTTGTGCATAACCTCGTTGTAGCTCATCCAAGAAAAAAAAATCGTTCGACTGACCTCGCGGTAGCCGTTCATCCTCACTGCGTCATGATGCTGTCCTCATACTCGGTTAACCGCAGAGCCTCCCCGACGTCATTGACAAAATGTCTCTCGCCGCACAGCTCGACGATACCGCTCCTGTCCATGAGCTGCCACACAAGGTGGTCTCGGTGAGCTGGCGCGCGGGAGAAGAAGACTCGGACGCCTCGTTCTCGGTAGTCGCGTACAATCTCCTCGAGCACCTGCGTGCCGGAGCCGTCCATGGATGTCACGCCATGAATGTCAAAGATGATGTTGCGATTCGAATCCTGACTGCGAATGCGCGGCAGGGCGGGATGCGCTCGCGACGTGCCGTAAAACTCGAGCCGCCGAAGCCGTTGCTTCAGCTCACCCGTGTTGGCAAACGTCAGCGGTTCCGGGATCTTGACGATAAGACATCCCTCGATGAACTCAATCCTAGAGTTGAGTGATTCCGGGTTTTCAAAACGGTTGGTGCCGGGCACACGGCCGAGAATCTGGATGCGGGGACGAGTGCTGTGCTTGATGACCATGAGCAGGGAGATGCCCACGCCCAAAGCCATCCCCAAAGTGAGGGAGTAGAAGATGGTGGAGAGGAAGATGATGGCCATGAGACCCAGCTCGGTCCATCCGCGGACACGGAGAAAGAATGAGATGTCGTGGGGTGCCTCTTCTATCAGCGACCATGCCACGACCGAAATCATTGCGCATAGAACAGGTTTCTACATGCATCTGATTAGTCCTGTCGTCGCCAGTGGAGCAGTACGGGTGACTTACCGGCAGGTAATAGAAATAGGGAAGCAGAAACAAGACGGACAGCAGCGACAGCAGACTCAGAAAGATGGAGCTCATTGGGGTCTTTGCGCCAGTCGTCTTGTTCACCTTGCTTCGCCCGTAGCCGCCAAAGGCAGGCAGGGCCATGAACATGCCACCCACGAGGTTGGCGGCGCCGAGCGCAATCATCTCTCGGTTCGCGCTGAGTTCGATGCCGGGAATCGAGCTTCCACCCAGACTCTTGGCCGCAACCGACGACTCGAAAAAGCCGAGGAGCGCAATGAGGAAGGACGTTGACATGGCCGTGCGGATGTGCTGCATGTGGGCAAGCTTAAAAGGCCAGCGGAACTCAAAGACGCCTCCAGAAGCGGCTTTGACGGTGCCCAGAACCTCGACGCCCTTATTCTCCCAGTCGAGCTGCCAGCACAGAATGGCCGAAACGACAACGACAATGAATCGATCGGGGAAGTAGGCCACTCCGGGAAACCGCTTTTCTAAACGACGCTTGAGCTCGCTAAGAGGAGGTCAACCACCGCTCCACTCAGCAACGACAGTGTTTGGGGCTCATATCCCCAGTCAGGGCCAACTTACCGAAATAGCATGATGACAACGAAGCTAACGCCTGCGACAGCAAACGTCAGCTTGTGAGTCGCACCGACATTGTTGAAGATGAAGCCAATCTTGTCGACGCTGCTTCCGTGGTTCACGCCCTGTTCCTCTGCCAGATCAGCAAGCCCCAGCTCGGGAATCAGCTGGTCGACAGCAATGACGAAGCCAATGGCTGAGATGAAGCCTCTCAAAAAGGGCCTGCTCAAGACGCTGTCCAAGAAGCCCAGCCTGGCCAGGCCAGCAATCAAAACAATGGCGCCAGCCATACCGCTGACCACGCCGCAGACCTGGGCATGCAGAATGTCGTTGTCCTCCGAGCCCTCGCCTCCGTTGTCGACGCTGGTTTTCACCACGGTGCCGACGAGAAGCGATCCAGCTGCCTCGGGGCCAATAACCATTTGCGGAGCGGATCCTAGCAAGGCGTAAACGAAAGGATTGAAGATGAAGCCGTAGAGACCGTTGATGGGCGGGACATGCGCCAGATTGGACGCCAGCGAGAGCGCCATTGGGAGGTAAAAGGAAGCCATGGTGACGGCCGCGATGAAGTCGCCCTTGAGATACGACAGCTTGTACTGCTGGATCCAGTTCAGACACGGAATGTAGTAGGCCAGATACCTGTTCACGAAGTCAGTTTTCTCGGGCCGCACTACCCGTCGATTCGACCATATACGCAAGAGGGCAGGCTCACATGAAGGGAGTATCTCGAAAGCCCGCCTGCTCGGCAAGCTCGCTGCTGTGGCCCATCTTGGTGGTGCGCATCCTCCTCGAGAGCCACCTCTTCCACTCATCGCTCCCCAAGAGCGACGCAAAGAAGCCGCCCTGCCCTGCCTGCTCCCTCTCGATGTCGTCGTCGCCGTCGTCGGTGCTTCCGCTGAAGAGGCCATTGGTGGGCGAATAGCCTCGGGGGCTGAACGTGCCGTGCTGCCCCGACTCGCTATCGCGTATCAAGGGCGTCGACTCGCCCACGGCCGTGATGGACGGGTAGACATCGCTGCTGGTGCTGTCGCCGCTGCCTGGACGGCTGGGCGGCGTATGGCTCTGTCGAAGAGTGCTCGGCTGCAGAGGGCGGTGGTCTTTGGACGAGTCCGCGCGGGTCAGCGGCGGCGGAGGGCCCGACATGTTCACGCAGCAGACGTCCTTCGGCGCATGCGGGATCGATCGACGATTGTCTGCTGCGACCGGACGCGATGATTGGAATGCGTTCGAGGCTTGCTGTCTGTAGGTATGGAGGTTGAGTCGTCCGGTTTGAAGCACCAGTGCCAAAACCCGAGCTTCCACCGCTTCCAGGAACTAAGAGACGAGCCAGCCGGCGCCAACCGATTGCATAAACGCCGAGCCTTGCAGCGCTTGGAGTCTCGTCTGCCTTTCGATTGTCTCTTACCAGCCAAAAGACGGCCAGTAGTCGCAAAGGTTCCAGAGGGTGAGCGAGGGATAAGAAGCGACAGCAGAATGATCGGAATGTGAAGAGTGGAAAGAGGACAAGAGAAAAAGTTGATTCAGGCTTTTAGTGGCCACAGCAGCGCTCAGGTACCTACAGACTAAGGTCCCCCAGTTGAGGGCACTTGACGGGTGCAGATGCCGAAGCCGCGGGTGACATCAGCGGGGATACGGCGGCCACAGCAGTGCGACACAGCGCTGAAGATGGGAAGCTTGAGCCCCAGACCCGCGCTCCACAGGGCACCGCTCCACTGGAAAGTTGGGGGGGGCGGATTCAATAGTACATGTATGGACCTAAGGTATTGGATGGATGCGGTGAGGGATTGATGAAGCGCATCAACAGGCGCCAATGGGAGGCGGACAGGATGAGCAGTTGATGCAATTAACGGTAACGTTGGAAGCTGGATTGGTCTCATTGCTCTTCAAGATTGTCTCTGCTGCAGGTCTCGGTGAGGTGCGTTCAAGGTTGCTGTGCTGGTCAAGTGCAGAGTGTCCAGGTGCATGTCTCTCGTCTATTGTGCCGAGATGGGTCAGGTACATATATATGTAAGACGGGAATTGACATCGGACCTCGGACTGAATATCAGCATCTGTATAGCCTTGATTCACAGACAGCGATCCAGGCAAGTAACAATGGAACAAAGATTGAGACTGGATGCCCACGAGCATCTGGAACTGTGGCAATGCAACTCACAGCTGACGTTGGACCTCCAGCACTTACTCGACTCTAGGGTAACACAGCACACGTATCCAGTTACACGTGCAAGCTCAACGGCCGAGGCACCGCGTTGCCGAGATCCGTGTTGGAGTCACACACAATTGAAGATAACCCCAGGGGCAATTGCAAGGAGAAACATTACTTCAGGGACAGCCTCCTACATCTCCAAGGGAAGAAACAATCATCGCTAGTATTGCATAAGGTAGGTATGTACAGCCGTAAAAACATCGAGTGACCTAGGTAGTATACATGACAACATGAAAGTACACTCTCCCATCCCCCCTTACACCTGCTCGTTGACAAACAGACCAGCCATGCCCTGGCCGGTGCCAATGCACATGCTCGTCAGCAGCATCTTCTTCTTGGTCCTCCGCAGCTCGCTCAGGCCCGTCACCACCTGCCGGGCGCCCGTCGCTCCCAGCGGGTGGCCCAGCGCAATGGCGCCTCCCTTGGGGTTCATCTTGGCCCAGTCCAGGCCCAGCTTGTCGCGGCAGTACACGGCCATGGAGGCAAAGGCCTCGTTGACCTCGACCACGTCAATGTCGTTGAGGCTGATGTTGTAGATGGACAGCAGCTTGGGGATGGCGACGCTGGGGCCAATGCCCATGATGCGCGGGGCCACGCCGGCCACCGTCGAGCCGACGTACTTGGCCATGATGGGCAGCCCCAGCTTGATGGCCGTCGACCGCTTCATCAGCACCACGGCCGCGGCGCCATCCGTCACCTGCGAGGCGTTGCCGCCCGTCGTGGTCGGTCCCCATTGCGGGAAGGCGGCCCGGATCTTGCCCAGGCCCTCGGCCGTGGTGCCGGGGCGGATGCCGTCGTCCTTGGTCAGCGTCACCTCCTGGACTTGGCCGTCCTTGTCCTTGACCTGCGTGGTGATGGGCACGATCTCGTCGTCAAAGAGGCCGGCCTTTTGCGCCCTCTCGGCTCGCTGGAAGCTCTCGGCGGCGTACTTGTCCATGGTGGCCCGGTCGATGCCAAAGTCCTTGCTGACGTTCTCGCTGGTCCAGCCCATGGGCTGCACGGCGTCGTGGGCCTCCTGGCTCTTCTTCAGAACGGCCTCGTCAAGCTCCTCGGTGGGGCGGCCGTTTGTCATGCTCTCGGCGCCCACGGCAATGCCGATCGAGATGGAGTCGTTGGAGATTGAGTGCGCAATGTCCGCAATCGCCTTGAGGCCGGACGAGCAGAAGCGGTTGACGGAGTTGGCGCCGGCGGTGTTGGGGAAGCCGGCAGCCAGGGCGGCGGTGCGGATCTTGTAGGCGGCCTGGGCATCGGTGACCTGTATTCGAAAGCCTTCTGTTAGCTGATGAAAATGCGTTTTCGAAATCGACAGCGTCTTATGGAACGTACGTTGCCGAGGCAAATGTCCTCGACGAGAGCAGGGTCAAGACCGCTCCTCTCGCGGACCTTCTCCAGCAGCGCATAGACCATGTACTCCAGGCTCGTGTCCTTGAAGCCGCCCTTGCCGGCCTTGGTCAGCGGCGTCCGAGCGGCATATGTGATGACGATGTCGTCGGGGTTCTTGGACTGGCTACACGAAAGATAGGGCCTGTCAGCATGTGAAGCATAGCATGTGAAAGGGCCTTGAGCGGCCTCGACCATTGAAGGATTCCTCACATGTTGCTCAGCGATGACCCGGGGGCCAGGTGCTTGATGATGGATCCGATTCGCTCGACCGCCATGATGGGTAGTGGGGGTATGATTATATTATCTGCGTGAGGTCAAGAGGATTGAAATGGACAAAGTCGGCGGTATCGCTTTGCAGCAATCAGAGATGGCCCCTTGCACAGAATCTGGGGATCCACGAGCTTTATGGACGGAGTGCCGGCCGGGGTTTGTGGGGTTGAGCCGAGGCAAACGGCAGCTTACATAACATGTGCCGAGCTCTGGGCAGGACATGCAGACCGAGCAATCAAGTGACGCCCGCATTGACTCGGGATGTCTCGCCTTCACAAGGGATTTATTTGCCAGCTGATTAAGTCAACTCTGCGGGGGAAGCTTATTTCTTACTTGGAATGGAAAGCCTCGGAACGGTTATGTTGGCAGCACAGAGGCGAACAGCTTATGTTGGGCTTACTGTACATGCCGTGCTGAGATCCCGATGATGCTTAGTCATCGTAGCATTGCTTGCATCGTGGTTACATGAATGAGGTTGTGCAGTTTCGAACGGTGCCACGAGAGGCTGAATCGGGGTATTATGAGAGCTCGATGCTCTCTAGAGTTTTGATGGCGTATAATTCACACCAGAAAGTTGGGGAGACTTGTACATGCATCATTGAGGCTCGACGAGGAGCTATAACAACGACTTATGGACTTCCAAGCTCCTCGAATCATCACCTCCGAATCCATCATCTTGATGATCCATCTACTGGAATTGCTCAGATGGTATACAGTCATAGAGCTGACGCACTATGCGTATCAATCCCGTTGATTTGCTCAACGACCGGCATCATCCCCTCTTAGGTGCCGTCGTTTCAGCACTTACCGTAACCTATCCTTGAATTGCGATGTCGAATGGATGCTTTACGAGAGCGAACAGACTGGTGTCCTACGTGCAAGGAGATATAGGGATGTGTTTTCGTCTGAGCTTGAGTCCGCCACCGACTCAATTCCTCGCTAACTCTTCCCAGAATTTTGTGGTGACCGTGGTGACCACGACGTGACTGGTGTATACGATGAATGACAGATAGGTAGTAAGTCCGCTTGATCGAGGCTACAGGTTTCCATACAGAGGAAACAATTTTTTGTGGAAGAGTTGGGAAGATAGATGTTCTCTGAGTCGATGGCCTAGCAGAGAAAGTAGCCGGCTGTATGCATACCCATAGATAGCAACTCCCTTTCTTCTCAATTCACGGCATCTCACAGGTTTCTCTATGACGGCCTGCCCATTTGTCGGGTCAAGCACTCATGGTTGCCATTACCAGACGCATTAAATGCTAGTATCAAAAATCTTGATAGGTATTTTGAAGAAGGCAGCCAAGTACAGCATCAACTGTTTGGCAAATCTGCATCTTCGAACATATGTGCTAACCAGCAGCTGGGAATTTCTCGGCAATGCTGTCGAGCCTCAGGAGCGAGGGGCTTTCTTTCAAGGAATTCTGTCGATAAAACACCGGCACGCCTAGCCACCAGCGAGATTCGCGGTTACTCAATATCCAAGTGCAAGAGCGAGGTTTGAGCCCACAAGGTTCCAGTCTATAGGACACGAAAGGCAGCCGCAGTCCCCAAGTTCGAACGCCAGTCCTTTGCATGAGCCTTTACAACATCAATCATCGCGCTGAAGTAACCACAAGGTACAATACAGCGTACATCACCATATTCTTACGTCGAAACCTATAACGGCTACTAGTCAGACCTTCGGTATCCGCCAGAATGGGCATCGGGATTTTTCTATTCGACTCCAACCAGCTGATCCCCCAACGCTACAACAGCCAGCGGATATATGTCTACGAAGACGACATGGAGGTCGTTCTTGAAGGGTTGGCAAAGACCATGCGGTTTTTCGCAGATCCAGCCAGAAGGCGAGACATTGCGTACGACCTGGAATTTGGGCTCTGGTTGGTCACACATCAGCCGCTGCTACGTCCGTGATGGCCCCCCTCGACCCCGAAATGCACCGCTCTCGGAGCTGTCGTTGATTTTTGACTCGTGTCTCTGTGCAGATCCTTTCTTGAACACTGGTAGGATGATCTAGCGGTTCCCCTACATAACTGCGTGCCTTCACGATGGGATGTGCGGTAAGTGCTCAGCTCCCATCCTCGCCCCTTTTAAACGGTTGATATTGATCGTGACTCTCGCTAGGCTGCGAACGAGAGCCCGAAGAATGCCCAAAAATCCGCTTGTCGCCCGATAAGATCGCGGTCGGAGGACTCGGCATCGCATATATCGACATCGCAAACCCCGATTGCGTCGTGTGCTGGGTAAGGCGAGACCCATTCGTGGCCCCCGAATCCAGTGAGCCGCCAACGGGGGACGTCCTGGAGTTTACCATCTGCGTGGAGAATACCTATAGCCCTGACGAGGGGCGGGAAGTCCATACCGTCTATCGCGGCCCTGGAGTGCAGGTTTCCGAGTACTTGAATACCCAAGCCGCTGCGAGGGCCGCTGCCAGAGCCGCTGGGAGAGGCAGGAGAAGGAGAGGCAGGGGAAGGAGAGGCAGGGGAAGGGAAGCCAGGCTTTGATTTTCGACTGCCGTCAGTTTTCTCAATGCTGCCGATGTGGCATATTTCTGTGTATGGCTAGTATACATGTTCCTGCGCAGACATGCGGAATGTGGGCTACAGCGAGATTGGCATCCTTTTTGGTTGGAGGAATTCATTGCAGGATAGGTACAAGATGAGTGAAGCGGGATCGCGAAACATTTGCTATTTGTAAAACCACTTGTAACCAATCTCTACGTGACCATATGCAAGTGAGGCATGAGTCAAACATCTGGGGAAGGGGAAGGATTAGGGCCGTGAGGAAACGCAGCGGAAGAGTTCCCAAGCAGGCATCTAACGAGAAAAAGCTGTCTGGTGACAATGGCGTACAAACCATTTCTGCAATTGTTACCACCTCGCGAGCCAGGAGATGGAAAAGATGAGACGAATTGTACCACCTGAGGCTGACGGCAATGGTCCCCCTTCATATGACTGACACAAAGTCGGATTGCCGCTGCTGTTGGGCTACGTGACCCTGCCATCGTCACTAGTCTTCAGCTCCTTGGCATCGAAGGTGTGGAAATACTTTGAAGGAAGTGAATATTATATGTCTCTTCCTGAGTGAGGATGTTTGAAAAAGCATTTCTGGCTATTCGGACGTGAACACGCTGTCGGCGAGAAGAACCTTTACAGAGCACTATCAATGTCGAAGCAGTTAATATGCATTCTCGACACTTAAAAATGTTTCAATTTTGAACGTTCCTGTAATTTGCTTTAGATAAGAAGACTCCTAAACTGACTGCGAGATGTAGTTGTCTGTCACCCAAGCCCAGTGTAAGCATGGTCCTGTTGTAGCCATCTTCTGTCTCGCAGAGTGGAAGGTCTTCGTAGTCCCACCCTGACGCCTAACAGAAGATAGTGCGAGCCTGGATGGCTGTCTGGTCCCTCTCGGAGCCTGCATGAGTGGAGAGTGCCTATCAGTCTTGGAACTCGATACATATTCTCCGGGGACATTGGTAGCCCATCATTCGTTTAGTAGGCATACGCCACGTGGTGAGGGACAAGTCTGCATGCCATGGTTCCTACATTTAGCCCTTGGGTGGACAATGAGTTTACGCGGCTGCCACTAGAATCAATAGTTACATACAGGCGTCCTCTATCAAGAGTGTCACTTTGTATATGATTTGGTTAGGGAACCTGGACTACGGATAGCAACGGCAGCCCTTGCTGCAATCTCAGGCAAGACGGCATGATAGCTCGTCGTTTACTATCAAAGGCAGCATAAAACGGGGTCGATCCTCAAATTAGGAGATAGGCGAGCAAGTGGCTTCCCAATTACTTGCCTCCGTCTTAGCACAAAACATGGCGATACTGAGTTACGAAGTAGAGACAAGCACCGTCTGCCACTTCAAGTATGTTATTGCAGAGAATCAGTGGAGAAGCTCACTGGTGTCAAGCATCAGCCGCAACACGTGGCTCCGAGGAGGATAACGGAGCAACGGCATGAAGCGGGAAAAGGAACGACCGTCCTATCAGTAGCCTGGCACGTTTGACCCGAGTAGCGGCCTACTATGTCGGTCTTGATTCCCAACCACCAATGAGCTTGACACAGTGACACCAATCTAATGTTCTCGAAGGCAGACATGTTTGCTCTCCAATTCTCGGTCGTATTATTACGCTGGCTGCCTTCGGATCCGGACGACCCGTTCCCTTTGGGGGCGAGGACTCAGGGGGGCTCTTGGGGAAGGTGGCGAATTCAGAGCGGGCGTTTTAGACAACTCGATGGAATCCTTTGGACGTTCCATATCACTTCTGGTGGCTGAAGGAGGGAGGCGGTTGCAACCGCGGTTGCGCCTCTAGCTAGAAGATTACGTGCATCCGGGTACTCGGGCTGAGTGGACAAGGTCAGAAGTCTGTCTCTGAGCTTGATCAAGCGAGCGGCTCAGGATGTCCTTTGCAACGATGATGGAATTGAAGTGGTCTTGTATTCTCTTGTTGTTCCTGTGCCAAACGACGCGATACTGCTCTCAACGTGTGCTGTGATCTGCAGGTACTGGGATGTATTTGGTGGTTGCTTCCGCTGCGGACCATCTCCCTGATAACGGTAGGTGGTACGGAGATATACGAGATGTACGGGCGGTACGATCCATACGAACCCCGTGGATTAAACAGAGCAATCCTGGCTTTACATGCAATGGCTGCGCTAGTCTAGACAAGAGGGGGGGCCAACCCCTGGCCCGAGTCTCCAGAAACAAACGTTCCCGGTCGCCGTCCTCACACAAAGATAGAAAGAGCGTCAAGGTGTGTTAGATAAGACAACCAAAGGAACAATCTCATTGGATCAGTGACATGAACCGGCGGCTTTTAGGGCGGCATTATGATATCCGGGGAAGTTCTGGAGACGGTATTGACAAGGGGGGCGTGCAACTAATCGGCTAAGACGGGAATTTTTGTGTGTTACTCCGTAGGGCCATTCTCGGAAAACCCACACAGCATCAGAAAAGTACCGCTTGTCGAAGTCATGGGAGCAGTCGTCCCTGGGTCTTGACGATGCTGCAGCTACGCAGCTACCAAACAGGGCTGCAGATGTTGCGAACAGACTGGACAATCTACTGCCGTATCTGGTTGGAAGACAACCTCAACACACAAAAAGACCCGAGATCGATGCTGTGCCACCCCCTTGAAGCAAATGGAAAGATTGTAGAAGCATTGCGTTCTTCTCTCCGTTCTTGACGTTTCATCCGATCACGGTAGATGGCGGTTGGAGGCATCGACAAGTCTCTTGGCAGCGCCATCATCGCAGATTCCCGAGAGACACGAGGACGAACAAGTCCATGGCGTCCAGACGCCGCCCCCCGCCGCCACCGGGAACGGTCACCACACGTTCCTGGATTGGGCATCAGCGCCGCCGGCTCAGCACCCAGTTTATTAGTTTGTCTGATAAGTCCCTCAAAGGTCCAGCTACTCAGAGGCAGTACATACAGTATGTAGGTAGGTAGACAAGTCTGCTGTTTAGTAGTACTTTGTAATACGTACAAACAACTCAACAGCTGTTGCCAATAGCGCAGCCGCGGAGGATTTCGCGAGCAGCGGCAGCAGGTTGCGAGCGAAACTGGAAATGCAAAGCCGGAGCCAAGGCGGGACGGGCGCCAAGACGGCTGATGGAAGATCGAGGTACGATACGGCGTGCAGGAACTTCTGTCTCCTTGAGCGTCGGATGGCGTGCTTGCGCGGCAATATCGGTAGAGGGAATCGTGACATCACTGGCTGCCTCTGAGCAGGTTGGACCTGTTTGCTTGCCTTTGTTCCTTTGTGACACGTTCTCTTGCTTGCAACACTCTCGTAGATGGCTGGTTCACCTCTTGTTGTGTGTGGTGAGGCTGTTTGGTTAATACTCGTACTGTGTTATATGAGTTGCCATAAGGTAGTTGAGCCCGAGTCCAATGTGGCCGGAGAGCAGTGCCGGTATGCTGAGCGAATGAATGTCTATTGGGTCTTCGGGGAGATGACTTGGATGGAGCAGCAGCAGCGTTCTGTCACGAGAATGGATAATGGCCATATGCTCGACAGGGTCCTTTTGCAACTGAGGTCGTTTCCGGAGAGATAGGACCCCTGGAGGGGTGTTGCCGGAGACTAGGACCGCCAGGATGGTATGGACACACGCCGGTCAGCTTGAAAGATTGTACGAAGCAATATTACATACAGTAACGAGGCATCTGTGAGAAGGGTGCATCCCGGTGAGGCACCAGGTCAGTCGAATTCCTCCTAGGCCAGCTTCCTCGCGTGCAACTGCGGCAGGCACAGGTCAGGGAGAGTGTAGAGTAGTATCGGGCTTACACTCGCTGATGACCTATGTGTCCTGTGTGCTTATCTGCATGTTTCTTTTTGAGCTGCTGTGTTCATATTGGTGTTTATCTATATGATGCGCAGTCAGCCTCTGATGATGCTACTCTTGTGCTACTTAAGACAAAGAGTATCGAACATCCACCCTGTACGAGTATTGGGAGAGTAGTAACGATGTGCTTGAGTGTCTCAACGTCTGCTGGCTGTTGTCGCGTGTTCAACTCCAACTCCAAGCTGTCAAGGCGATGCTCCTCCACAGTCTAGGCGGAGCGGCGAGTCAGGCCATCTCGCCGCCTCCTCCACTCACATACCAGAACCTGCCCAGTCTGGCAACTGCGAGCAATACTTTGCTCAGGTACTTTCTCGGTGATATTCTTGCCTCAAGTTGGCGATGGCTTCATAAGCACACACTTGCAGGGAAGCCCCGTCTTCTCCGCAAAAAGCAGCCGGGAATAACGACTACTATCAGCCTCACGTTATTGGCTTGTGCCTCTGCTGAACCTGTGTGTCCCTCCACTGCAATAACGTCCGCTAAGCCCACTGAAGCTCAACCATGCTGCTAATCTCTGCTATCAATCTTATGTGCACTCCCTCGCCTCTCCTCCACTCACAACCACACGCCATGTATGTAACTCCGTACCCATTCTGCTCTCTCCCTCTCTCGTAGTCTCTAGTCTCCCAGAACACCTCGACCTTCAGATCCCGGACCGTCGCTTCTTTCAATCCTCTCGCTTTTCCATGTCGAATCAAGGGCTCGCCCTGGCTGATTGCGATGCCGCCACCCGCCTCACCTACGCCGCGCTCGCACGCCCCCCCTTGATGCGCTTCGGCACCAATTGCAGAAGCAGGATCCAACAGTCTGTCTGAAGCTGCTGTGTTATCAGGCCCGACATGCGCAAAAGGACCCGACTTATCCGTCCTCGAGCTGCTGCTGGGCCGGGCTAAAGATGCTGCGAGTCTGCCAGCCTGGGGGGGCTCCAGGATCGGCACTCATGTCCTAAAGAGAGATACCTCGATCTCCACACTCGCCCGCCAGACCGAACGAGCATGGCGGGTTAGAGAACTTTTGGTTGTGTCTCCGCGTGTTACAGTACCTTGTCTCATCTCGTCGTGATGAGGCGGCGCTGGTACCCATTGTCCACTGCTCGTGATAGCCTCTCTTTCACCCCCCTTTTCGGCAGGGCTCTCCGTTGGTCGCGGGGGCGGAGCCTCTTCGTGGTGCTAACACTGCTAGGCGGTGATGCTACTACTGGCAACATGAGCGGAGGAGGCATCGCCGGATTGCCTCGACATGTCGTCTCATGGCCACCGTCGAGATAGCAAAGTCTTCCCCCGAGGCAGGCGATGGGACTAATCACTGCGTTCCCCGGATGGCTGAAGGATGAACAGAAGTTCGCCAACCGCCTCAACTGAGGCTAGTATATCTCTCTGGGTCCAGTAAAGGCATCGCATACCATCGTATCTGGGCTCTGGTGGTGGAGAACCCCGGCCCTTGATCCCTTGCTCCGTGAGAGACGCTTCATGTAGGAGGGTTGCATTATCATGCCCGTACCCCAGTCTCGTCGATAAAGACCTGCCTCTCCCACGTGTAACCATCGAGGCCCTCACTCGTGTGAAACCATACCACTGAGCCCTCTTTTGCCTCTTATATCCTCCCCCTCCTCCGTCCCACCACCACCGACCTGGGCTGTCGTTGTTGCGTGTGTGCTGTCTGGTCTCCCTTTTTTCCCCCTTCTCCTCTTCTCCCCAAGGCCAAGTCGGGTCCTCGTCCACCATGGCCAACATCATGCCCACTGGGGGCCTTCAGCCAGTTGCCATCCCCGATGACTTGATCAACACCGCTGTTGAAAAGGAGTCTGAGGCGCTGGAGAAGCCCCAGGCCATCACCGAGCGCGTCTGGGGCTTCGCGGCCCGTATCGATCCCACCGTCACCTTCGAGGAGTACCAGTACTGGGCCAAGATCGAACGTGAGGAGGAGTACCAGGCCAACCTCGAGTTCAAGGCTGAGCACGGCCCCCGAACCGTCAAGAGCGTCCTGCTTGGCCGCTTCTCCAAGGGCATCCACCACGAGAATAAGAAGAAGGCCGAGGCTGCTGCCGCTGCTGCTGCTGCCGCTGCCGATGCTGGCGATGCCTCTCCAACAGATGAGAAGAGCGGCATCGTTGGCGCGCCGCAGAAGAGCGTGAGCCTCCCGACTGAGGCAGAATGGAAGCAGGCTTCTCGTGCCATGCGAACTGCCAGCTGGGGCACCATGTTCTACCTCATCACGACTGACATCCTGGGTTGGTCGTCAACCCCGTTCGTCTTTGCCAGTGTCGGCTTCGGCCCTGGCGTTGCCCTGTACATTGTCTTTGGTGCCGCCGCTGCCTTCTCCGGTTACATCTTGTGGAAAGTCTTCCTTGGCCTCGACTCGTCTCGCTACCCCATGGTTTCGTTTGGTGACACGTACTTTCGCGTGTACGGACCGTTTGCCCGCCACTTCATCAACGTTGCCCAGGCCATCCAGCAGTTCATGACCGTCGCCGTGCTGATTCTCGGCAGCGGCACGACCATTGCTCAGCTGGCCAGCGAGAAGATCTGCTTCATCGCCTGTCTCATCATCTTCATGGTGGTGGGCATGGTCTTTGGCAGCATCCGATCTCTGCAGCGCATCGGCTGGCTCGCCAACCTGTCCGTCTGGATCAACATTGTCTCCTTCATCATCATCATGGTTGCGTGCGCCAACTACCCCATCGACTACTCCGCCGTGACCAGCTCGACGTTGATCAAGACCATCGAGCCCATCAAGCTGTTTGCCGGCCCTCCCCCGGACCAGTACCAGCAGCAGGCCACGGGCTTCGCCGGCCAGTTCAACGGCATCAACCAGATGGTGTACAGCTACGGCGGTGCCCTGCTGTTCATTGCCTTCCTCGCCGAGATGCGCCACCCTTGGGACTTTTGGAAGGGCATGCTCTGCGCCCAGACCTTTATCTGCATCGTCTACATCTTCTTCGGCGCCTTTGTCTATGGCCACTACGGACAGTACTCTGCCTCCAACATCAACAACGTCATCCAGCCTGTGAGCCTGCAGACTGCGAACAACGTTCTCGGTTTGATTACCGGAGCCATTGCTTGTCGTAAGTATTCTTCTAATCTACCTCGTGTGATACTTGATTGGTTGGCAGTACAGTACCTAATCTAACGCCATCTCTAGTCATGTACATGAACGTCGGCATGAAGACAGTCTACGTCGAAGTCTTCCAGGAGATCCTCGGCCTGCCCCCGATCACGACCCGCAGCGGCCGCTGGCTGTGGTACGCCCTGGGACCCCTCTACTGGGCCCTCGCCTTCGTCGTCGGCGCCGCCGTCCCCAACCTGAACGGCATCTCCGGCATCGTCGGCGCCCTCCTCATCCTCAACTTCACCTACACCTTCCCGGCGTTCCTGTACATTGGATACCGCATCAAGGCGGACGCCGCCCTGCCCGGCGAGGGCTTTGATCCCGTGACCCGCGTGACGACCCGACACGATTCTGGCTTCAAGCGCTGGAGGCGCGGCTTCATGGTCAACTGGCACGTCAACACCATGAACATCATCTACTTCCTCGGCGGCCTTGTCTGCTCGGGCATGGGTTCTTGGGCTGCCATTGAGGGCCTGATAGAGGTCTTTGGACCGGGAGGCACTGTCGCCACGTCTTTTGGCTGCGCCGCGCCTGTGTAGATAACTTTAATACGCTCGTACATATTCGAGAGCTAGATACCATTTTACATATTTCAACCAAAGGTTCACTTTATAAAGGCTGATGCCTCTGAAGCTCTTATGTCGTATCTTGTGCTACGTCGACTATACGATGGCTTCGACGTGATTACCTCATGTTTCTGGAAAAGCGTGCTGATCGTCTTTGCTTTGGCGTCAGTTGCGAGATTATTGGCTGACCTGAGTCCCCGGGACTGCATATACGAGCAATACGAAGAGTTTATTTCAACGTGATTTTCTAGATAAATATGCTGACTTATCTTTTCAGACAGAGACAGTAAAAAGCCCTTGTTTGGTTCTAGGACAAATAGGTCTGAACTCGGTGACATTGCAAATGCAATCTCGAAGTGTGTAAATGTAAGTGTTGGTTGAATTCTTTTGAATATCAAGACCGTCATTTGGCCCCCCTATGGCATATATAGCACCCAGACTATACAGCCTATTCTCGATACGTAAAACAAAGAACCTCCAACTCACGCCAGCATAATGATAAGAAAACCCAAAACTCCATCCAGGTTATACCAAGTACTGAGGGCATAATAACCCCCCCCCTTTGACTCAAACTAAAGAGACCGACCCTAACCAGGCAATCAACTCCTCGAATTCCATTCCCTGCATTTTTAAACTATTTTTTCCTCCTTTTGATCCCGTCATCCGCCCTCCCCTCAACACTCAAAGTTCATAGGACACGTGTTGACCATGTAATCCCAGTCATAGCCCCCCGGATCCACAATCGAGCACCAGTCCTGACTGAGATCCATCTGGAAATCAAAGTCGCTGAACGTGCTGTTGAGAAAGTCGTTTGAGCTGAATTCAATTGTGTTCCCTGGCCGAGACGCGTAGTAAGGATCACCGGCCATGGATTTGGGTTGAAGGGAAGATAGTGAGATGGAGGAGAAAGCGTCGTTGGAGTCGAACAGAGAAGTCTGGATGGCGTCGTTGGTGATGCTGTTTGTGTTGATGGCGGAGGTATCGAGAAGAGGGTTCGGGTTGAGAGTGGTGTCTCTTGCGTCTAGTCCTCGTCCCCTTATACGCAAGCGTCCAAAGTACGGCACCACGACAGCAAAGTCCTCGAGCGCGGAATACGTCCCCTTGCCAGCAGCCACCAGCCTCTCGAGCACCTCGGCGGCTTGCTTGGCCACGGTGCATTCCAGCAGGGCGTTTGTCTTGCGCAGCTCGCCCATCAGCCTGTCGATGATTGCCCACTCCTCAGCATGCTGTGTAAGCAATGCCGGCGAAGACGTCGTCGATGAAGCCGACGACGCCTCTATAGCTGAACTTGCGGGTGTCAGGATACCCAGAATCAGGGTAATGGCAGAGGTGAAGATGATGAAATCCATAATCTCGCACTGAATGACCTCCGTCTTGGACGACCCTCTGAGACGGAGATAGCTCTTGATGAGCCCCCGGCAGGCTTCCATCGAGGACAGCCGGCTGTGCTCGTAGCGGCGGTCGGACCGGGCCTTGAGCATATAAGGGAGATGGATATGCTTCAGCGTCGAGTAGTAGAAGACCTTGACCGCCTCTTGGTGATAGATGGAGTCGGTGGTCGCCTGAGGGCCGTAATAGCCGGACCACTCGGGCGGGAAAGTCTTCTTCAGGTCCTCCATGTCCTGGTCGAGCTGCACCGTGACGGCATACGAAGCCGGCGGCGAGCTCTGGTTGCGCTCGATGACGCGGCCCATGATGATGCAGAGGCGACGGTGGATATTCTGCGCGGGAGTGAGCACCTCCAGGAGGGAGGCCTCGTCTCTGGTGCCCCGGGCTGTGACGGCTGAAGGGAAGCCCAGCAGGATGCAGAGCTGCCGTTCCACCATCCAGGTGTGTGTCCAGAGGATCTTGCGCTGGAGGCTGGCGCCGGGATCGAGCCTGTCGAGGCCGATGAGCGTGGCGGCGCTGATGGCGTGGCGGATGGCGACCCAGGATCGCTGCGGCCGGCCCATGTTGATGAGGATCTTGTGCAGCAGCAGGTAACACTGCACGGCGAGGACGCTCTCATCCGACTCAACGGCCAGCAGGACGCATGCAAAGCGGATGTAGGCGTCGATGAGCGTCTGGCGCGGGATGTTGGGCGACACGATGACGCGCTTCCAGTGCCGCGGCAGCTGCTGGATGCACAGCGTGAGGAAGAGCATCGCGGAGCAAAACTCGATGCCGCGGCCCACGCTGAGGATGCGCGCAAAGTAGGCCTCGGCGGCGTCGGTGCTGGTGGCCTCCATGGTGGTGGGCTGGTCCGGAGCGAAGAAATAGGGGGGCCAGATGGACCAGAACTTGCGCGAGTCCTCGAGCACGAGGCGGAGGGTTTCCGGGTCGGGAATGGGAGGCCTGAAGGTGCGCAGGGACTCCTTCATGAGGTGCAGGACGGACGGGTCCTCGGGGTCGTCGTAGAGCTCGCCTTCGGAGTCGCGAATCATGAGGGCGTCGCGGAAGAGGTGGATCAGGGGGGCGTCGACGGAGGAGATGGCGGATTCGGGAGGGCTGGAGGAGGCGACATCTCGGTCGAGGGACGAGGGAGAGCGAAAGGATGAGGAGCGGATGCTGTCGGAGATGCTTGTGTTGCTGGGCTTGCTCTGGCTGTTGGAGGCGTTGGGGATGTTGGCAGCGCTGTCCAGGAAGCTGTTGAAGTTGGTGTAGTTGTTGACAGAGCCGAGGTCGAAGCCATTGAGGGAGCTGTAGTCGAGACCCTGGGCCGGGCCCGGCTGTAAGAGGCCGTGGCTGCGGAGCTTGTTGATGACCTTGATCGCCCTACTATTGATGTCGTTGGAAGCGGTGTTATGCGGCGACGAAGCCGAAGCCGTAGACGCCGCAACCCCCGACGACCCCGGAGAAGACTCGCCGTCGCCGTCGCCGCCGGCCGGCTCGATGGCGTCGCAGATGCTCCCGACCAGGCCCTCGAGCTCGGCCAGGCGCCGGCGCAGGGCCGCGTTGTCCGCCGCCAGCTGGGCGTGGCTCTGCGACTGCGCCTGCAGCTGCGCCATGCTCACGGGCTGCTGCTGCATCTGCGACTGGCGCAGCAGCAGCGAGTCGCCGTCGCGCGCCCGGGGCTGCTGCGCGCGGCACGGCGTCTGGTGCAGCTCGCAGCCGCGGCAGATGGAGCTGTTGGGCTCGAAGACGCATCGGACCTTGCGGCGGCGGCACTCGGCGCACGACCGGGTCCCCAGCCGCATCCGCCTCGCCGGCCGGTCGTCCATCGGTTTTGTGCGGGTATTTATAGTGCTTGTATAGGTTTGTATCAAGCAGGGTCTCGGGGGGGGATCAGTTGTCTCCTCCTATTCGGCGAGGTGGGCTCCTCCTATCGGCGGACGGACGACGGAGGAGGTTGCGTGCTTGGCGGACCACGTTGCGGATGGGTTCTAACAGGGCGTTTCTGCAGCTTCGTGACGCATCTTCTTGGTCCGGGGGGCTCGGCTGGCGAGTCTGGAGGCGTGTCATTGGGTCGTGGTGGGAGGCGGCTTGGAGTTTTGCCGCTTTGATTTTATGTTTAGTCGAGCTCAGAGATGGCGGTTGCTCTTAGTAAGGGGATGAGTTGGGGACGTGATTGGTTAGGGTCGGAGTTTGACGTCTGGATCCGGAGGCGGACCAGTTCGGACGAAGAGGAGGAGCTGGAGCTATAGCTGGAGCTGGAGCTGGAAGCTGGAGGCTATTGTCTATATAAGAGGCATCAGCCCTACGGCCGCAACGCGATACATGAGGTAACAAGCGTATCGCCGCCATTGAGCTCCTGCAGAGCTTGTATCATACTCCCCGTGCCATTGTCTGATCCAAGTAGCTGACCTGCAGATGAGGCTGCCGAGCTGAGTGCAACAAGTCTGACACGGGATCTTGAGACAGGCAGCCGTTCCGATCATGGCTCATCTAGACAAGCATTTTTCCTCTCATGAACTAAATTACTCCCAGATGCATTACTTGATTCAGGCACTTTGATTGAGTACCTTGAACTAGGGTGATACACGTAAGTGATGGCTGAGCGACCGCTTGTCAACGAGGCTGCATATCCCAGCCGTGTCACCGCAACGGTCGCAACGAGCATTCGTTCTCGCCGCTCCATTGGCAGACGCCAAACCATATCTCAAATCGCCATGCAGGATTATCGATTCTTGTGCCATCACCTGGCAGGGAATACGAACCTTGTGCCCCAACCCAAGACTCAGCACTAACACGAACAACACCAACCCTCTCCGTCGACACATCGTCTCTGCCCAATCTCGTCCGCCAAACGTATGCTCCGGTCCTTGTACCGCCTGTTAGCGGGCGGTAGATGCATGCCAAGCGGCTCTAGATTAACCAGCGTTGCATTATTGGACAATCGCCCTCTCTTCTGTTCTTTCGTTCTCTGGGTTGCTGACCCCCCCCTGGTCAATTTGGAAGAGATTGGTTAGCTCGCAGGATTCAAGGCCTTTTTTTATCCTTTGCCGCGTCTTTCGGATCGGGCGATCCGGCGGCAAGCAAAAGGTTGGAATCGCTACTGCATGGCTGGATGGAGTTCAGCTGCGCCCTGAAGGCTGGCTGAGAGGGGGACGTGTTCGTGTTCTTCTCAGCCTGAGCGTGTTTTCTTTCGCATCTTTCTCTTCACATTCCGAATCTTCAATCCTTCCTCCTCGTTTGCGTCTCTTCTGCCAGTCTCTCGTTTCTCTCTTACCGCCTACTTCAAGCGTTGTCGCTGCACTCCCGTTCTTGCTCTTTGATTGTGCGTTTCTTTCTTGCTTAGAGAGAATAGACGACCTGTATACTATTGGACCTTGCGAAATTTCGATGTATATACGAGAATGAAACTGCCCTGATCGCCTCATCTGCCGGATCCGATTGATGCGTTAGCGACGACTAGAATTCGCTTCATAACCCTTGCTCTTTTCAACACCACGATACGCGATATATATATATATAATGGCGACGCTCACACTTTCTTCCCTCCTTCTACTCATCGGCCTCTCCAATGCCTCACCGTCCGACAAGCGCGGCTTGGTCTTCACCCCCAACAATGACTTTCCTCAGGACAACCAGATCTGGGTCCAATCCGGCAGCGACCTGACATGGTACTACAACTACCAATCCCAGCCCTCTCCAGCCTACACCTCTCTCTCACAGGAGCAGTTCGAATTCGTGCCCATGATGTGGGGAGTCACGGACAACCTCAACGACACGACGTTCCTAGACCAAGTCACAACCCTCATCAAGCAGGGCACCAACATCACGCACGTCCTAGGCTTCAACGAGCCCGACGGCTCAACCGGCACCGGCGGAAGCGCCATCGAGCCCCGAGATGCCGCGCAAGCATGGGTTGCCAACTTCGAGCCGTTGGGGAAGCAGGGCGTGAAGCTGGGGCTGCCGGCGTGCACGGGCGGACCGGGCGGACTGCCGTGGTTGAAGCAGTTTCTGGCGAATTGCTCGGATATCGTGAGTGAGGGGAGTAAGACGAGGAGGAACTGCACGTGGGATTTCCTGCCTGTGCATTGGTATGATAACTTTGCTGGACTGGCGTCTCATATCGGAGAGAGGAGGGCGACGTGAGTCTTGCCCTGATCTCGAGAGATTTGTGTTGTGAGGTGTGCTGACTTGGGGAAACAGATGGCCTGATGCTGATATCTGGGTGACGGAGTACGCCTTTGCAAACCAGGACCTCCAGACGACGCAGCAGTTCTTTAACCAGACGCTCGACTACTTTGGAAAGCTGGATTACATTGCTCGGTACACTTACTTTGGCGCCTTTCGCTCCAAGGCGTCCAACGTGGGACCGAATGCCTCGTTTCTGAATAATGCCGGCAAGTTGACGGATATTGGATCGTGGTATCTTGGGTTTGGCGCAACAAACGTCAAGCCTACTAGCGCAGCATCAAGAGAGATGGCGTCTGCTTTGATCATTGGGGGGGTTGTATCGATGGTTGCTTTGATGAATGCAATGTTGTAGAGGGTTTGATTTTGATGCAGATGAGTTGTTGTTGGAATCATGAGGGCATATAATGAATACTGGAAATGAAGCGTCAGCACATACACGCACACGATGGAATATTGTATTGTATCTTGGTCTGGCATTAGAATAAGGTAGAACCACCTACATTTTGGAATCCCTTCGTACCAGTCTCTCCAACGTCTGTCTGTATGCAAACAAACCCCTTCGTCATCTTCACCACCACAAAAGACAAGACGCCCAACCTCCCCATCCAATCCTCTAACCACATCCTCGTCCAAACAACCCCGGAGTGGCGCAGCAGCAACTCACCGAGGCCCCGCGCCCGAAGTCATCTCCAATTCCCCCCGGATCCGCCTCCTCACGTCCCCCCCTCCGATTCGACCCAGAAAGGCGCCGCCGCTCCGCCACCGAAACGCCTCCGGCACGCCGTTTGTGTCCGCCACAAGCCAGGTAGCCTCGGCTCTATTCTTGCTAGTTACTTACTGTACGCCAAGTCAGGCCAAATTAAAAGAAAAACTCCCATGTCAATCAATGAAGGAACCAAGAGTCATCACCCGAGATATGCAAAGATTCCGTTCCGTGCGAGTATCTTATCATGACCGCTCTCCCTCTAGAGCCTTGGCGATATTATCCAGGCATCACCTCCAACCAACCAGGACAAGATCCCATCTTCTCTGCCCTTCGCTCTTCCACACGCTCTTCGAGAAGATCAAACCCCCAACGACAAAAAATCGCCACTTTTGACACACATCTCCCGAAAAAAAAGCCACCAAAAAGCGCCAAGATCCAGCCATAGAGTCTACACAGTAGAGCCAATACCTCTTGGCAGAACAGTTTCCCCTCCCTCCTCTATCTTCGAAGTGGCACCCCATTGGCTGGGTTGTCGGAACTGCATCGTAGACGAGCATAACCTTAAACGACCGCTTGGGTCATGTCATCCTTGGCGAATAAAGGCCAAGAACTGACAGGCGACTTCTCGTCCCCCTTTTGCTCTGCGATTGTGAGCTTTTGCTCAGATAATGGGGAGAATTGGCGCCAAGATGAGCTGGGGTTTGGGGGTTTCTTGGCTTTTCTTGGGGGTGGAATGATGTGATTGACTGAGTTTTGACCTGTCATGACCACGTTCCAAGGGAGTCGACAATGATTCCACGAGGGTTAGCACTCCAGTTCCATCGGGCCTGTCTCATATCGTCAGACCAGACTTGGAGCAAGCCAAAGAGACAACGCAGCGTAACAACACACAACATACTACCAAATCCAGAAGTCGTGAATACTACCCAGCCATCAATCCAAACACACACGTCTTCCCCAGACGAAAACATCCAAAGAAAAAACCGCCTCAACTCCATGGCCCCCCAGCCATCCCTCCCCCAAGCCTCGTCTTCATCACGCCCCCCCGCCAAGGCAACCTAGACCCGCTATGCCCAAGCCATCTTCACCACAACCAGCAAACCAGCGTCCTCCTCCTCGTCATGGCAACAACAGAGTACATCCAATCTTCCCACAAGTCTTCTTCCTTCATAATGGTCGTTCCTCGATCGATGCAAAGTACTTAATACCCCATGTGTCCCCGCGTTTCCGTCCGTTGCACATGCTCAACCTAAACTTTCTTTCAACGTTGCATCCCAATATACCGGGAAAGAAAGTCCTTCTTTTGTCACGAACCAAGTCTTTTTCTGGTACACAAGAAAGGGAAACTCTGTTGATAGTATACAATAGTGTTCCTTTACACACCTTTTTGCTCTTCCACAGGCACCAATCCATGTGCAGCCTTATCTTGGCCACAACAGCTCCTCTCAGCCTCGTCATTCGTAGCCTTACCGCCCTCGTGTGATGGCTGAGTTCCCCAAGCACCCCTTCTTGCTCACCGTCGAAGAGACAGCGCAGGCTCTCGGAACAAATGTCGACACAGGGCTCACTTCGGAGCAAGTCTCCGCCTTGCAGGCCAAGTACCCCAAGAATGAGCTCGACGTCGGTGGGACGATTCCTTGGTACAGCATTCTGGCCAAGCAGATGCTCAACGCCATGATTATTGTAAGTGGCTTACACCATCCACTGTTCCCCTTGCGTGTTAAGCTTGTTGCTGAACGGGTTCGTGTTAGGTCCTCGTCTTTGCCATGGCCCTCAGCTTCGGCATCAAAGACTACATCGAAGGAGGAGTCCTCGCCTTTGTCATCTTCCTCAATGTCACCATCGGCTTCTGGCAGGAATACCGCGCGGAGAAGCGCATGGATGCTCTCCGCGCCTTGTCCTCGCCCAGCGCCATGGTCCTCCGTAATGGTAAAACTGAGGTCATTCCCAAGTGAGTCTCCTCTTCCATATCTGACCCCCTTGGCCCTAGAAGAACATATAAGTTGCTTCCCTATCAGAAGGATCGTGCTTACGCTCTCTTGACAGCTCGGAAGTCGTCCCGGGAGACATCGTCCTCCTCAAAATGGGCGACACCGTCCCCGCCGACCTCCGCCTCTTCGAAGCCATGAACCTCGCCTGCGAGGAAGCCCAGCTCACAGGCGAATCCATTCCCGTCGAGAAGATCACCTCCATCCCCACCACCCACGGATCCGACAACAACATCAGCAGTGACAACAATAGCGGCAACGCAAACATAGCCACCTCAGAAGCTGACCTCGGCATCGCCGACCGCACAAACATGGCCTACGCGACAACCACCGTCCAAAAGGGCCGCGGAAGGGGCATCGTCGTCGCGACGGGCATGGCCACCGAGGTCGGCAAGATCGCCGCCTCCTCCGCCAAGAAGCACCACCGCAAGGCCGGCCGGTCCATGAATTGGCGCAAGTATGGCAAGGCTCAGCCCGTCGTCGGCCTGTCGAAGCGCATCTACGACTTCGTCGGCAAGTTCCTGGGCTTGACTGTCGGCACGCCGCTGCAGAGGAAGCTGTCCGCCCTGGCATACGTGCTGTTTTGCTGTGCTGTTGGCCTGGCAATCGTTGTGTTTGGGGTGAATCGTTTCAATATGAGAAATGAGGTCATCATCTATGCGACGTCGCTGGGCATTGCGATTATTCCAGAGTCCCTTGTTGCGTACGTCTCTCCTACTATCCTCCTCTCACTTTGCCCCTTTCTCACAATATACTGACCGATGCGTATATAGTGTCCTGACAATCACAATGGTCGTCGCTGTGACCGTCATGCGCAAAGCCAACGTCGTCGTCCGCGACTTGTCCGCCCTCGAAGCCCTCGGCGGCGTCACAAACATCTGCTCCGATAAGACCGGCACCCTGACTGAAGGCGCCATGATTGTCCGCCAGGCCTGGATCCCTTCCTCCCACATCTACACCGTGCACGACTCGCAGAACCCGAGCGATCCCACAAGGGGCCGCGTCGTGTACTCGCGGATCCAGGAAGACAAGGAGAAGCAACAGCAACCAGCAGACGAAGCAAACAAGGAGAAGCAGCCGCAGCGTGATTTCGACAAGGAACGCAGCTCCGCAGTCCTCAAGTTTGACGTTCCGGACGAAAAGCTCAACATGTCGCCTCCTCATCAGCCACCCAGTCCCGAGCCAGCGACAAAGATGACAGACCAGCTCCGTGCTTTCCTCGTCTCCTCTGCACTCTGCAACCTCGCCACCGTGCGCTTCGATCAAGATGAAGAGAAGTGGCAGACGACGGGTGAACCCACAGAAATTGCGCTCCAAGTCTTTGCCCATCGCTTTGGCCATGGCAAGAAGAGCCTCGAGGGACAAGGTTGGGAACAAGTCGCCGAGTTCCCCTTTGATAGCTCCATCAAGCGCATGTCGGTCATCTATAACGCCCCTGAAGATGATAGCAGCATTGGCTTTGCTGCTGGCGATCCTCAAAACAGCCTTGTATTCACAAAGGGCGCCGTCGAGCGTATCCTCGACCTATGCGCCTTTGCAGGCGTCGGCAAGGATCAGCAGCCCATGACAGACGAGCTCAAGGAGACTGTCCTCAGCCAAATGAATGCCCTCGCTTCACAGGGCCAGCGCGTACTTGCCGTCGCATACCGTCCGTGGGAAGGAAAGTTCACTTCCAAGCAGACAAGCTCCAGCTCCGCCGAGGAAGATAACAAGCTGCGCTCAACCGTCGAACAGAACCTCATCCTTGTCGGTCTCGCCGGCATTTACGACCCTCCCCGCAGGGAGACCAAGGCTTCCATCGGCGAGTGCTCGCAGGCCGGCATCAAGGTCCACATGCTTACGGGCGACCACCCGGAGACGGCCAAGGCCATCGCCAAGGAAGTCGGCATCATCCCTCGAAACCTCAACATCCTGCCCGAAAACGTGGCCGCGTCCATCGTCGTCAAGGCGACAGAGTTCGACAAGATGACAGACGCCGAGATTGACGCCCTGGAGGAACTGCCACTGGTCATCGCCCGCTGCGCCCCAGACACCAAGACGCGCATGATCGAGGCGCTCCGTCGCCGTGGCGCCTTCATGGCCATGACGGGCGACGGCGTCAACGACGCGCCCTCGCTGTCGCGCGCAGACGTCGGCATCGCCATGGGCTCGGGCTCCGACGTTGCCAAGTCGGCCGCCAAGATCGTCCTCACCGACGACAAGTTCAACTCCATCGTCGCCGCCATCCGCGAGGGCCGCCGCATGTTCGACAACATTCAAAAGTTCGTCCTGCACCTGCTCGCCTCCAACGTCGGCGAGGTGATCCTGCTCGTCGCCGGCCTCGCCTTTGTCGACAGCTCCGGCTTCTCCGTCTTCCCCGTCTCCCCGCTGCAAATCATCTGGATCAACATGGCCACGTCGTCGTTTCCCGCATTTGGCCTCGGCCGCGAGGCTGCCGCGCGCGAGGTGATGCGCAAGCCGCCCCAGGACAAGAAGCGAGGCGTCTTCACCAACCAGATCATCGTTGACATGATTGTGTACGGCCTCCTCATGGGCGTATGTACCCTGTGCACGTTCTGCATCGTCATCTACGGTGCCAACGACGGGAATCTCGGGACGGACTGCAACACGCACTTCTCCGAATCGTGCCGTCCCGTGTTCCGCGCTCGAGCAGCAACCTTTGCGCTCCTGACGTGGCTCATCCTCATTTCCGCGTGGGAGTTCAAGAGCCTCCGCAGGTCCATGTTCCGGCTCAACCCCGACGACGACAGCTTTTTCCCCTTCTTCAAGGACGTGTACAGCAATCGCTTCCTCTTCTGGTCCGTCGTCATCGGCAGCCTGTCCGTCTTTCCTGTCGTCTACATCCCGTTCCTCAACACGCGCTTTTTCAAGCATACAGGCATCTCCTGGGAATGGTCGCTCTCCATTGGATTCACGCTGGTCTATGTCACAGGCGTCGAGCTGTGGAAGCTGACCAAGCGGCACTTCCGGCTATTGGAAGACGCCCCCGTGCAGAGGGGCGCTTGGGGTCAGGGAGGGCCGGAGGACGACGGGCCCAGATTCAAGAAGACGTTTTCCATGTCGAGCTTCAAGACATGGGTGTCCTTTTCGAGGAGGGAGACGGGGGACAGTGCGATGCGGGCAAACACACAAGCTCGCTCACCTGTGTGAGACAGAGTCATTGCCAAAGTGTTTCGATCTGTCTGTTATTATGTCTGCATATGACCTGTCCATTTTCCTGCTTTTCGTTCATCTACCAGCATCTATAAATGCGTCATTTAGAGGTTTTGTCGTAGCATAGAAGACAGGGGAGCATTCTTCCACCTACCTTTGAAGAGGCATTATTCTTCATCATGTATGTAGTTCTGAAGTGCTGAAGGCGAGATACCCAACAAGAGGCTCAGATTGGAGGTACCTGTATTGTTTGTATGAAGCAACGATCGTTACCATTCAGAATGATAACATATGGAGGAACATGTAGTATTGCTATAACACCTGCAAATTGAATGCTTGTCAGCACATAAAGACGCAAGGCCCACGAAGCTTTTTCAGCCCAAAAGTGTCATGTTTCTGCCCTTTACCAGTCATCCTGACCGAAAGGCACGTGTGGCTCAAACCCGGCAATCCGTGAAGAGTCCCAAAAAGCGGCAATTAATTCTGTGGGACATAGGCATGCCCTGGTCGCTGTGGGAGGAGACACGGGGGCATGTCCAACAAATGGCACAGTCACACTCAGCCATTGGCTGGCGGGAGCTGGAAGAGACAAGGTTCAATCGACTGGGACAAGGGCAGGGACAAGACAGGGTAACGACTCCATTTGCATCACCACCCCGTGGTTGTCACGACTGACACCCGCAGGCGAATGCTATGCCAGAATAAAATAACAAAAACAATGTGTCCAACAACCACCTGCTTTCACTCGCTCACACACGCCATGATCCCAAAACACCCCATGCTGCTTCCATATCCATAACCACAATGACTCGTAATGAAAAAGAAAAGTAAAAATGAAAAAGGATATTCAGAAGGCCCAATGAGTCGTATTACTCATCAGTGAGGTTGTAAATCTTCTGGATATCTGCAAGAATCTTCCTCATGTCAATGTTGAGGTCCTTGATGAGGCCGTCCTCGAAGCCAAAGACCCAGCCGTGGACAATGGGATAACGGTTGTGCTCAAACGAGTACTGCACATCGGCCGTCTTGATGACGTTGCGGCACTGCTCAAAGACGTTGAGCTCGACCAGGCGGTCGTAGCGCTTCTTCTCGTCGGGGATGGCATCCAGCTCCTTCTCGTGGAGGCGGTAGACGTCGCGAATGTTGCGCAGCCACGGGTTGAGCAGGCCCATGTCCTTGGGGGTCATGGCGGCCTTGACACCGCCGCAGCCGTAGTGGCCGCAGACGACAATGTGCTTGACCTTGAGGTGGCGCACGGCGTAGTTGATGACGCTCATGACGTTGAGGTCGGTGCTGATGACCATGTTGGCGATGTTGCGGTGCACAAAGGCCTCGCCGGCCCCGAGCCCCGTGATGGCCTCGGCGGGGATGCGCGAATCACTGCAGCCGATCCAGAGGTACTCGGGCGACTGGCCGGCGGACAGGCGAGTGAAGAACTCGGGGTCCTGCTTGAGCCTCTCGGCAGCCCATTTCCTGTTGTTCTCGAAGAGGCGCTGGTGGTTTTCGCGCAGGTAGCGCTCAACGTCGTGGTCGTGTTCAGGCATGCCGGGCAGACGAGCGGGTGTCTTTGCGTTTGTTCCAGAGACGGTACCAGGGACTGAGCCAGAAGTGGTGGTGGTGGTGTTGTTGTTGTTGCTGGAGGAGGAGGAGGAGGAGGATGAAGCGCAGTATCGGTTCCCAGCAGCAGCAGGGCGGTGGGCGGGAGAAAAGGTCAGCGACGAGGACCGGGCAGAACTGGAACGGAAAGCGGCCAGACGCAAGGATTGACCTCCAATTCGCGACGGGAGCATATCGAGTCGTTCGGAAGGAGTCTGGTCTGGCTTCCGAGGAGGAAGAGAGACAAACGGCGAGCAGGGGTGGGTTGGCTTGGGGATGGCTGATTGGTGAGGAGCGCTATCGACCGGGACTTTGTTTGGGGGCCTTGGGGGCCTTGGTCGGAACCGCGGGCTTGGGAGATAAAGAGGGTCAGCCGGAAAAAGCCTCCAGCTTGCTTGGGAGTCCCGTCGAGTCGAGTCGTGTCGGCTTTGCTGAACTCGTACTGGGTGGCTGGCTGGTGCTTGTATGTACCTACCGTGAAGAACTGTTGAACGGGCTGCAGCTGTACCCGTACTACCTAGTAGGTAGTATCCGTCAAATCTGTAGCCTGTCTCAGCGCCAGCAGCAGCTGGAGTTCTGCGCTCGTTTCCGTACCTACCAATGTACCTCTACTGGGGTGCGGCCGTAATGACGGTAACGGCGCCTGTGATCTGATCTGCAGGTAATCTGTAAGCTGTCAGATGCGATGCAAGTGCCATCTCTGAAAAAGCGCAAGTCTATCGCCGGGCCGGAACTGGAGTCCAGCAGGATCCCATCCGTCCGTCTTGTTGGGGGCTGGTGACCACACACTTGACACTCACACACACACACACACAATTGAGGTGGGAGGGGTAACTGACTGACTGACTGACTGGCTGCAACCAGCTTTCGCAACAAAAAGCTCGTGTCGGTGCTTTATCTGATAGCCGATTCGATCGCGGCCGCTGGAGATTGCGAGATTTCGAGATTTTGGGGGGAGCCCCTCCCCGCGGGTCTGATTTTAGGCTTCTTATTTTATGTTGAGCAAAGAGGGTCAGCCAGTGAGCAAGTTGACAGGCCTTGTGCCTTGTTCCTTGTTCCTTGTTCCCGGTTTTTTAGAGGTAGATTTCGCCTTGGTTGCCGTCCTCTCGGCTATCCAGCAGACGCCAGATTTGCCAGATCCGCGAATAAGCGGCATTGAGATCTGGGCCGGTTTCGGTCAGCGGCGCCGATCAGATGGAGACACTCCATCTTGACGTCGATTTTGTTGGATTCCGGCGGGGGGAGCAAGTCGAACTAGTAGCAGCAGAGACTGCGTGGATGGAGAGAAAGCGAATGTCATGGATATTGCTAATAGCAAAGAGATTGTCCAGGTCAACAGCTTCAATCTTGAAGCAAGCACGAAGCAAGGCGGTGGTTGACGGCATTATCCCGTGGGCGGTCAGCCTTCTCTGCCTCGGGTGTAGGTACCTCATGACACAATCAATTTACTCGGTGATACTATGTACCTAGTAGGAAAGTACCTAGTAATCAACTGCTGGTGAAGAAGCAGCTTCAGCCATCGACACACACACACAATCAAAACAACGGCATCTCCAGCATAATCAACGCCGCTCAGCTCCGGCTCCAGCATCACGCCAACTCGCTGCACACGGCACTCCTCAAACCGAAACTCGACGTGTACAGCCGGCCCAAAGCCCCCCCGTCACGTACTGCTTATGGGCAACGTACGTCGTCTGCCCGGCGACGTGATGCAGCAACAATATGAAGCCCTTGAACCTGTTTGAGCAGTCAATGACCAGCTGGCCCTTCTCTACACCCACAGTCACGTTGATGCCTCGCCATCCCGAATTCCAAAACTCGCCCAAGTAATTACGTAGCGGTATCTTTTGGGCAAGGCTGCCCTGGGCGGGACTTTGCTCGCTCGCCTCTGCCCCGGGGGACGCTGCTCCAGCTTCACTTTGTCTGTTGAATTCGAAGTTAAAGCCATCATTATAAAGACAGAGGCCACTCCAGGGCACCTGCTGTATTGTCTGGTCCCGCGTGAGCCGTTGCTGCTGCGGTACGTCGAGCAGTTCGTCAAGAAAGTCCTACATCAGTAGCTCGCCCGCAGCGTCTGCGCTCTCCATGTGGCCAAAGATGAACGGCCCCAAATCTGATGTAGTCGTCAACGTTGGTGACGATGGAGCTCGCAACCTGGACTGCCGGACTCTCAGCCTTGTTACAGCCATAGTATTTTGTCACGGGATCCCATGAGTATTCAGGGCATATGGAGCCCCCGATCCCCTTTCTCCACGCGCGATCCAGCCACATGTTGGTCCTCGTCATGCCCAGTGACTAGAAGATGCGTTGGTCAAGGAACTCCAGCAAAGGCCATGCCCGACTTGCGTTCAACGAGGTACGACGCCGCAGTGTACATGAGGTTGCAGGGCAAGTGCCGGGACCGCAGGGGAGCCGCCGTCGACAGGTTGCGCACATTCAATGTGATATTTTACGCATTTTCACGATAAGTATCATCGAAGCCGATCTGCGCATCATCGTTACTAGTGAAATACAAGGCATGGGCAGCCTCATCAAGCAACAGGCACGAAGCCCCAGCCATCGAGCCAGGCAATCCATGGTAACAGGGAGGCATCAACTCACGGCGCCATCCCGGTCTTGTAGCTCAAGATATCCTTCACGGTCACCCCATCGTGCTTATTGCCAGGCATCACAAACTGCTTCGGCAACAACTCGGCCATCTCCGCATCATACCTGACCTCCGGGCACCGGCTGTCGGTAATGAGCAGCGCTACAGCCGCGGCCGTCAGTGATATGGACGCTGAGCCAATCTTAAAGAGCTTTTGCGGCGTTATCGGTCTGGCCATTGTCGTCAGGATCTGGGACGAGAAGGCAAACGCGCTAAAAAGCCGCGGAGGTGGTCGCCTTGTTGTGGACAATGGCGACGGTCAGGCCGGGGATATTGGTTTTTTTGAGCATTTTCATTATGCTAATAGTAAAGCTATCAGAGTTGAAGTAGTCCATCATTTTCGACATTGGCTCTCTGCTGTGAGCCATGATGGTTCTGTACAAGATGGGTTGATGGTGAAAATGCTTGGTATGACTCTGCGTGGATGTTTACCATAATGGAAGCAGTAGATGAAAACCCTCTCCTTGTCCCTTGAGGAACTAAACCACCACATCCAAGTAAGCTGCAAAAAAGCTTCGCAAGGTGTGAAGGTCTAGACAAAGTGAAGAGCTGCTTCCAGCATTCCTTGTCTTTCGGCTCTTCCTGTCAGATTGACACCTTCCAACAACAGCCACTCAAGTCAAAGGAGAACATGAGCGGGCAATAGGCTGTTCATGCTCTTACGACCTCTGTCCTATATACGCAAAATTCCAGCTGTGATGTTTGCTCAAAGCAAAAGTTGATTTCACGATATTGCCTTCGTGGCGTGGTGAGACTCCGTAGCATATGCATGCTGCATCTAACGACACACGTTGTAAAAATGCGCGTCTCTAGCCTGGAGAGGTGCGATGGATGGGGTAGGACGGTATATATCCAGGCTATAAGCTTTGTATATGACCAGGCTATAGAAGGCAAATCTGGATTTTAGCTGAAGTACTTGTTTGTCCTCCAGGTATAGTCAATCAAGAAGTGCACGACTCACCCCAAAATCTTATGCTCCAATTGTATAAGAAATGATTCATTATCCACGCTATGAAACAACGCATAATGCCATGAAGCTTCCATAAATCACATCGCTAAAGCAAATACCTAAAACAGGGTACATATATATCTCTATATACGCTCATGCCATACGTACTCCGAACAAATGAAGACTACCTATAGAGAGGACGAAATAAACAAAGGAGAGAAGCACGGCAGTAGTAAGTAGTGTAAAGCATCCAGATTCCGTCCCATATCCACGCCCGATATTCCTTCGGATATCCAAGTCCTCCCATATCATCGAAGCCGTTGACGTTCGTTCGTTGCAAAGCCCAGATCCCGCATTTCCATCCGTCTAACCCATCCATTACCATATAATACCATGTCGCTATTCCCCCAACTTTGTTGATTCCCAATACATCTATCACCGGCTCATGGGAAGCCTTATCCATCTCTTCCTCGACCCCGGGTATAAACATGCCTACCTAGTGAAACAAAAGAAATAAGTAAAGGCGCGTGGCCATCGTAAGGAGAGTGCTTTGGTTTCCAAGAGACGTCCGATCGTGACTATGATAAAACATAGGGAATTTGACATGGTGAAGCTGCCCTGCCATGGCATGCGTGCTCCTCAAAGTAAGGGACAAGCCAGACAGCCCGGTCATCCATTCGATACAAAGGACAAGCCCCGGAGGACTTGCTGCTGTGCGGCTCCTCATACAATAGCGCGGGTTGCTTATTGGATCAGCGCATCCAACACATGCCATCAGAGAAATCAAAAGACGATGACGGCAATGAGTGAAACACGACTCGGCACTTGGATAATCTGACCAGTCGCTGACCTCGACGACGATACGCAGCATCAGACGCCACGACTCCATATTTGCGCTCGCTGGTGGCCATTACCCGATTGGGTAGGCGAAGATGGTGGTAGGGGGGTGGGAGGGATGGATGCTGATTGGGTCTGATGCGGCCACCTGACTTACACCCAAGACCTCCACAATCTGTTCATGGGATTCCGTGACTCCCTGCACAACAGAAGAATAAAAGGCCATGTGGTGACGATAGCTTCTGACAGGAATAAATGGGGAACCGGTGCTGCCTGCATCATGCCTGAATGACAACATGAAGTGCTGGGCTGCGAGGATCATCAAGATGATACCTAAGCACAGGGGTCCCAGTGTAAGCCCTTACGCTCGCGACGGCCCGTCGCCATATGCAGAAGTGCCATAGACAGACGGCCCTCCCGTGGGCTGCTGAGAAGTGAGGCCCGGGTAGCCACTGTCGGCGTAAGTCGAGGGCGCGGTGTCCCAACGAGGAGGCGTTGCCGTTGCAGGGTGGTGGCCCATGCCCGTATGCAGACCAGCGGTGCCGTAGGGGCTGGCGGCCACTCCCCTCGTGTCATATGCCGAGACGGCTGGCAGCTGCGACGTGCTGGTGTTGATGCGCATGGACGACGGCTGCTGGGGGCTGTGATGGGTGCGAAGCGTGGGACTGAGACCCCGAGCCGCGCTCGTCGTGTATGCCGAAGCAGGCCCCCAGGCCGCCTGTGACCGGGGCGAAGGGATGGCTTCGTGATGCGCCGAGGTGTAGGCAGAGTGCATCGGGTACTGGCCGTGGGCATCTGCATGCTGGGAGGACAGGCCGTGCTGTGATGCCCCAAGGCCATGGTGGCTGGGGGGCGCGAATGACGACGTGCTCACGGGGGTCAGGATGCTGCTGGGGCTGGCGCTGTATTTGCCAATAATCTTCTTGAGCGCGGGCTCGAGGGCTGTCCAGGGAAATACCTTGACATCCTTCTCAATGTTGCGGGGCTTGGGGTGAGGAAAGGCCATGATGATCTTGAAGAACTCCTCGCTCTCCGGCTTGGCCTTGGAGACGGTGGACGGGTGGAATCCCTCCAGGTTGCGGCGAATGCGGTTCTTCTCCTCGACGCTGAACCGGTTCGGCGCGGCCACGAGCTGCTCGAGGAGGTGGATGGTGTCGACCGAGGTAACGTAGCACTCGGACTTTTCCGCCCACCAGATGCACGAGATGCAGATGCTGTTGGTGGGCCTCTCGTTGACGGCCACGGGCTTGAAGCTGACGCTCAGCACGGCACCGTTCTGGGCCTTCTTGAACATGACGATGCGGCGGCGGTTGTCCCACTCTTCCTGGGTCCAGTCTCTGGCCATCTCGCTGAGCTTGCCGTGAATCTTCAGCACCGCCTTGCTGGTGTACAGAGACATGGGATGGTAGGAGCCATTGCCGCTGGCGTTGGTGATGGTGCTGGTGCGCACAAGCTGAGGCGTCCCGCTGTTCCCCGAAGACGGGATGGGCAGCTGGTGTCCGGCCGACCGGCCCGGGATGCCGATGGGATCAAAGGCCGTTGACGTCCGCGTCAGTGTGCTGCCATAGCCGCTGCCGCCCCATCCCCCGTGGGAGCGCCGGTGATGCTGGTGGTAGTGCGGGTCGGTAAAGCTGCTGCTTGCTCGATACGTGGTGGTGATCATGTCGCTATTGTTGGCTTGAGGGAATGCGTTGCCGTACTGACTCTGCTGTTGCGGATACTCATACGTATTTGTAGCCGCTGAAGACGCCGCCTCTGTCTTCGGTGAGGGACTCACCTGATCCAGCTCGGCAGCAGGTGTCGTAGTGTCATCTTTGGGCAGCTTGTCTGTCCGCGTGATGTCGTCCTCGGGCCCTTCCAGGTACTGGAAGGTCCCTACGAACGTCGTCCGCGACATGTCGCCTCCAGCAAGGGACTCGATAACAAATGACAGCGGCACGCTGTGGTTGCTGCCTGTGACCACTGGCTGCGGCGCGTCGACACTGCACGAGTATACAAACCCACTGCTGTCCAGCGGATCGCGGACAAGGCTAGCAGGGCACTTCATCGTTCCGAACAGCATGAACGGCTGCGTGGAGGACAGGCTGAAGAGATCCTCAGACGATGAGATCTTCAAGTGGACCTTGGTCCCGGGGATGCCTGCCAAGGGCTCGCAGGAGATGACGCTGAGCCCGGATGGCATGTACTGAGCTACTCCGTTGTTGCCGGCATACGCCTGCTGGTTCATCTGGGCAAACTTTTCGGTCTGCTGGGCTGAGAAGGACTGGGTAGAGTACGGTCCATAGCTGGCGTCTTGATACCGCGTAGTATCGTAGCCTATCCAGAAGCCATCGCGACGGCCTTGTCAGCTCATGCTCACCAAACGTTTCTAGCATCCCTTTCGCATTGACCTTGGGAAAGAGGGTTATCAATACACACTCACCATTCATGGAAGGTAGCTGAGCTTTGCTATAGGCAGCCATGCTGAACTCGTTTGGTGGGGAGTCTCGGTCTAGGTCCCCCCTTTGTGCTGCCTGGACAGCTTCCTCGTATCTAAGAGTCAGGGTTTCTGGCGACCCAAACTCGTCGTCAACGTCGACAATGATGGGTTTGTTGGTTACGAAGCCCGGCTTTGGATTTGTTTGCTGTTAGCGTTGTTGTTCTTCTCCTCTTGTGTCAAGAATAGTCTCATCAAGTTCGACTTTGCCTGTTTCTTGGTGCGTACAATCCAACACAGACAAGAATAGCGGGATCGAGTTGAGTCGAGAGACAATCAATTGTTTGTCTTCTTTGTTCTCTGGCGAGAATGGGTTGATATTGGAACAAAGTCTAGGACGCGACTCACCTCGAAGAGTCTGTAGGATGGAGACTGGAACTTGGCAGTAGACATGAAGTTGAAAGAGGGAGCAAAAAGGCGGCTGAGGAGGGATTGATTAAAGAAAGAAGTAGAAACCGCAGGCCCTCTTGTCTTAGCTAAGGGACGCGTGGGCGTGTAGTGATGTTTTAAACCAGGCCTTGACGAGGAGATAGCCGACGACGACCACGGAGCCAGGATGCGGCCCCTTCCTTCGCGTAGCTTGGGCTCGGAGATTTGATATGCGACAACCCCCAGAGGTAAGGATGAAGACACAGCCTTGACTGAACGTGACTTGTACGTTAGAGCTGCCTCGTGAGTGACTTGTTATTTTTTCTTTCTGGCGGTCGAAGGGGGGGGTGTGGTGTAAGTGAGACAATCGCTGGGTCTGAAGGAATCTTGCTGGAATATCAGGCGGTGCTAGCAACGGCGGAGAGGTCTTCCGATCCTACACAGCACCAGTTGCATTCCAAAAAAGAAAAGAAGAAGACGGATCAGGTATGCTGCGAGGGAGAAGGTTGCCTTCCCTTTTCCGCGGTATGCCTGCAAGGCCCAAGGG